TTAGGTTTAGGGTTAGGTTTAGGGTTAGGTTTAGGGTTAGGGTTAGGTTTAGGTTTAGGGTCAGGGTTAGGGTTAGGGTTAGGTTTAGGGTTAGGTTTAGGGTCAGGGTTAGGGTCAGGGTTAGGTTTAGGGTTAGGTTTAGGGTCAGGGTTAGGTTTAGGGTCAGGGTTAGGTTTAGGGTCAGGTTTAGGGTCAGGGTTAGGTTTAGGGTTAGGTTTAGGGTTAGGGATAGGGTTAGGTTTAGGGTTTAGGATCCAGGTTAGGGATTTGCGCCATCAAATTTTTGCTCATTTTTCAAAAATTTCAAAAAAAAATTCAAATTTTACTCGTTTTTTACAATTTTTTTTAAAAATCATTTTTCTTAAATTTCAAAATTTAATAGTTTTTTACAATTTTTTTAAAATTACAAAACCAAATTTTTCGTTGATTTTTTATTTTTTTTTCTTCCATTTCTTTACATTTTACATTTTCTTTAAAATATTTTTCACAGATTACTATATATTTGTGTGTTTTCCTATATTGAAAATTAAATTTTCTTGTAATATTGCTTATTTTCGATCTTTCGGTAAGTTTTTTGATAAAACGCATTCTCCCCAACCGTTCCCTTTTTGTACAATACGTGTCTTTGCACTACTTTTTTTTTGGGTCGGCCGCCATCTTGGTTGACATGATCCGTGACCTTCTCACGGATCATGTCAACAAAGATGGCGGCCATGCTTGGGAAACCCCGGGTACCACTCTCATAATTTACCAAATAATTTAAATACCTTTTGTTATTGATGAAGCTTGCTATTTATCAATAAAAAGAAACAAATGAGAACAAAGTCAATCAAACTTTTATGTAAATTATACAGTTTTATGTACACTGATACTGATAGTAATTTTAAAGATATTTGCACAATTTTTTATTCATATTTCTTCAGTGAGTTGTAGTATGAGCTTTTAAGCTGCTGGAGTTCTTTTGCACTGAATTTTTCATCCAAGTCCAAGCAGCTTCCCGATTTTCCCTTAAGGACTAACAAAGCCTCTGTTGTTTCTTGTGCAAATGTTGTTCGTTGGTCTGTGCATGTTTTTCGCACCATAGAGAATACTCTCTCACAGGCAGCACTGGAGTGAGGTATGGTGAGGATCCCTTTCACTACATGGGCAAGATTCTAAAGGGATGGGTGCTTTTGGCTAATTGTTTGCCAAATCCTGTCAACTCTTACCCCATCCTCAACACAATCATCAATGTTCATCTGCTGATACCTAGCAAACTCTTCATAGATGGTGTCAACATCAGTCTCTCTGGGGATCAGGATGGGAAATCTGGTAAGGAAGTATTCCAACTGATGTTGTTTAACCTCTAATCTCCTTTTTGGATCCACTACAGAGGCATTCTGAAGTACAGGATCTGCTAGGGGAAGTTTTTTTAGTAGGTAGTCAAGCACCATCTCAAAATATTTGCGAACAGAAGCATAAAACTCTACAACCCTCTTGTCTCTGAGGCTGTACTTTTCTTTGTTTTCCAGCATGGTCTATGCCTGGGATCCAATTCAATAAGCAGGTCAGCATGATCTTTCTGATTGCTTCTTAGCTTGTATTGGACCTGAAAGAGAAAAAAAAAGATTATAAACTAGTACTGTAGGTATCATGATAAGCCATGTAAACGATAATTTATAACAAATGAAATGTATTCAATTTGTCAAAATACAACATAAATGCATACATTGACATAATCAAAGCTCACCTTGTCAATGTCAATACCATTAACTGCTGTTGGCAAGAGAAATCTGCTGTACAAGTCACCAATCAGGCTGTAGAGGTTCTCCTTTAGCATATGGATCATGGGTTTTTCTGCCTGCAGTTGGACAAGTACCTATAAAAATAACCATGTGTCATAAAAATGAACGATTATTACTACCGGTATTGAGTACAACAGTATGGTAAATTATACAAAATTACTATGGTCCACTAAATAAAATGAATTGTAAGAGAATATTGCAGATCCAATGAAATGAGAGCAAAATTATGCACCCTTCAAGACTCATAAAATGCAAGAATTCATCTCACCTGATCATAAACTTTCAGTGTGTAAGACAAGAAGTGGCCGAAAAGTCTATTTGTTGGTGACCGCAAAAAGTCATAAATGGCATCAACCTTCACAGAGTAAGTTGTGCGATGTCCTTCCAACTCAGCAGTCGTCTGAACATCATGTGGTTTCTTATTTGGTTTGGAATTTTTATATTCTTCTTCATAAAAAAAGTGCATAAAGTGGTCCCAATTTTCAATCAATCTTTTTAGGCATCTTGCAATACTAAGGCATCTGGTGCAGACACGTTTAATAATTTTCATCTTTTCTGCATCATACAGGACTTGCAGGTTCTTCAATTCACTTTGTCTCTTCACACTTTTCTTGAAGTAAAAAATGTCAACCAGCACCGCCTCAACGGGGGGTAGACAGGATGGCCCCTTTTTGGCTGCAAGATGCACCAGATGGAGGCAGCATCTTGCCAGATAAATGCTGTCTTGCTCTCTTTTAATGAAACTGTATACTCCATTGTATTGGCCAGTCATCACATTGGCATTGTCACAGGCAAATGCAATGCAGTTTACCCATGAAATGCCCTGTGAATTTACAAGGCCATTCTCTCCTTCAATGGTGCCCACTAGAGTGAACTGCTTTTTGCCTGAGTTGTTACTACCATCAGTAGCAATACTGAATGGCAATCTCTGCATTCTAATGGCTAATTTATTCATAGTCATTGCAGACATTTCTAAAATCAAAGCTGTTGCTTTATTTCTGCCACATTTTATATCTGAAATTAATCAATGAAAATAATAAATATATTGATGACAATATCTGGTACAATAAAATAATTATCCCAAATGGCACAAATCATCTTTAAAACTGAACTAATAAATTTGCTCTTTTTCATTTTATTAAACCATTATAAGGTAGACTTTTGTAAAGTATCGGCTTAATTTTAAACAAATAAAAAATGTGTTTACTTTTTAAATTAGCCTACATATATTTTTTATTTTATACACTATTACTTTAGATATATAGTACTAAGCTATAATGTGAAAAGCTGCTAAATAAAAGACCATATATTCATTCATAATTAGGATCAGGCTGGCCCACATAGTCCATAAATATTTTAAAATAATAATAATTACATTAATAGTTAAAGAAAAAGGCCGACTTACTTGCTGCTATTTTGGAATCTGGGAACATTTTAACAAATGCCTTAGAAAGAGTATCCGCCGCAAAAAGCAAAAGATTGAGTCTTTAGAATTAAGCTACACATCAGAGCTTCTACGCGAGTTACTTGATCTTGGAAATGAGATTTTGAATTTAATCTTTGACAAAAAGATGTCAAGGTTGTACTTTGACTCAGTGCTTCTTTAGAGGACTTATGGGCTTTGGTTTCATAATGTTTTTTGCAATCGTTTTGGCCGCCATGTGCTACTGAAAAGTCCGACTTGCAGATTGTGCAGTTCGTGTATGATGGATCCTTCCATGAAGAACGCAATTCAGTAAATTTTGTCTGATATTCACACAAGAATATTTGCTGATAAACTTTCTTTTTCTTTGGTTGAATCTGATGTGCGTCGGTAGAAGTAGAAGTTTCTTCTTCATCATCGGTTTCGTGTAACTTTCTTTTTGTCAAGGACATGTCTAACTAGTAAAATAAACTACGGTACTTTGCTCGGTAGAAACAACCTTTCCCCACCCTCATTAATGGGTAAAAAAACATTTTACTATCGCATATCCAACAGGTGACTGATTTTTCAAATTAACATAGCCTAATAACTACCGCAAGCTGTAAAAAAAAAAAAAAAGTGGGGGGGGCGGGTAAGGAGTAGTGATACCAAACTGTTGCATTAAAATCATTGAGGGGATAGAGCTGCTTTGAGTTCTAAAAAATTTTTTTAAATACCACTATATCTTATAAAATATGTCCAACGTTTGCCCTGTGCAAAGCACACATTCCATGCCCCCTTCCCCGTCCCTGTATGGCTCCGCTCTTTTTCCGATTAGGACGTAGGCTATGGAGCACGTGTTATGATGACATAGACCGTTTCTCGACCCCGGAACCGAGGTTCAAACTTCACTATAATGAGCTAAGTGAATTTCAATATTTTCTAGGAGCCCTAGGTGTCCCTCTTGGGCTACGGCGCCCTGTGCCAGGGCACAGGTCGCACACCTTAAAGGTCGCCGTTGCTCTCTAGTTTTCTCCGTTTTTACAATCGACGCGGTTTAGACGATTATGTAACAAAACTACATCAAACGCTTAGTAGCATGGTGAGTGAAGCTGTCGCTAGGCGACTAGTCTAATTATTACTGTTGACGCAGCCAGCTAGTTCACTGAGACACAAAGCAACACTATGATAATCATCACCCTCAATACGATACGTTGCGGTGCTATTTTTATAGCCTTTGACACTCCCACCAACCCCCCCTAACCATGCGTCTTGTATGCCACAAATCTCAACCTTCACCTCTCTTTGCGTTCATAATATATTGAAGGATGGTCCAATCTTTAAAAAAAATAAATACAGCCAATCGTTTTTCTCGGTTCATTCACTGCCAGATCTTTATTAAAAAGGGCTAAAACTTCCACAACAAAAAAAAAAAAATTGTTATTAATCGGAAAAAATTACCCCAATAATTTTTTACCGGGTCGCTGAAAATCGTAGTTTTGGCGGGTCTCAGCGTACAATCCTAAAAGACATTTAAAAATCGTACATTGTATTCCAAAATCGTAAGAGTAAACAGGTCTGTTAAGGTAGCAGTGGGTCAAAACATTGGCTTACAAGATTTGAGCCAGGCAGATGAACAAAGAGACAGACCTAAAACCAACCTTCTAAAACAAAGACTGTCCCAAAAAAAAATCTAAAAAACTCAATCCCTCATACACATTTGGTGATAAATTTGTAAAGCACTGATAAATGAATGCTTTATCTGAAGAACATTTTGAAAGCTAAAAGCAAGTAAAATATGAGGCGATAAGATACGTACGCTTGCTGTGTTGATTCCATGAGTTTAGAAAGATTTGTAAGCATGTATCCTAATGTACTAAAACTGTCATTTCTGTCCAACCTGAACTTCAGCTTAGAGAAGATGCTGGTGTCTTGCAAATAGTCCCTGAAATATATTTATTATCATTTAAATAAATATGGTCCATTTATTTTTATAATGACTTATTCTGCTTTTTTTTGTTTCAATACTTCCTTGAAATGTATCATTTATAATAAAAATGTCCATGTTTCTTTAAATACCAAATTAAAAAATTAACTGTACATAAATATTATTCTATCGTAACAGTGCCAAATTGGTGAGCCAGCAATATATTCTCTAAGTCAGTGGTCGGCAAATCGCGGCTTCCGAGCCTCATGCGGCTATTTAATGACCTGAGTGCGGCTCTGCCAGTCGGTCACAAATCGAGTTTGACTCCAAAAAACATGGTTCTTGAAAAGAAATTTGGCACTCAAATTTTTTTAAAAATCATCCTGCTGTTGATTTTTGACTCTTTTGACTAATGATTTTCCAGACCAAAATAAAAATATATCTATAGAATGATCAATAGCCCCCTGATGGGGGGGGGGGGGGGGGGGGGGGGGGGAAGATGGTTTTGTTTTCTTTTACCTATCAACTACTACCTCCACATCTGATGCTGTAATGATGCGAATGAATCCAGTGGTCAGTGCAATGTAGCGTCCATCTTCACTGCTGACCACAACCATGCTGCCACTGCTTAGACCTACAGTGTTGAGAGGTGGGCCTGGGTGGCTAGTATTTGTAGGATCATGTAATTTAAATATAGAATTTAAATTGAGATACAATAACAATTTTCAAAAAGATCAATGGAAAGCACACAAAAAGTGTTAACTTCATAGATTTTCTAACCTAAAAAAAACCCTGACATAACACCACAAACATTTTTATCCCACTTAATCTAATTTTTTCTCCAAAAAAAAAACCACAAAAAAAAAAAAAAAAAAAAAAAAAAACAAAAAAAAAAAAAAAAAAAAAAAAAAAAAAAACATGCAATGTTGTAAGGTTCCAAGAATAACAACCAATCTCCATCCAAAACAACTCTTGATTTAAATATATACTAATATTGATTTATTGTTACGATGGAAAATATTTGCACCAGAAATCCTTTAATACTTTCACAAAGTAGCATTATGCTTGAGATAACAACTTTACCTCAAATGTCGTTTGAATGTCAGAGAGCATCCCTTTCCTTCATTGAAACATTGAGATTCTGGTATCCCTAACTCAGAATCAGTTATTATCAAATTACTTATGCAGTCACCAGCCCTTTCTCTGCAATAAAAAAAACCACACCTTTTTAAACATGAAAAAGAGTCAAAGCTTAGATGCATGCACATTATACATTTCATTAACATCTACATGTGGCAGTGCACTAACATATTTTTAAGAGGTTAACTATTATTTACCTGTCCAAACTTGAAGCACACCAAATTTTCTTCTGGTCCGACTGGTTTGATTCCATCTCTAAACAAAGTGTCCAGTACATGAAAAAATTTAAATCCTCTTCGGTCAGATGTGAAAGAGCTTCAGGGACTAACTGAGACATTGCATGTTCCTTGGGAAAAATATTGGTCTCAACAGATCTGAAAATACAGATGCAATTTTTATTTATATCTCCTCTAAATGTTATGGTGATCTTTCGGTTCATCATCCAGATAATTTGAGCCGTGACTTCAAGAGCAAGTTTCATCAGATTCCTCCACAATATTTAAGTATTATTAATAGCAAATGTTGTACAATGCAAGTTACATCTCACTAAATACTTCCTCTTGTTCGTTGACAATTAGCATCGTTAGGGAAATTTGACAGTTAATTTATAGTTAAGGTAATACTGTGTTGCCAAAAACATTTGGTCAGTCTACAATTAATTAATTTCAAATTGGTCAATGAAACCATTACATAGGTTTAAAATTTTTTTTAAAGAAGTCTATACCTCTGATAAATGCTGCAGTTTAATAGTTGTGGACAGCTGCTGCAAGCACGCTGACTGTTTAAAGGCTTGGGCAGCTGACCAAGACTATAAGTCAAACTTTGATCAGCCGAGGTTTTCTGGCTAACTTGCCTGGTCAGATAATAAGCTAGTCGGTTCCTTAACTGCATAAGACCTAAATTGGAAGAAAAAAGTTGTGTACAGTAGGTGTTTTAATGACAGCAAAATGTCTAGTATAAAAAAAATTACAGCAGGTTAAAAGTATTTATTTGCCGACTAATTTTATTGGAATTAGTATGAAAATAATACATTGCAATGATCTCGGGTTACACATCTGAAAAGCATAAAACAAGATGAACACACATTAGTTCTTATTCTTAACAAATATTTTACCACAACTTTCTCAGTTTGAATACAATAAAATTATAGCAACGTTGTTGAAATTTATTAGCTTACTACACTCAAAATTAAAAGTTATGTGGCGTTTTTAAGCAGATTTTCTTGTCATATTTTAAATGAATTATTTTATAAAATATTTTTATCAAATATATAAATGACAAATACTATTTACATGGAACATCTCATTTTTAGAATTTAATTTATGTTTAATTGAAATCAGAATTTTATACTAACCACTTTTACTTTCTGGCCTAACAGAAACAGTCTGCATATCCCCTTGCTTTAGGTATAACAAAATTCCTTCTTCTGGGTCCTCCCTTCGATCTGAGTACATCATAGAGTACAGGGTAACCTAGCAAAATCAATAAGGCAGAACAAAGTTAATAAATAGCTAGAGATGTGATGATACTTTCACAAATTCTCACCTGCTTTTAAATGAAAATTAATATTGTTCTAATAATGAAAACAGGGGAAAAAGTCACATAGTAGGGTCAAAATACATGATTTACTAACGGTAGGAAATTTTTAAGGTTAATGATTTTATTAGTTAGTTTAAGATATGAATAGTAAAAATGGATTCAATGAAAATGGCTACATTTGCATAATTTTTAAGTGACTTGTAATGATAGTACATTTATCTCATTAGTTAATTGATGTATTAGTTATAATCATAGCCAGCCCTAAAACAATGGGGATAATCATGGTCTTTAAAAAATTCAATTTTTTTTTATGAGTTCAAATAATTATGTACCTGTCCTTTGTGTTCAGAAGAAAAGCTTGCTTTCCCTGTTTTAAGTTCAAGAGGTAAAATTTTCACATGATCAGATTTATTTGGTTTCTTCATCTGAAATTTTTAAAAAAGTTTTAAAATCTTTGTATCCTATATTATTTTTAAATGACAATTTTTATATTGAAACTTTTCAATATGCTATCATTTATTCTTCTAAATCTGACAAAATGTAGCGTGTATGAAGTCGCCAAAAGATTGAGGGTTAAGTGATCAGCTTGCAATCTATTGCCACACTGTGTACATTTTAAAATAATTTATTGATCTAATAAATATCTGCAGCTACTTTTCGGACCAGTAAAAAAATCAAAATCAAATCTAAAAGGAACAAATTAAAATAAAATCTAATTTAAAATAATAAAATTCTGGCATCTAAAATATACCAATTTATGAGGATATAGTATCTACCTTTGCCTTTACAGTCATATCAATCTTGCCTTTTATGCCAAATCTATAAATGAGGACCAGTAAAATATATTACTTTCTTACAAATGTAGTCGTCTGCTTACAAAAAAAAAAGAAATTGTCTTATATTTTGTCTCTAAAACAGCTACAAACTTTAAATTTAAACATCTTAAGGCTTTTAAAAGTATTAATAAACTGGAAAATACAGAAAGATACTTGCTATGTGAGAAGTTAAGCAAGGGATTACCTTGGAGACCAAAAGTTTTCTTCAATGTCATGGATTTCTGTCACAGTTAAGTCAGATCTGTAGTTGGGAGAAATGCATTTATAAAAAATAGAGAGAACAAAAATTAATTCAAAAAAAGTTTCATTTTTTTTTATTTGTCAATCAAAGTTTCTATCATCTGAAGAGAGCTGATAGATACAAACAAAATAATAAACCATGAAAATCCATGAAAATCCCTTACTCAATTTTAACATATTTTAAAATATTCAGCAGAAATTTTAAAACAATTTTAAAAAAAAATTTTTTTTACAAGTAAATCTAACTCCTATAATTAAAATATTTTAAAATAATTATCCTTGACAGTGATAATGACTAAAAAAAATATCTAGTTATTTTTATATTTACAGTAATTACCTATCAGCTAAAGTATTAATTATATTTCATATTGTGCATTCCTTACTCTTTAACTACATTTTTCCCATTTCCTAACCATTCCGTGTGCTTCTTGAGCCAGGAGAAGAGGGATGGAATGTATAGTTTAATCTCCTCCATCACTACATTTTCTTCTACACCATGACCATACCTAGAAAATATTAATTATCTCATAGATTGAACTTCTCCGTAGCTATACCTAGAAAATATTAATTATCTCATAAATTCAACTTCACCGTAACCATACTTAGAAAATATTCATTATCTTATAGATTCAACTAATAGAATAATAATAATTTAATAATTGATTTAAACAAATACAAAGATTATTTAACTCTGTTCATAAACAATTTATCTTAATTTCTTGGGCTCTTATAACAAGACCCTAACAGATTTTCTCAGCCTAAAGGGGAAAAATTGCTAACTTAATTTAAGAGACGTTCACATACTTACATATCATGCAAAATCTTGTTCGATCTGAGCAAAGATTTCGCAACAGTGAGGACTGCGCTCTCATCTCTAAGCCCTTCTTTCATTACTGTCTGGAAGAGACAGTGAATAATACTGCCATGCAACATCTGAATGTTCCCCTTGTCAACACCCTGAAGACATTGGAATGTAATTTATGAATGAAATTAGGCATGCTGCAAGCAGCAGTTGGACAACTATTGACGTAAATTAATGATGGTATCAAAACTCTGTAATGGACATACCTAACTCTGTGCATTCAAATAAATTATTGTTTATCAAAGGAAGTGCAGAATTATACTAGCAATAAAGAGGTTGTGAGCTAATGGAATGACTTACCTTAAACTTTTCATTCAGCACAGATCTGAATGAAAAAATAAAAATTACACAATATTAAATATTTTGATTAATTAAATACAAATAAATGTTAACATTTTTTAAAATAAAAAATGAAGGTAGATTTTAATTTTATTTTTAGTGTGGTAAGAATATAAATCTGTCATTTTTACAAGCTGTCAATTATTTTGAAATTTCTCAAAAGGCATTTAAACATTTATTTAAAATTAATTTTTCCCCAACCCAATTCAGGTAAAGTCATTTTGCCTACATAACATATAGCCTAAACCACTGGTATTTCATAACAACATTTTTTTTGTGTATTCTTTCAGAATTCCTCAATGATCACTTATGCTTGATTGTGTACTATACTGGTTTGGGTATGTGAAAATATTTGCCCAAGTTTAAAGAAATTAATTAGGGCATACTTCCTACTATGCCACAACGCAGATAAATAATGAGATGTCTTACTTTCTAGGACAAAAAATAGATGATACAACCAGCGTTCCAGACAAGAGTAGATCTGGGTTGACAATGATGAGACCACTCTTGTCACTCAGCACACAGGTGTCATTATGAAACTCCCCAATAATGTTGACTATGTCATCCTTCTCCACTTTTGTGTCTGCCCTGAATTACAAGAGAAGGGATGCTTTTTTAGAAAATTAAATTGTAAAAACACAACAATATAAATTAAATCCTAATTGAAATTTAACAAATTTGCACGAATAATTTTATTCGTCTTGACTGTTGCAACTCTCTTCTGTCAGGTTCACCAAAACACTGCATAGAAAAACTGCAGAAAGTTCAAAACTCATCTGCTAGGCTAGTTTTAAAGACAAAAAAACGTGATCACGTCACTCCGCTACTCCATTCCCTTCATTGGCTACCTATACAGGCACGCATTGACTATAAGTTGTCTGTTCTCTGTCACAACTTTTTCTTGGATTCCTGCCCTTCCTATCTAACCGAACTTCTTTCTGTCTATTCACCCCTTCGACAGATTCGCTCTTCTGCAGACACGCGTATTGTGTCAGTTCCAAAGACACACACTAAAACTTATGGTGAACGATCTTTCTCTTTCTGCGCCCCCAAACAATGGAATTCTTTGCCACTACACATACGCAATATACCAACCACCCAGGCCTTCAAAACTGCACTAAAAACATATCTTTTTAAATTATACTACCCTGACTGATTCCCCTCCTCTGACCAATAAACGATCTTGCTGGCTGCCATCCATGGTTTGCCTTGTAAAAGTTATGTGGTGGGGTGGGTGAATATACATTGCTGTTCTTTATTTCATAAATGTATTTTATTTTAATGTCATGATTATGTCTCTTTTGATAAAATTTTTATGTACAGCTCGGTGAGCCCAGCCCTAGGCTGGGGTACCGCGCTATATAAGACTTTTATTATTATTTAGTTTTATTACTGTAACGGACTATGTTTTCACATGAAAACAGAGAGGTAGCATGAGTGAACAGTGAATTGTGTTGACCATGTATTTTGAGATGCAAATGTGAACTCCACGTTTTTGGAGAGTAAAATTATGTTTTTGTCAGAGCGGTTGTTTTCCACGCTTTGCTGGTAATGAAGTATGAGTTGACTGAGATAGTGAGAGCTGAGCGCAGAGCAGTAGAGAACAGTAGCGTGAGAGCTGTGTGATTAGACAGTTGAGCTGAGTTATAGTAGTATGAGGACGTGTCTTTCTTAATGATGGAATACTATAGATATATATGTGAAATTACATTCATGCAAGGATTATTTATTAATATTATCAATATAAAGTGTGTTCAATAAAGTACTGTAAGTTTAACCAGGATTCAGTATTCTTATTTGCGTGCCCGGATTATAAGTGGAAGAATGAAGAAGCCTTAGTCGGCATCCTGAAATATCAACATAACATAAGTAACCATACTACTGACATAACCTACAGCATAAGAAATAAGATCCCACGCCATGTCAGAGTAGGTGTGTTACAATTACTAAAATATAGTTGTCATTTTTATTTATTACTAGGAATATGCAGTGTTAATATTTGTCATTGTTTAGCTGCACATAAAATCAAGTGCAATCATCCATTTGATCCATGATAAATGTCCCTGTAAAGGAAATATAACAGCCATAAAATAGTCATTTAAGAAAAGTTAAAACTGATTCCTACCAAAATCCAGTCAGAACACACAAATATGATTTTTGAGACTTTTCTTTTTTTAAACTCAAGTGGATTTCATCTGTTTCCCTGTTTTAAAACAAGATTATTAGATACTGATAAAAATGTAAAATATTTTTTATATGTGCACGTATGGTGAAATTAAAAAAAAAAAAGTAATATTCATAACATTTGGAAATTTGTTTACAGCTAATTCCTTGGTAATTTGGCTAGTGACCTAAGAGATAAACAAAACTTTGAGATTGCTATTTGATTCTCTTGAATATGTCATTCGATCAAATGGAATATCTTTACAAACATATTCTTAAGTCTTCTACAGTACATAACTCTAAAATGTCTAATAAATACCTTTTATGAAAGACCTCCTCCACATAGAACCTCTGCCAAAGGTCAGTAAATCTGAAATCTTTATGAAATTGTTCAGACCTAATAAAGAAATAAAATTTATTTCAAAATGAAAATTATAAGTCACTGAAAATATTCATAACGAATATAACGTACTACAACGAGAAGTTCCCCAGACCATGATAAATGTAAAATTTTCTCTAGCACTATAGTAAAAGTAAAATCAATTTTATAAATTTTAAATTTCTGTAGGAGCTTGTTGCAGTTTTTAAGTTTCAATAAGTTTAGTTTGGTTTAAAAAATATATGCTTAGCTAGTTCCATCATGTGCTACAGTTTAAACTAAATTGATGCTTTAAGACAAAAATAATCCATTCAAAACTGGAGATCTTGTTAAGAAATAATAAAATACTCTAATCATGAGAATGGTTAATTTGTGATGCCATTAAAACAGTAAAATGAATGCATTACATTCAAGTCAGAGCTGAAAAAGAAAAAATTAACCCTTGGAAACACTGCACTAAAAGGTATTCATAAATATGTTTGATTATCCATTCTGCATGTGAAAGTGATATAATTAATTTTTTAAAAACTTACACATCTGCAGTCTTTGCTTGGAAAAGTTCATCATCAAAACTATCAGAAAAAATATCACACAAAGATGCAGAGAGGTCATCACTTGCTGAAACTGGTACAGCAGCAGCATTGCATTTCAATGCCCTCACTATACTAACAGTTCTTATCACATTGTTTTCATTCAGTCCTTGCGTGGTTTCATGTTCTGAGTCACACAAGTTCAATAACTTATCTCCATGATTTGTTAAAACACTGCAGCTACCTTTAACTTCTTTTTCAAGAGCATTGCATTGATTATAATGTAATGGTGAAACCACTTCTTCAGAAGCTTTGCTACCTACATTTTTCTCGATTTTAGAATTTTTTATAGACGAGTCTGCATTATCATCAACAATTTCGACAAAGTCCATGGCCTGTTGATTAACAGCCTCAGAGTCTTCAATAACAATGGGTTCATTTGAATAACTTGATGGTGAATGAGCTTTACTTATTGTTTCTGAATCTTCAATAACAATGAGTTCATCTTTAAGTACAGAATCATCAAAGTTGACTTTTACCAAAAAATCTGAGTTTACATGGTCAACTAACTGATCCTTTAATTTCAAGCTGTTTTCACAACCTTTTCTGGAAGCCTTACGATCCAAAATTCTATATTCATCATCAGAACTGTCAAATAATTTTTCCAATATTTCAATATCACTTTGCAATGGAAATACTTGGTTGCCTGAAGCATTGGCAAAAACAGGTTTCTCAGAAGTAATTTTATTGTTACCTTTCTTGGTTGATAATGTAACATCACTTTTTGAATTTGATGTTATGGGCCCATTGCTGTCTTCATTCTTTGACTTTTGGTCAAGTAAAGGAGATGAAACGGATCTTAACAGCTTTGCTAAAAATTTATCATCTTCTAACGTTACTTTCGTTTCCACATTTTGCATTTTCTCTTTGAAACCAAACTGGTAGGCCCGTTCCTTCGTTAGCTTGCCACCCCTTGCTAGGGATTCACCCATGTTGATAAGACACTTGTCTCCAGTTAAAAACAAATTCCTTTTTGCCTTGTCTGCATTTAACTCTGATGTGCAAATTGTCTCACAGTTGTCATCTGTTACATCTCTCAAAATGATGCGCTGTTGGTTTGGAAGACGTTTAGAGTTGGGTGACATTCCAGATTTAGCCTGTCGTTTGATGGTTAGTTTTGATCCCTGGTAAACTTTCAGAGGCGAATTATCAGGCCAGAGAGCATCAAAATTTGATGTCTGTCTTCCCACCATCATCTTTGCATCTATAATACATTGTGTTTTATCGACGTTTACTCCAGTATTACAACTTTTATCATGGTGATATGAAGATATACTATCACCTTCATCCTCAATGCAAACTATTTCTTTCGAATCATGAACTGAATTGCAATTATTTATATTTCCTAAACATTTGTTTACTTTGGTTTCAAGACCAACTGTTGGATAGTGATTGCTTTTTGTAGTTGATGCTGACAAAACTTTGGTGAAAAGGCTGCTCTCACTTGATTTTTTCTGATGATAAACATAACAATTAAATTTCAGCATAACATGAATAAGTGATGGACTAATACAATTTAATAATCTTTTAAACATTCCTAAAAGGGGGATAATTAACATTACACACTGGCTAAAAAATTAAACAAAACATACTATGTTACAATACAACATGCAGAGATCAAATGTGGCTTGACAAACGGTATAAATAAATAAGACATAGTCTAATTTTTTTACACACTAGCATGAATTTAAAAGCACCAATGTTCTGATTTAAAGATAATATTACCTGAATAACATGTAATAAAAAATAATACAATCCATACAATGGGATCTATAGCTCGTGAGCTTTTCAAAATAAATGGTATCATCATTAAATCCTAAGTGTCAAATAACAAAAATCTTACCTCAAAGAATGAAGAAATCTTGCTTTGCTTGTCACAACCGGCCTGATTTAGAAGAAATATATGACTGGGTATAAAGCAAACTTCACAATGAGTCAATCAAAACAACTTTTCATGTCAGTTACATTTTTAATGATGCTTTGCATTTATAATAAGATGTAAATGAGAAAGAGTTGAAGTAGTTACCTTTGATTTTACTTGCTCTCGTAGCTTTAGTGGTTTCACCATGGTCTTTGGGCTTGATATCCTCAGTTCTTAATTTCAAATTTTGATCTGAAAGAAACCAAAAACTGAGAACATGTTTCAGCAATATATTAAAATAATGTATTAGAAAATTTAATTAAAGTAAACAGATCACACCGAGGTCTAGAAAACTAAACATCTCAAAAGTCTAGCCTGAGTTAATAAACGAAAATATTTAAGGTCTGAGTAAAATAAAGAAACAAAAATCAACCATCTAGTCCAGGGTCACCAAACTACAGCCCGCGGGTCGGATCAGACCCGCAACGTCAGTTCATTCAGCCTGCCGACACTTGAATTTGAAGTCAACACTTTGAACGAGAGTGACTGACAAACATTTGAAAACAATTCTCTTCATTAGACGCAGCAAATACAAACCAAGAATTGATGATATCTTGAAAGCGAAGCGTCAGTTTGCTGCTTAGTATGTGAGATTCGAATATGTGCGCATTAGGTCTGATGTAACAATCTTTTTGGTAACAATCTTTTTGCTAACATCACCTTCTTTGATAGCTTTTTAGTAAATAAATATGCTGTTTGTCTTTATTTTTTTGTACATTGCACTCATGATTAACATGGAATACTAAACTTAGTTTTTTGTCTTTTTTCCCAGAGCTTTCGTTCTGGATTGCAATTATTGTACATCATCATTTTGTCTGTTATTCGACCCAGTGTGAAAAAAGTTTGGTGACACCTGATCTAGACAAAGTAATATTTAATGATAAAGATCATCAATTCACAAATATGCCATCTGTGTAAAAATAATTCAATTTTATTCAATATTTAAAAAAACTTTTAATGAATTCTAAAAACACAGCATGGCATTATATAAGAATACGGTCAAATGTGTCTGATGCTTACACGTAACACATCCAGAGTTGGATCAAGATTTGGAAGGATTCTTCATGAATCTGACAATTTGATGTCCATCAACTGATGCAATGTTTAGTTTGCTGCGGCAATGGAGATCTAACTATTTTCAAGTCTGCAAAAATTTTAGTTTGAATTTAAATGATTTGCAGAAAGGAAAGCACATTTAATTTCAACTAAAAAAGTTGGGCCACAACCCCCGCCAAAAGGTTTTCCAATTTTATTGAAAAGAAGCTAATCTGGCCTTTAAGTTTAAAAACAATTGCTCTTAGCGAAATGAAGAAAGGGACAAAAGAATAGAAACTGCTAAGAATATACAGCAATCTTCACTCCCAATGAGCAACAACTAAGGGCAAAAGACAACAATTCAGTATATGTCAGAGCATTTTATTCTAACGAGATAAAACAAAGAAGTCCTCTTCTGAGAGAAGAAATAATTCAGAATCTCTTAAGATGACAGTAAAAATGAAAAAATAAATAATAATCACTTGAGAGATAGCCCTACTTTTACTACTTAAACTTAAAGTATAAACATATATTTTTAACTTCTTATAAAAAGTTATTTTCATTATCAATTTAAATTAATGAATTTCCAATAACATGTAAAATGTTGACTTGCTGAAGGCTTGGATCTTTCTAAATAACTAAATAATAAGTTATGGTATAAGACTTATATTTTATAAGTATAAGTTGAAATAATGGATGCTTAAGTCATAAGAGATTAATGTAAAATTAATTAAATTATAAATAGGTCTAATGATGACGATTGTCAACAATTCAAATGAATTTTGGTCCTCAATTCTTGTGGCCATGGCTAATTTTTATATGTATAAGAATGAGCTAGGCTGACCGTAACTCCAAAGAACCGAAGAGATTTAAAAACGTTCGGATTCTTAAAAAACAATCATAGTTATTTTCTATTATTTTTACGGAAATCGAATTAATTTAAATGCGCAACAAATATTATGTATCTGCTTTTATTTTAGTAAAAGTTTTTGTATTATTATAATAAATTACAAATACATTTAAAGTAACAACTATGGAACTATTTTAAACATTTTATCCAAATTTAAATATAAGAATTACATCGTAATCACATTTATCGGGAAAACCCAAACATCTGTTGTTTTTAGTGCATTGCTAATATTGCGAAATAAAAATTAGACTAAATTAATTTGATTTAAATAAATAAGCAAATGACGTCATATGACGATTGCCTATTTTAGCAAAAGCTCTAAGTTTCTTTTATTTAATAACTGATAATGTATTTTACCCTTCTTAAAAGTAAAATTAAGAAGTATAATTGATTGCTTTTTAAATTATTAATGAAACACAAAAAATTTAGCTTTTTATTTTTAACATTTAATAAGTTTTTACTTTTTATTCATTCCAAAAATATACTTTTATTAAATTTATAAAGTAATAAAAACCTTAACCTTTAAATATACCTTTAATAAGAAAATGCAGTTTAAGTCAAACAGTCAAGCAAAATTCTATAGCCAAATAGTATTCACTAACGCACTTAACATTCATCCAAAAAATAACAAACCATATGAAGTGTAAAAATTTTTTTTTGCATACGTAAAGGGGCTACAATAACGATGATTTTATTTAATTTCTTTTTTACTCTCTATGGGGTAGGGGGGGGGGGCGCGGCGCGGGCGCTGTTTACAATACTTTCATTTAGCCCCATGCTGCACAAGATACGCATCAGAATGAATCTGATAAATAATTAACCTTCTAAGGTACATATATGTCGGGGGTAGGAAATAAGGTGTGTACATTTTACATGGTTGATAATATCTTTAAATCCAATGATATTACAGTTGTGAAAAATAGATACTATCAGTGTTTCTGTCAGACATTTTTCCTGGGGGGGGGGGGGGGGGGGGGGGGGTGGGCGGGGGAGTAGCTAGGGGGTGGGAGGGGGGGCATACGTCCCCGAAAGCCACACTAGCGGGGGCACCAAAATGGGCTTGAATGGTGTTTGATGGTTGGAAATAATAAGTTACTTTCAGAGTGGGGGGTGTGTGTGTGTGTGTGTAAAAATGAATCATGTTCCAAACACTCTAGCTATGCCCTTTAATTTCCAGTGGCGTAGAAAGGGGTAGGGTGAGGTTGTTCACCCAGGTGTAACTTTTTTCTTTATATAGAGGTGTGGTATTTTCAGACAACTGCAGAGTTTGTACAGTGAAAGAGAGAGCTACCCCTCTAGACCTCTCGTCACCAAAAGTATCGAACATTTTCATCAGGGTGTTTATTACTGGAGGCAACACAGTACATAGCAAAGTAAATAAAACCTGCAAATTCAGGGGGGAAGGGGCTAATTTTTTTTTAAACCTCTGTTATTCAGGAAACTTTGTTACAAATTTAACACATTTAAAGAAAACATAAACGCTTTTGATATAATAATTAATGAAATGTGCACTGTTTTTATGCAACCGTTATTTCTTATTAAAAAAGTATCCATTTTACATAGTCTAACTCAACATTCATGGAGTGTTTTTTTCAAAAATAAAATTTTTAATTAAATTAACACCTATCACTACCTTTAAAGTAATGCTTTTATCATGAAATATAATTTGAAAATAGATTGCATATATTTGATACTTAGCACGAAATATATTTGAATTCTAGACCTTGATATTGATGTTAAGGTACTTTAATACAGTGTTGTTAGTCTTGAAATTTGTGAAGTTGCAAAAAATACATTAATAAAAATACCAATCAATGCGAACAACAGGCTAAGACTTGGGCTTCTAATCAGGAGCGGCCAGTACAATATTTTTAATCGAATACTGTAAGCCTTTAAAAAGATTGGCCTTATATATACAGATCATCAAATTTTATCGAACGTACTGTAGCGATATTTCATAGATTCCACTATTTGTTATCGGTTAAAGGCACCAGATACTATTCTTTTTAAAACTGTTTAAAAATAACTATTCTGTGGTTTTTAATTTTTAAAAAGTATATAATCCTTATATTTTTTGTACACATTTTGCTGGGAGGGGGGGGGGGAGACTTGACAAACACCCCCCCCCTCCTCCTCACATATGGCTAAAATAAACCCTGGATGCTATATTCTCATTTTACAACAAATAAACAGTAACTCACACTCTCACAGTGAGTGTGTGACACAGTACACGACACGCTCACGGGTGTCTAAAAATCTCTTGAGTCTAATAATACTTAACTTACTATTATTACTGATTACTATTACTAGACTATTACTATTATTATTATAAATATTATTTTAACGCTTGTAAGTTTATTCAATTATATCTGTGTGGCGTATTCTAAGATAAACTTCATTAATAAATTATATGCGGTTTTGGCAATTTAAAAAAATCTAACAAAAGTAGTAGGACTTTCATGTATTGTTTACCATTTGTTGTTATTTATGTGTTTGGACTTTTGCGCCATTGTGAAAATTGCCAGATTTCTCATGCAAATGAAATCAAATACTTTGTAACAGGGCTGCCACTCACTTTTTTAAAATTTCCCAAGATTTGGGGGGGGTCATGAAATTTCCCAAGATTTCCCAAGATCATAAAAGTTTATAGGAGTTTTTTTTAAGAAAGGTGTGTGTGTGTGTGGGGGGGGGGGGCTTCCTATCTCCTTAATGTAATAATAGATTGAATAAATGCCCCTGAAACACATGGTACAATAATTGACTGAAATTTATTGAAAAAGACATTTTAACAAATGTTTATCACATAAAAGAAATAATTTGTTTTTTTAAAAAATAATATATATTATTTTATTATCCAAAATATCAATACCCACTGGAGTTAGGCTACTAAATGTTACCTCCGAATTCTCTGGTAAAAATATCATCTACAATCCACGTGTAATAGAAGTCACTTGGAAACAAAGCTCACAAGGCTAATCAACACACAATTCCTTTTACAAAGGCCAAAGGTTCTTCATCAGAAAATGTGTTTTCTTATTGTAAGTCTGTTGATTAGTAATTGGGTTTGCAAAGCTATTAAGCAAAATTTGTTTATAATAGTTGTAGTTAAAATGGATTGATAGTATTATGAAAGCAATAAGTATTTTTATTTTTTCTTGTAAATTTACATTATAATGATTTTTTTCAAACGAAATACTGTTTAAAGGAATTTTTCATTTATTTCCTACAATGTATAATTTTAATACCTTAGTTACCTGTGTGTCAATCCACAAATATTTTTTTCCAATAGATGAAAATTAGGTTAGATTTTTTAAAGATGCATAATATTTTGAACACATTGTATAAGTGGTTGAAATAATCCAATTTTACAATGGGTTCTTGATAGAACACTATCATTCACTCTTTGGTTTGTACTGTTTTTTGTATGGTTGATAATGTCTTATACGCATGATAAAGTTTCCGAGCCTACCACCGCCCCCATCCCCCTGTTTAATAAACATTTAACACCTGGATGTAATTTTCAAATCTTCAACTTAAAAAAAAAAAAGAGTAAATTAAATTTTTCTTTAATTATTAATTATTAACTTGTGATTAATTTAAAATATTAACTTTAATTTCAGAAGAGTTCTTATTTATTTATAAATGGTTTTAAAAATTAAAACCAGAAAAGAAAATTTAAAAAAAAAAAAAAAATCTTTTCCTTGTTACTTTAAAAATTAGTTTGCTTTATCACATATTGTTTGCGTTTTTCGAAAAAAATAATAAAATCTTCCCCCTAGTTAAGATTTCCCAAGGTTTTCCTGATTTTCAAAATTGTTCCCCAGATCCCAAGGGGGGTCATGAATTCCCAAGATTTGGGAAATTTCCCAAGGTGTAGTAGCCCTGCTTTGTCATTCTAATTTTTTATTAACCCATTATAAATATTCAAGTTTTATTTCCAAATAAAAGTACTTAAATAATAATATTTTTATGTTGCTTTTAAAGCAATACTGGATGCGCAAGAATATTTAATTTATATTTAAAAATATATTAGGGGGTCATCCATTATTTATGTCAACAAAATGGGGGAAAGGGAGGGGGGGGCGTGGTGTTTGCAAATGTTTGACAATTATTGTTGACAAGGGGGAGGGTGGAGGGTTAGATTAATTGACGTCAAAAATCATTTTTTTCTCCATTAAAATGTCTATCTTAAACATTGGCTGGTTATTCCATTATTTCAACAAATTTAATGAGTTTAATAGTTATATAATTTTTCGGCTTTTAACAGTATAAGATTTATTTAATGTGTGTCTGTGCACTGCTGATGGCTGGTCAGAATGTTAGCACACTTTGTTAGTGCAAGAGAAGTCAAAAGTTGGCCTCTATTCGCCTGTAGATCCTGTTTGTCGCAAATGACTAGGGCGGTGTGTTTGCGATCATGTTGCAGGTATGAAACAAGAATCAAGTGTCATGTGCAGTCAAAATAAATGATATTGATAGAGTATGAAAACGATATTTTGAGAATTAAGGGAAATTAAAGTGAGTAACAATAATAACATCGCTGTAACATCTATTTTGCGTCATAAGTCATGATGAAAAAGCATGTTTAACAGCACCGACAATGAACTCTATGAAATCACCTGCTCCTCAACAACAACAACAACAAAAAAGGATTGACCAATGCGAGTAGCTGCCAGGAGACAGAGAAAGCTTAAGGCAATTATTGCTCTCGCTGACTGCTTCTATTCTAAGTACAGAATGGTTAGATGAGGATGATGTTGACTTGTCGGGTATATCAGTTCCGCAGATGAAAATGATAAATCATTGTTATGATAGTCTGATAGTGCAACACCTGGCTTCTCCATGGGAAGATGATAGCACCTAGAAACTATACAGTGTCAGTGGTACTTAAATAATCATAATTATACTTCCACAAACAGGGATATTTACCCTTTAAAACAAACTTTTAGTTGATTCTGCATTATAAAGTTTAAGCGTAAAAATATTTATTAACAAGCTAAAGATGTAATAAAATATTTTTCTACAATTTTATTTGTCATTTAAATAGATCAATGTAAAATGTATTTGTACATTTATTTATATTATAATTCATTTTTAGGGGGGGGGGGGGGNAAATTGTTGACGTTATTTATGGACCCCCTTGCACTATGCTAATAAAGTTAAACTACGCAGGCCAAAGCGTATCCGCAAATGTCTTTGAAAGAACTCAGTACCCCTCGTTAAAAAAAAAAAAAAAAAAGATGCTTGTACTTATATAACATTTTTAAAATATATATTTTTTACTTTGCAGCGTGTACCCCCACAAAACTCTTCCTGTGCCGTACTCCCGGTACATATTTAAACGGGTACCTATATAGTATAGACATTAAACATAGATGCAGCCTATTTAAAATTGTTATCATGACATTATGATCTCCGCTCCAAATCCCTGATTTAAATTAATACTTCCAATTTTTCATTTGGAAGTGGATATTCGCACCCGGGTACTAGAAGTGAGAGGTTGGGATTAAAAAAAATATTTAAAATATTATTGTGTTATCAAATGAAAGATAGATCTAATTGAATCGACTATGTTTGTAAACTTATGGAGATGAAGGAAAGGGGGCATAACTTACTTTCAAGACTCTTTAGTTAGAATGTGTTAAAAAATGTCCCATCATGCACTTACATTCTTGTTGTGAGGGCAAATAACTATGGCCGCCTTAGTGTTGTTAGGGACTGCAGTGATGCAAAATTTTCAATTCATTTTGTTGTTTCGATAGAGAAAATAATTATTTTTATCAAAGCACGTCCAACTTTTTCTTCACACATAAGTAAGAATGTGGCTTTTTCTTCAAAAATTATTATTAATGTCTCAATTTTTGTTTGACATCAGTTCAGTCAGTCACATTTTCATTTGTCATTTGTCTATTTCTGACAATTTCGATAATTATAAGTCAAATTCATCAATTTAAATATTAAATTTAAAAAAAATTTAAATGTAAAAATCATTTTATTATTCAATCTCACTCTCACCTCTCGACTGACACTGACATCCATAATTCAAGTATATTCAGTTCTCAGTATTACTAGTATTAGTTACTACTAATAGTATTAGTAGTATTCAGTGTTCAGTCATTCACTCTAACTCTATGCCGATGCCGCACTGACTTTGAATTATTATTATTTATTTTTTTGGATTGTGATGCTATGGCTATGGACCATGACCATGGATGGCCATGGACTATGCATACAAGGCCGGCGTTAGACATTTTTAGGTTGGGTGAAAATAGGCAAGTGTCGCCCTCTGGAAAATTATGGGAAGAGTTCAGAAAACATTTTTTGGTACCCATTTCTTTTTTATTAAAAAATTTTTTGCCTGTGTGATGATCCAAACATCATACCTGCCTTGAGCCGTCCCTGTATGTATGGATAATTAATATTTTATGCAGTAGAATGACAGTATTTCAAATGTGCAGGCACTATATGGCCCTTTTTTTTTACATTGAAATTGAAGTTGCTGTACAATTTTTATAATTCCCAAAATTCTTGTTTTAATTTATTGGCTACTGATTTTTTCTGTGTTTGGACATTGCTTTGGTATCAGTGGCCATCTACAAAAAACGTCACATGTCAGGGAAGTGGGGGTCTTCAAATTTCTGATGTTGTGTGATAAATGTGTCTAATTTGGGATTGGGAGGGGGGGAGGGTTACAATTCTGCTAAAATAATGTTACGTCATAAACAAAGAAATACAAAAATCTAAATAACAAATACATTTTAAAATGAGGGATGGATTATAGTTAATTAATATGGAGCGAGGGTATTTCGACATAAAAAAATCTGTCACCCTAAAAATTCTGTTGTTTATACATTTCTTTCAACAAATAATTTAAAACATGGCTCAGTGCTCACCATTCTATTATGTAAGAGTAGAGTTCTTTATTAAATTGTAATTGCTATAAAAATAATCATAAACCACAAGCAAACTCAACTCCACAAAAACCACACAACCAAATCACATGCACTCAGTCCTATTTGAAACTGTGTTGACAAAAGTACACATTAAGTTATATACATAAATACTGTTGTTAGCAATATGACTTAAAATTTGTAAAAAAAAATATTTTTCATTGATGTGCTAGGTAAACTCATTAAACACAGAATGGGGACAGAGACTGCAATGCAGAAGCGGAGTTATGAGAGCTCCATTAAATTTATGCAGCAAGAACATGCTTTTACACTCAAAGCCTTGCATGAAGAAATCATGGGACTGCAGAAAAAATGCACAGGTATGAAAGAAAATTATTTTAAGAATCAGTTTGAAATTAATCTTGGTGAAATTAATCTAGTTATGGAGACTGTAACTTTTGTTTGGTGTCACTGAAGAAGGGTAGCCAAATGACTGGTTATAAACCAGGCAGTCCTGTATTTCAGCATTCCCATAAATTACTAAAAGGCAATAAGATTCTCCTTAGTGTTGGTCATGGGCTTTTTGTCATTATTTTTATAGTATGTGAATGACAGTATTTAGCTAATAATTTTATTTTTTAAGCTTATTTTACTGGAATTTCAGACATAACACAGTAATTATGTATTAAATAGGGATATGCCTCTTTGAAATATAAGCATTAGTCTGTGTATGGTGAAGTCTATTTAGCCGAGTTAGTGCTTACGTTTTGGAAGTGTAAGGCTAGAAATAACTGTTTTGTGGGTAATTTATGATATAATTCTGTCCATATTTGAATTTATTTATCTGCATAAATTTTGTCTGGCTTGATACTGATGTTGCTTTGGCCTTTCAATCTACAACAAACAAATCAACATTACCTATACTCCTGAACAAAAACCTTAAAACAGTCTTGCATAAATATAAATTATTCTTTATTCCATTTCACAGATTTGACTTTCCAGTTGACAATGCAAGGATTGACTATAGATGAATCTGGTTAGTACACAATAAATAGAAACTGTTTTTTTTAAAATACATTTTGAATATTAAAGAAAACATTTTATAACTTAAGTGCATGTTACCAATTTAAAAAATAATTATGGAATGAGTCATTGCTAAGAAAATAAAATGAAATAAAATATTAAACTTTCAAATTGTATTTTGTAATTTATTCTTTTGATACAATTGTGTTCATGAAAGATTATTTTCCTCTAAGGGCACATTGATAATGAAATGCAGCAAGTACAAGAAGTGCTTGAATCATCTAAGGAAAAAATAGCTGCCCTGGAAAAAGAGCTGGCAGATCGTGATAAAAAAATTCAGAGGTTGGAGGCTGAAGCAAAGTCTCAGCGAAAGCGGTGGCTAGATGAAAATCGCATTCAGTCACAATCTATGAACACTTTAAGAGCAGAGTTAGAAGCTAAGGCAAACAATATAGCTTATCTCACAAGTGAGCTGTACAGATTAAAGCAGAGAAGTAAATCTGAGCACCATGAGGCTACAACTCAGGGCTTGCCCAACAGCAGTACTCAACAAAGTCCACCTGTGCAACAAGCATATCTTTATTCTGATTCATCACATTCTGTGAAAAAAACACTGATTCATCAACATTTCATTCCAGCCCCTCCCCCAAGGGATAAAACTCTTGGTATAGCTTCAGCTACATCTCGTCTAAGGAGAGCTGGGCAGAAGCCCGGGGGAAGTGGAAACGTTGGCAAGCCTGTGATTGCCATCCATGGTCCCAGTTCTGATACCTTGATCATTCGAAAATCAAATCAGATGCGAGTCAGCTCTAGCAGAAGCAGTGGATCTGATTCGCCAGACATCACACCATTCCTCCCACCATCCAGAGATGAGGTTATTCAGGTTGTTGGAGCCAAGCAGGCGCCAATACTTCCACCCATTCAAGTCAGTGCTAATGCCCATCCAGTCTTGGTGCATCATGTTGTGTCCTCAACTTCACAGAATCATCAGAGGAAAACAAGCTCAACAAACACAGAGGCAGCCATTGTTACATTAGCAGTGGAGAATGCAGCTGCCAATGATGGTACATGGAAGTTAGCTCATGAATCTCGGAGCTCTGAGTACAACTAAGGAGTGATTTACTGGGTTTATTCAACTTTCACATCGACTCAACTTTCTTTCATTGAGACTTACATGAAATGATTCTTACCTATGTTGTTTTAAAGCCGTCCAATAGTGTTGTTTACATTTGAAGAAATTTTTTTAAATTACATTTATGTGTTTGTCTATAATCTTTTAGAAAAGTGATATACACACTTTTTAACAGTGATCATTTGTTTATAAATATAACTCTCAGTTATACGATAGTTAAATATTTGTTTAATTAAGCTGCAGCCACTAGCTTCAAAGAGGAACTAATCTGATATTATCTCTTTTTCTAAGATCTTTGAACTCATGCCCCTGGTAACAGCACAGTCTAGATATAACTCAGGATCTTCATCTTGAGCTTCAGTTAAACGATGTTCATGAGTAATGATGGGTTTGGCTATCACCTTCCCACCAACTCATCTGATATAAGAAAAAGGATACAACAATTATTGATTTCAGAAGGTTCTGTTTCTTCTACTCTATAAATGCTTCTATGTAAATGGATCCTATTTAATTTAAAGCTTTGAAACAAATTTAATAGGTCTAAATCTCATCTTAGTAGATTAATTTCTGTTCTTGAATCCCCGGTACTAAAAAATTAACATGTGATATAGTGACATAAATGATAGATAGTTTAATTTATCTGTAACTGTTTCTCAATTTATTTTTATACTATTTAATACTATGTAATATATAGGTAATATGTTGATTTAACAAGGAAAAAAAGGATGCTCTTCATAAATAAACATTTGTTTTAATATTTTTTTCTTCAATAAAAATCATGAAATTGTTTTTTTAATAAATGAAATAACTTAATTACAGAGGCTGTGTGTAATTTTTTTCAATTATAAAGGTATTCAGTAATCATACAATTTTTAACTGTTTAATTTTTTCACTTCCTTTTTTTTTTCCTTTAAATAAAAAAAATAGAAAATTGGAATTAGTTCTTTTTAAAAAAATGTAAAGTTTATTTTTAAATAACTTTACTTGTCATAATGATTATTTAATAAATCTTTATTAGTTTATTTTATCAGAAAATTTACATATGCTTTTGTAAATATTTATACAAACTGCAATCCTTATGCAAGAGTAACACATTTGTTTAATGATATTTGAAAATAGTTTTATTCTTTACAAATATAGTAACAATAACAAAAGTTATTTATGTAATATCTGAATTATTGGGGGAAAAGTATAAACAATAGGTGTTTTCAAAAGACAAAGATTTTTTTCTCAGTTAATTCAATGTTATACTTGTTGCTGCCACATTTTATTATTTTATTTAAAATATTAATTAATAAGGATGAAGTTAATATTGAGGTATTAAACATATAATAATTTTAACAAAACTTTTTTCCTGTTTGAAAAAAACTGGTTCATTTTTTTTAAAATCTATAACTTTACCCAAGAAGACTCATCTTTTTGTGATCATATTTGGGCTTTTTTTTTTTATTTCCTATCCATCATGAACTTGTATTTATGTAAAACCAAGTTTATTTAATTCAATAGCCCTACTATACTTTAATTTCCTCCTGTTTTGCTGAAGTTGCTTTCTAATGGAAGAAAGAAAAAAAGTACAATATTGTGATCATATTTTAAGCTTACATTTAAGTCTTGCATAAAAAGATTTAACCAATGTAAGTTTTTTAATACCAAGTTATGAAAATGAAATTTCAACAATGACACTTTGATAGTGTGTAACATTTTTTATTTTTCATTTGGCCACAGTAGCCTTGTATTACAATCTGTATTCAGATGTAATATCATTAGAATACTGTTCAACTTTTTATCAATGGTTTTACCAATACAAATTACCAAATACACTGAAATGGCATAAAGATGGTTGATGATGTGTTATGTCATTGTAGACTAGAAATAAAATTAAAAATTATTTTCTTTTAAACTATTTTAAAAAGTATGAACTTAAGGCTGTAGTTTTCTTTTTTCTTATGGTCCATTTTCAATAAATATAGTTATTTTCATACAATTTCTCTTCATTTCTTCTAATGACTAGAATTTTTTTTTTTTTTTTTGGCGGCCAAGGCATTTTAAATATCGTTTGTTCTTTTAAAGTTTGACTAGAAAATATGTTTGTCCCTTTGTTCATGTGTGTGCGTATTATAGTATTGTTTAAAAATAAGAAGATAATTATCAACAAATAGGACAAGTGGTTTATGTAGCTTGTGTTGCATTAGTTCAAAATTAAGAGTGGATCGCAGTCATTTAATCTATACAAAATAAATTGTGAATAACTTACATTGTCACTTGTGTTTTATTTTTACGAAATGTTATTTTCAGTTTTGTTTAAATAACATTAATCTTACCAGGTGTAAAGAAGTAAATTGTGGATGTCCGAGGTGACTATTCATTATTGTGTGGACTGTTGAAAAAAATTTTATTAAGTGATTTTTTTGTATATAAATAAGTTTTAAAAGAATTGACTTTAAATGCCTTTAATTGTGTTTGTGGTTGATATCTTATCACATATGATATGAGACTTTTGAATGAAAAGTATCTTATAAAGCAATTATTTTATCATGCTAAAATATTTCTTGCAGTGAGATTAGCAGTTCTGAATGCCACCCCACCCCCATTTTGTGATGGATAATTTTACAAAGTTGATTATTTTAGGAAGTATAACAGAGGTAAAGAGTGTATAGAAAGTCTATATAAATTTATTATAATTTAATAACTTTGGAAAAAAAAATTCAACATAGAACTCTTTCAATATCATAAATAACAGTCCAAAAATATTGTTAGATCTATTTATAATAGTAAAAATCTACATCAAGTTCTTTTAACAAAAAAATACAATCATGTCCTTGTCAAATGAAGTAAAACAAAAAAAATACCTAAATTGTAAAAAAAATAATAAAATATTTGATATTCACTTTACATCCCCCTTAACTGTGATAACCAGAGGCGCAGGAAGGAGTTTTCAGATGGGGCCCCGGGCAGCAATTTTTTTTTCTTTACATGGAGTGGCGGCATTTTCCCTTAACTGCTGAGGACTTTTATTCTTTCGGGGGGGGGGGGGGGGGGGGGGGGTGGTTTGCGCTCAGAATTATTGCTCTGCCCAAGGCGGCACTAACCTTAGCTACACCACTGGTGATAACTTAGTTATCTTTAATGTCTTGATGGATCATGGTGACCCTTTAGAGTTCTCTGGTTGAATCATTTTTTTGGTTTGGTGATTTTAGCCATAGAACTATATTCCATATATGTATTGAGAGATTTAATTTATCTCATATTTATTTTACACACAGCAATTTAATGATGATAATACACACAACTACAAAGCTACCTTAGTTACAATGAGAGCAATCATTTTGTGCAACCATTAACTTTTACAAATAATTTTAAATCATTAACAGCAAGACATAACCATGTTCTATTTAATATGCCTACATTATTTCGATACATTGCAGTTAGCTATAGTTAAACCTATTTCTTTCAGCAGCTTAAATTACTTATGTTTTTTTCTCAACTCTGTGCAATTACTTTGACTATAAAGCTCATCCGAAAGCTCAGTTTAAACAAAAATAAAATATTTAGATATTAATTTAAGAAATAAAATGAATCCTAAAACAGTGTGTTTTTTTTGTTAACTTGTATTTTGTCCTCTTATCTTTTCCTTTATTCTGTCAAACCTCCTTACTCTGCTTAGCATTTATATACCACCAACACTATTCATTTAACATTACCACTACTTACATATCACTATTCATTCACCACTACCTTTACTTTTATACTTACACTTTATATTACACTACTTACATACCAGTAGGCCTACTTATTTATGGTACCATTACTTATATACCACTACTTATATACAATTACCACTACTTATATACCTCTAATTATATACAAATAACACTAATTACATACCAGTACTTATATACCTCCACTTCCAGACCACTACCAGTAGGCCTACTTACATAACTTACATACTACCAATACCAGTACTGGTATAGGGCCTACTACTACTACTACCAGTTTTGATGACTCCGTTTGGGATGGGGTTTTTTTTTTGTTTGTTTTTTTTTACTACAAGGGAGATAGGGTAAATTTTAAGCAATAAATCATTAGACCTACAAGCTAACATCTTCCTTTCAGCCACAGAAGTGATAACACGTGCATCTTCTTAGTATTAGCATACTTCTGTCAAATAACAAATGAACAAAAAGTACGTAAGACACCTTTCGCTCCCCATAATAAGATCGGTTCGGAAGAATTAATGTACCAATATCACCACCGAACTCAAAATTCAAGTAATGCTAATTGCAGCTTGGTGTGTTTTTCATTAGAGGTGTCGGGGGCAGAAGATAACGAGAGGCCGGTCCACTCCGGGCGGGACTTCTTTCTTTATATGCAGGGGCAGCATTTTCGGTAAATTGCGTAACCGGGTGGCACTACTAACCCAGTACGCCGCGGTTCACTGACTCAGTTTACACATCGAATATTTTCAACGTAGGATGGGGGGGGGGGGGGCGGGGGGGGGTCCCCCCCGGGCGCCCCTTTAAAAAAAGGGCGGCACTTTAAAAAAAATATATAGAATGGCGGCATTTTAAGCCAACCGCAGAGTTTGTTGTTTTGTTTTGGTGCATGGGTGGCAAAGATATTGACTCGGTCTGGCGGCACTAACACTAGCTACACCATTGATTCCACGTCCATGTGGTGATATCTTGCCAACAATTTTTTTTTTCTTCTTCGCTTTCGCTTGTGAATTTGTGCAAGAAATTAGAGACGTGGTAGGCAGGCCTATAATCATAAAGTATTGTGGACAAATTTAAAAAAAAAAACAACTATAAACTGATTTTATTGACACAAGTCTTGATTAAAATTAGGTAATAAATAAATTAGGCTATAAAACTTGTCTTAAAAGACATCAAAATAAATAAAAAAGACTCAAAAAACATCATCATGGTAATTAAATAATTTTTATTAGGACATTTGTAGCTTTCATGAAGACCATTAAAGAACATTTTTAAATGAAGTAAATTTATTGTAAAAATAACTATAAATTAACGTTGTTACAGTTCTAAAATTCATTGACCTCCTGACCTTCAATTAATTTTTTCTTGTCTTTGTTATACTATGACTATGGCAGTGGTTCTCAACCTTCCTAATGCCGTGACCCTTTGATAGAGTTCTTCATGTTGTGGCGACATCCAGCCACAAAATTATGTTCGTTGCTACCTCATAACTGTACAGTATATGTGTTTTCCAATGCTCTTAGGCGACCCCTGGGAAAGGGTCGTTTGACCCCCAAAGGGGTCGTGAGCCACAGGTTGAGTACCGCTGTACGTTGGCGTGTGTGGATTTATGTAAACAAGAAGAAATCCATCGTGGGTTGGGGTGGGTGAGGGTGAGCGAGGGCACCAGTCAACGTCAACAAAGCGAGCTCCCCCCTTCCCGCATATAGATTTAAGTGGACATCATTTTGCCTGTTAGAGTTTTGAAATAAAAAAGAAAACGGATTTACAAAATTCAACCATTCTAGGGTTGCCAGGTCTGCTTCCAGAATATAGTGGGACCAAAAAAAAGTGTGTGTGGGGGGGGGGGTGCGCTGGCTATGGTGAAGACGAATTCGGAATAAGGCTATCCACAATGGATATTAACATTGTAAAGCTTCTATCCCATTCGATGCCTCAATCTGAATTCGTTGTCTTTGGAAAGGGATCCAAAGCTCGAGAATATTAGAAAAGTTGTTCCCTTCTTTTCTTTTATCATCATTCCCATCACAACGTACTGGGGAAGAAATATCCCAGACGTCCACCCACCCCCCCACCCCCCCCCCCCCCCCCCCCCCCCCCCCCCCCCCCCCCCCCCCCCACCAAATAATTACATTGCCTCACCACTGGAGTGATGTGTATGAAATTGTGATTTTTTTTTCCATGCTAATCGGTGAATGTTTGTGATTCTTCATGGCAATAGTTTACGTAATTTTTTTAATAAGATAATTGGTATTCTGTTATTTCAATGCATATTCCCAAACTAAGCTAATTGGTGAATTTACCTGTTATTTTAATGCTTTACATAAGTGGTTTTTTTTGTTGCAAATTGATGTATATATGGGTTATTTCCATGCTAACTTGTATATGTAGGTTTTATTTCCCATAATTAGTAACTGTCTGTGTGTTATTCCCATAGTAAGTGATTTACATGGCACGGTGTTGATTAGAAATTTATTTTTTGTTTGTACTAAATTTTAATATGACTGTATACATAAGTTTAATAAAAGTTTACTGTAAAATAAATTCTTTTTTTTGCAATATTTGTTAAACTCCATGTCCCTCAGTATTGGTTCTTTACTAAAAACAAAAGTAGTTGATACTTAACATTTACAGCAATCCGGTATTAATCATAGTAGAGGAGTAGACGAGCCATTCATTAATTAGTATTTACATTAATGTGGCAGTTTTTGAACAGAAAAAAAACAACTGAGGACTATGTAGGTGAGAAGAGATAGCGAGGGGAGAAATGGAGATATGGTCTGCTAGCTAAACAGGAGTTAAAACGTATTAATATCTTTACCTATTTTCTAATGTTCTCTCTATTGTGTTGAATGCACCAAGAGTGTTTAAAAACTGCTTGATTTAGTTGAAAGAAGTGGAAAGATCGGTCGGCAGAAAGGTGTTGTCCATAAGTTACGTCAGTCACCCTCGGGTAGAGTTTCAGAAAGTTTGATTGTGACATTGGGGGAAAAGGGGGCTTCATGTGACTGAGGGAGGATATCATATGTGATGTCAATCAATTAATTTTCAATATTCATTAACAATATTTGAAACATGAAGCCTTTATTAGAGTGAGTCTCCTAGAAGCAAGGAGCCCCTTAGAAGCGCGGGGCCCTAGGCAAGTGCCCACCATGCCTTAAGACGACACTGCGACCCCTGGCCTAGACCATCCTTTGTAATTTCAATGCCAGCATAAACTGACGGAATGCTCATTGTGCTTTTGTGATTGGAAACCTTTTTTTTTTTTGGAAGGAATTTTCGTTTTAAAAAAATGTTGTTCAAAATTCATTCATTATTTAAGACGTTTACCCTCAAAATAGATTCAATACAAATTCAAAGCCATATTACTATTTTAGTAATATATCAACAAAAAATGTAGGCCTATGACCATGGGCGCCCGCAGGTAGGGGCAAGGGGGGCACTTGGCCCCCCCCCCCCCCCGGATTGATTGGATAAATTTTTTTTAGACAAAAATAGACAAAAAATTTATTGAAGTAAAGAGAAAATAAAGAGAAAGTAACCAAGCTGATGTCCTGTCCGTTCGTTCACCATACAAATACGCTACAGTAAATTAAAACTATATTAAAACATTACTAAAACATTTTTGCCCCCCCCCCTGGAAAGTTAATCGATTCCCCCCCCCCTAGAAAGTTTCTGCGGGCACCCATGCCTATGACACAAGCAGGTCCAGCAGTGCCGTCGCTTGACCTCCCGAGGCCCCTTGACCCCCCCCAATTTGAATGCAGTGTTGATCATATAAAAAAAAAACTCGAAAATATCCGAGGTTCCCCGTAGCCGTCGGAGTTGTGAGACCAACACGGTGGCTCTGAGGTTAAGTTAATGACACATACATTTTTAACAAGCATTTTTGCCGTTGCCCTCTATTTAAGTGTAGGATGCTGTAAAACTAAATTCTCGTATTTTCTTCAATGCATTCTCGTATTTTAAATTTATCCAAAATTTTCTGGGCTCTCTAAAGATTTAAAGGACGAGAATAACATGGGCAAAACGCATAAACTCAAAGGTGCCACAACTGGAATGAATTTAGTTTATTTTGGGCTGGGGAGGAGTGAGAGATATTCTTGATCATTATTATGGCTAATTTTGCCACTTCTCACTAGAACAGTGGTTCTCAACCTTCCTTATGCTGCGACGCTTTATTAGAGTCCCACATGTTTTGCCGACCCCCACCACAAAATTATTTTCGTCGATACTTCATAACTGTTAGTGTATATGTTTTCCGATAGTATTAGGCAACCCATGGGAAATGGTAATTCGACCCCAAAGGGGTCGCGACCGACAGGTTGAGAACCACTGCACTAAATCTGAAGTGTCCCCTCAAAATTGTCTGAAAGAAACACCGAATTCAAGTATGCACCAAAATGCATCCCGATTTTGAATTTGCCAGAGTCTTCGACACCCTTAATTGCTGCTAGCGATTGACAAAAAGAGATTTTCTGATTTCGGCCGAAACAAGGCCGAAAGTTAAAATTGACTTTTGGCCAAAACCGAAAGCAAAAGCTTAACGAGACTTTCGGCCGAAACCGAAGCCTAAACCGAGAGATTTAGATATCTAAAATTCCTTCACACATACATTCTTCATACATCGAAAAATGAGGGGGAGGGGGGGAAGTATCAATATTTACATTCTTTTTATAAAAAAATTAGATCATCGTGACTATTAATAAATAATAAATACTTTGTCTTTTACCATTTTAATTAAAAAGTAATTCAAATTTCTTAAAATTGTATATTATTTTCACCTAAATATAAGTTAGTAAGGCTATAAAAATATAGGTTTCGTGGTTATCGTTATTCCAATGCTCTATGTTTTTATAACTAGCTGCCAAGAATTCGCTGTATTAATATTTAGCCTAGAACCCACACTAGTTATTTCGTGGCTGGTGACGTAATTATTTCGTTCGGCGACCAACATCCCTCACCCCATTTTTTTAAAAAAAGGGGGGGGGGGGGGTTATTTTTAAAAACAGGTCTCTTAAAATTGTTGAGCCTATATGAGCATGATAATGATGAATTTCAAGAAATGAATGAACTAAAAAAAGCCTAAATTTTCCTTATTTTTATTTTGTTAAAAGTGAAACAAAATAATAATGGAAATATTACCATTCCCTTGGATTATTCAATATTATTCACCTTTGCCTATGACAACATTGATGAGCATGATAATTATAGCCTAAATCAAAATGAAGATATCAAATGAATGAATTGAATAAACCTAGGGTTCCATATTTTTTTTTTTTTTTAAATAGTAATAATTATATAAATATTACAATTCCATTAGTTTATCTCCCGAAACTAGATCAAAAGTTAACTTTTCTAGCCGGCCGAAACCAAAACTTAGCCGAAAGTGATCAAATGGCAACTTTCGGCGCCGAAACTGAACGGGCCCCAAATAAAGCCCCCAAATGGGTAAAAGCATCTGGCTTAAATGATGATATAATATTTTTAAATACAAATCTTCGTGCCCCCCACTTCCCCGCCCCCCACTTCCCCGCCCCCCTCAACCGTGACATACCATGTAAATCTCGTGGGTCATGGCCAACACGCAATGGAAGTCTGTAACTTTGTAACAGATTTCTACTGATTACGAGGAGCTGAGTCCAAGGTCTTGAAAACTGGGTTAACACGTGCTTGTTGCTTATAGAACATTAAATATATTTTTAGACCTGATGTAGGTTATGCGAAATAAAGAAGTACTGCAAAAAGATCTGTTAAGGCTTTTAAAAAAGGCAGAACAATTAAAACTAAATGCCTCCCCAGCAGATAATACAAATACAAAACAATAAATAACTAATTATTTGAAATTAATAACTAATTTGGTTTTCCTATAACTCAAGCGATCTTAATTTATGTGATCAGTATGTTCTTTATTTGCCAGAGTGAAATTTGATTCAAACTTTTTATTTAAAATTTATTTAAGTATGTATCTCAGCACTTAATAGGAAATATTATTTACAATAAATTTCCTTATCAATATTTATATTTTTAATATCTAACCATTTATTTTTGTTGATTTATTTTCCTCATCTTTGTTTTCATTTTCAATAAAGTAACATAATAATCGACATATAACTGTTCTAGAAATCTGGTTGCACATTTAGCAGCCCGTACAGAGTACAGTTATGAAAATCGGGGTCAAGTTCAAATTGGGGCAATCACCCCGTGCGACTGTGTATATTCACCTTTTGATCTCGAGAGTTTCACATTCTGACTCTTGAGGAATCTTTCTCACTCTGAAAACCATACAACTGTAGAAACTACGTCTATGGATTTTATCAGTATTAATCACTCACTCTAAGAAGTCAAATCTAAGGACGGCTCCTGCTTGGAAGTTAAATCTTTAAGTAAGTTTAAATAGACGACTAAGTTAGACTTAACTTAACAACAACATAGTTACATACTAAAAATAATGACATACTTAATTGAATTATAACTTAGGACTTAATTATATTATAATTATACTATTAAGAATTCAGTCGATTATTACTTGGCATATGCCTATACTATACTGTATACTATATTTAATAAGAGTAACACCCTCCTTTCATTCATATTATTTAGCCTACTTACTACAGTCTACAGTGTACAGCCTACGCCAACTTCACCACAGTCCCACAGTACAGGCTACATAATAATAATATTGTAAGTAATTATAATAAAAGACATACCACCTTCCTATTATTAGTATTATTCCTAGAATTACAAATTATAGTTATTATATAGTATAAATACTATACTATAAATAGTATGGAAAAACCTGAAATGTTTTGTCTTCGTTGCACCTCTAATTTTTTGGAAAAGTTCATCAAAAAAGTTGTAAAAAAAAATGTAAAAATGTGTAATTTTTGTAAAAATGCGAAAAATTAAAAAAAAAAAAAAAAAATTTAAAATTAGGCACCCCAAAAAGCATGCAAATGTAGTGAAATAAAATGAGCCATAAAGGAAAAGTTCATCAAAAAAGTTGTAAAAAAAAATGTAAAAATGTGTAATTTTTGTAAAAATGCGAAAAATTAAAAAAAAAAAAAAAAAAATTTAAAATTAGGCACCCCAAAAAGCATGCAAATGTAGTGAAATAAAATGAGCCATAAATCGATCCCTAAACCTAACCTGGGGTTTGACCCTATCGGAACCAGGCTTTTGACCTTATATCGGAACCAGGGTTTTGACCCTATCTGAACCAGGGTTTTGACCCTATCTGATCCAGGGTTTTGACCCTATCTGATCCAGGGTTTTGACCCTATCTGATCCAGGGTTTGACCTTATCGGAACCAGGGTTTTGACCCTATCGGAACCAGGGTTTTGACCCTATCGGAACCAGGGTTTTGACCCTATCGGAACCAGGGTTTTGACCCTATCGGAACCAGGGTTTTGACCCTATCCTGAAAGGCGCAAGTAAAAACATTTGGAATTTACACATTGTGGTAAGAATACTATGAAAATGAACAAACAAAAAAAAATGGCCCAAAATAATTAAAAAATAAAGAGATAATGAAAACCCAACTCATAAAATACACTTTTACACATTTTATCACAGGTTCCACCAAAAAGAATATCCAGAAAATGAATAAAATACAAGGCCAGCACCATCAGACGTGAAGCCCAAATCCATGAAAGAAATATACCTTATAACAATGGTTCTCAACCTTTCCAGTGCCGCGACCCTTTAATACAGTTTATCCTGTCGTGGCAACCCCCTGCCACACAATTATTTTTGTTGCTACTTCATAGCTGTAAGGATATGTGTTTTCAGGTGGTCTTAGGCGACCCCTGGGAAATGGTCTGGCGACCCCCAAAGGGGTCGTGACCCACAGGTTGAGAACCGCTGCCTTATATGACCCAACCAATGAAAATTTAAAATTATAATTAATCAACCAATTAAAATTATAATAAAAAACATGCCATCGGCGTATGAATACTAATACATAAAAAATAATTCTCTAAAAGTAAAAAAAGGGAAGTGATTCCCACAGGTAACACTCAAAAGACGTTGTGGCATCCTATCCTTGTTTTAGCCTACAAATCTATCTAATGTGGACAGTGGACAGTGCTACAATAGCTAATGAGTAATAATAATTATAATAAATTATATAGTATTGTATTAATATAGGTTATATGCTAATTCTAATAATATAGCCCTTCAACTACAATTGACTCAATGACAATAAATATAGTTTTAGATAGGCCTAAGGGTTGTAACTAAGCCTATCATAGAACTATCTAAGCTGAGTATGCAGCTATAATCTATAGCCATGCCATAGACTTATGGCATAGTGGCCCAAAGCTTAAAAATTATAGTATAGTTATATACAAATTATAGTATAGTTATATTAAAGGTCAATATCAATTGTTAAGCCTACCCTATATTTTTAATATAATGGCTATATTTATATGACCATTAAAAATTTTGGATTACACTTAGGCATACAATGTATGGAGATATCTTCTGTGTTGAAATTTGCATTCATGTTTACAAGGTTGTCACGATACACACAGATTAATGACTTCGTAGCTGTAATTTTATTTTATATTTTCTGGGATGGGTTAAAACAATTTTTGACATAACATTGTCATGTTTTTTTCATGTTTCAGGTTAATTAGAGATGAGGCTTGTTGGAAAACATTTTTCATACTTGAGATTCATTCAAATACATGGCTTTATAATATGAAGAGACACTGCTCTAAAGCGTGATGAATACAGGAATTAAAACGCACCACCTTCTAAAAAGTTGTGGTGTCATATTAAATAAGCCACATCAAAGATTGGTGGTATGTTTATTCAGAAGAGATATTACTAGTGCATTAGCCTCAAATCCTAAAAGTATTTGTGAGACTCAAGATAGATGGTGTAGATATAAATCATTTGTATCAAGCCAGAAAATGGCAATTCCAGTTATGAATGGGGCCAGTGTAAATGAAGAGATGCATCAGATTTCCAAGGAGGCACTATCACAGTATAATGTTGGTGAAGCAGATGGATGGCTCAATATTGGTCAGTACAGTATATTTGCCTGGAGTGTTTCTGGTGTAGAGAGCTGTATAGTCATAAAATCTGAAGATGTCCAGTTTGCTTTTGATATGGGCACTGCAGTTCCTGAGAGTATAAAGGCCTCAAATGTTTTTATCACGTAAGTTTTTTTATAAACAACATTTAATGATAGAGTTTTGGATATTATTTATGTTTAGATTGCATTGTGTAGTGTTAGTCCTTTTATGGTCAATATTTAGAAATTTATATTTTTAACTTTAAAAAAACATTTTGTAGTTGCCATTCTTATTCTATGTAAATTTTCCGGTAGGGGGAAGTCTTATTCTGAGTTGCAAAGGGTCAAAGTGATTTCCTAGCTGAATTTAAAATTACCTATAGCCCTACCTCACAGTGAGATGGCTTTAAGAAACTTGCTGCAAAAATATACCCCTCTTACTTTGAAGTGGGTACCTTCTTTCTGTTTATAGTAGAGCTACTTGAAGTGTTTACTATAAAAACTTTTAATTTTTATTCAAAATGTACAAAACACTTGACATTCTTAACACATTCAGCTTGTATTACTCATATTTGTAGTTCTTCTGCTTATACAAAATCTATAAAAAAGGCTAAAATAAACCTTTAAAGACTATATTGTTTTAAGTCTAAAGATGTTACCTTATCAAATGCCATGTTAACTTAATCCTTGAATCAGTACATGTGTTGATCCTTTGTTTATATCTGAAATTTTTTCAACCAGACATGGGCATATTGATCACATAGGAGCAGTTGCAAACCATGTATCAAAGAGAAGTCTGACTGGGATGAAACCTGCTAGATATTTTGTACCTCCTCATTTGGTTGAACCCTTAAGTGCAGTCATGCAAGCTCATTATCAGATGGCTGAGACTGTAGGATCCATTGAATCCATTAAACCATTCGTAGAAGGAGATGTTGTCAGAGTAAGAATGTTTTCAAAATATTTAAGAAATATGTTTATTGAATTGACCCTGAAGACACATTAGAGGTTAAAAAGAAATGTTTATTGTTATTTTAATAAATACAGTAAAAGTCCTAGTTACTTTGTATAATAGGGGTCTGCAACTTTTTTGTGCAGAGTGCTGCACTGAAATAATTTTTTTGGTAGGCTGCATGATAGTTTTTAAAATGCGTCATTGAAGAATGTTTTTGCAAATTCATTCTGGTTCAGTTATACAAAAAAATAATGAAGTACCAGTGGTATTAATTTTAAATTTCATGATATTATGGTTATTTTAGTTGGAAATTCTTGCACTATGATTATTAATCTTGATAGATTAAAATTTTAAAGATAATTATTCACAATGTGTACATTTTACAAAAACATAAATCCAGTTCACTGTAAGGTTTCAGCGGGCCGCAGGTTGCTTTATAACAATGTGTAACATGTTTTTCATATACCTATTAAGAAAAAAATTGAAAGTAAGTCAATGTTCTAATTTTGAATGTAAAAAAAATTTACAATAAAAATTCTAGCTTTTTTAAACTAAATTAATTGCATGCATGTAATGTTTGTTCCTCTTAACTCTGATTTCCATAGGAAATATAATAAATTATAATTTCATCAACAGTTAAACAGTAGTTACTATGTAAAAGCTTTCCCTACCATTCATCGGATCCCAAGTCAAGGTTATATATTGTACAAGGAAGTGAAAAAATTGAAAGAGGAGTTCAAAGGCATGCAGGGTTTCCAAGTGGCAGCTTTACATAGAGAAGGCAAGGAAATTCATGACATCATTGTCACGCCAGAAATTGCTTATTGTGGTAAGTCAATCTTTAAGAAAAATTGAATTTTTGTTTGTCCACATTGTATTATTGTTACTATTATCACAGCAGACGGCCCACCACTGTGCCAACACCTACTGGCTAGACCTTATCAACTTCATACAATCGGCTTCAGACAACGGAGATGCAAGGAGCATGTACGAGGGCATCAGGAGGGCATTTGGTCCACACACGTCAAAAATAGCACCACTCAAGTCCAAGACGGGTCAAATTATCAAGAATCCAAATGATCAACTCCGGCGTTGGGTAGAGCATTATCTTGAGCTATACTATACAATGAATGTAGTCACTGAGACCGCTCTGTCAGTAATGAATGAACTGGATGAAGAGCCAACTTTACAGGAGCTCGAAAAAGCCATTACCTTGCGGACGGGAAGGCTCCAGGGATCGACGGCATCCCAGCGGAAATCCTCAAAAATGGAAAACCTATCATACTTCAGCCCTTACATGAGCTCCTCTGTCTGTGTTGGGAAACAGATCACATTCCCCAGGACATGAGAGACGCCAACATCGTAACATTGTATAAAAATAAAAGGGACCGAATTGATTGCAATAACTACCGAGGCATTTCTCTCCTTAGCTTAGTTGGAAAGACTTTTTCACGTGTTGCCCTTAAACGATTGCAGAGTCTTGCGAACCGCATCTACCCAGAGTCCCAGTGTGGCTTCAGGAGTGGGAGCTCAACAATAGACATGATATTTTCGCTACGCCAAATGTAGGAGAAATGTCGTGAACAGCTTATGCCTCTTTATGTTGCCTTCATAGACCTGACCAAGGCATTTGACTTGGTAAGTCGAAGAGGCCTTTTCAGTATCTTGCAAAGAATAGGTTGTCCCCCACAACTGCTCACAATAATAGTCATTTCACAAAAACATGCACAACACAGTAACTTTCAATGGCACTGTCTCTGAGTCATTCCCAGGTAGCAGCGGAGTTAAACAGGGTTGTGTACTGGCACCAACGCTCTTTTCCATTTTCTTTTCGATGCTCCTTCAATTTGCTTTCAGCGACAGTGAAAATGATAAAATCTAACTGATAAAACAAAAATAAGTGTCTATCAGGCATGCATGCTTAGCACGCTCCTATATGGTAGCGAAGTGTGGACCACATATACCAGTCAGGAGCGGAAACTCAACAGCTTCCATCAAAGATGTCTGCATCGCATTTTTACGTATTCGTTGGCAGGACAGGGTTCCTAACGTGGAGCTACTCCATCGTCTCACGAAGACGGAAGGATGCCATATATATTATATTGTTGAACGATCTTTCATTTTAATTACCCTATGATTGAAATAATTTTTTTTTTAAGTTCAATTTAAAAAATACTTAAAATTAAAATTTAGGGAAAGGGTAGAGTTGTAAAAATTAGAACAGATATAAAGATGTGTTAAAATGCCCTGACAATTATATATTTTTTTTGACAATAAGCTTCAGCTGAGCAATACATTTGTTCTGCCAAGTTAGACTCACTTTCTAAATTACAATATTTAAAAGTTTATGGACATGAGACTCCAGTTGAAAAACTAAAATGAATTATATATCATTTTAAAGGTAATTGGTGCTCTTTAATTGATATTAGGTGTTTATTCAAAATATACTTGCTAAAATTGATATATTATTATTTTTAGGCATGCCTTTTTTTTTTATGTCTGCAAAAACATAACCTCACAGCTTTAAAAAGAAGTAAAAAATATTGTTTTCAAATATAGCAATAAAATTGATTTTTTATTAGAGTGTATTCAATACTACAATACATACTCAAATGTAAAAAAATAGACTCATAAATAAATTAGTCATGACTATTTGTAGACAACATATCATTCAAGGAAATATTGCCCAAAAATGTCAATTATTTAAAAAAAATTATTAGTAATTATTATTTTAGAATAAAGTTTAAGAAAAAACATATTTTAGTTAGTAATCTTTTTTTTACTCTATTGAGGTATCGATCAGATGGTCGAATCCTTCGTAGAGACGATGCACATAAAATTCTTGAAAACAATTTTTCTTTATTAAAACATAAAATGTATCAAAAACAAAGCATCTGACACATGCTCTGACCATTTTACTCTTGTTTTGATAATTTTTTTATTGTCAGGTTGCAGGGCATGAAGTATGAATATCAGGCTTTACACTAACTGGTACATCATTTAAGATGTCCTTTATCTCCTAAATTGTTAATTAATTTCTACATTTTCTTGATGCTGATACAGTTCATTGTATTTTTCATTGATACTTTATTTTTAGTATCATAAACTTTTAGGAAACTCAATATGGCCTTGAATATGTCCTTAGTCATAATGGCCTTGCTCATAGTTCATCAAATAAGGATTTCCTGAACCACAGTCTTGTAAAATTAAGATCTTGAATAAGTCAGGCATTCATAATAAATCCACTTAGTAGATAAAAATCCTCTTAAATGATGTTAAACCAGTACCAAATTTTGAAAACAGAAAGTTCCTTATGTCAATTGTTCTGTGCACACTGCTTACTAATACACAACTGAAACTGTAGTAAAATAGAGTTTGAAAAAGTGTATATGCTTTTGAAATCTCCTCATAACTTCTCTTGTTTTAACATCAGGGAGCAGTATGTTTGTACCTCCGGTCTAAATGCAGAAATCCACTTAAAGCCCCACTAGTAGTGGGATTGGTATTTTGGTCTGTCAGATATGACTGATTTTTTCAATCTTTCGTCTATGGAGAGTTAATGAAGGATGGATGTAAACGTAAAAATCAATAACATTAGTGATACTGTGATTGACATCACAGCACAAATAAAACACCACAAAGATAATACACATGAAGTACACATTTTTTCCTTCTCTTGATCCATAGGTGATACAACATTTGAAGTGTTCACTAACCCACCTACTTCAGACCTGCTTAAAGTAAAGCTACTGATTACTGAAGCCACTTTTCTAGATGATGAAATAGGTTGAGTTTAAAATTAATTTGTTTATTAGTAGTGCATATAATGTATACATATATTTATTGTTAACCTTAAAAGTTCTAGTGATAAATTAATAGTGAGTGTTTCACACAAAATGGAAACAACTTTAGAATCTTTTAAGGCACAGGCAATTGGAGGCAATTTTTATAAAAGAATTGGAATATTTTTAATGCTGCAAAAATAAATAAAAACATGAAACACCTAGATGGCTGCCTTAATATTATTTTGAGGGCTTATTATAAATAATTTAATACTTTCCATTTTGCTTTGCTTGCAGGAAAAAATATGGTACAGAAAGCAAAAGATAGAGGACATACCCATTTGTTAGAACTGTCACAAAATGCAGATCTTTTTGATGACGTGGGGCATATTGTTTTGGTACATTTTTCCAATAAATATTCTCCCAAGTATATCAGAGATTGTGTATATCATAAGCTACCCCCAAAGCTAAGGATCAAGGTTACCCCTGCTACAGTGGCCAAAGCAACCACAGCAACAACATAACAATATGTTCTTAATCTGGAATAGTTTGTTGTAAATTCAAATCCATCTTGTTTTTTTTTTTAGTAAACTGGTGTACACATTCAAAAAGCTAATGTACTTTTATTTTTAAAATATTTTTATCCTGGGACATTTTCAATAACACAAAGTTTAAAGTTAAATTGAATGTTCTTAGTAAATAAAAATGTGTATCTTTATAGATCTTTTTATATAGCAGTTTTACCAAAAAATCATCCATATAATTGGAATTACAGATTTTTAAAAGAATGATAATAGTTGCAAAGTAACAGATTTGATTAATATCAAATTTAAATTTTAAAAAATTTAAATAATTTTTGTTTTACCTGTATCAAAATCTTTGAACTCTGGTTGGGAATTTTATCAAAGGCCACTATTACTTGTATTTACATCTACTTTTGATCTTGTCATATATCCCGGTTTGTGTTTGAAAACTGGATTTTTAAACTGTGATTCTAAGTTTTTAAACACTTTTTTTTTTCATCTTCAGGTTTTTATTTGAACATTCAATCATGCATCTACCAAAGAAATAAATGTATGAGCTATTATAATCAGTTTCTTATTTGTAAATAATTGGCATCTGACATCACTTTGGATTTATTAAATATTTCTTTCTCAGGTTTATTTTGATATCTACTGGTGCAGCTGTAATAAGGCCATAAATAAAACCATTGGTTCTGTAATTCATTTTCATTATAATTTAAATCTCACAAAAGTTTCATTATTTTGTTTTGAGTGTTTGCTTACTTTGTTGGTGTCATTAGAAGTCATGTCTATGTAGGCTTACCTTTTCAACACAAAGCCCTGATACATATGATCCTTATAGTTAAAGACAAAGATATTATTTAACAAAAGAATTTCATCTGCTTACATTGATTTGTACTTGAAAATCTTAAGTGAGATTTCACCAAAATTACCTGTCACCAATCACAATACAGACCTTTTGGGCATCTAAACATCTTGACTTCTTTTATTTTTTCATGTATTTAACTTTGAAAGATTACTATTTATTACACCAATTATGAAGCATCCCTTCCATTTACCTGTCTTAGAGCTTTGGTGCAAGCAATAATTTTCCACACCCATTCTCTGACATAAAAACATAGTCTCATGCAGTGGCTTTCAATTTCAATCTTTTTAAAACTGCAGACCATTAAGGGGTACCTTTTATAGTGGAATTAAAAACTTTATATAGGGAGCGCTTATTTTTTTATAAAATGACAATGCTAGTAGTCAGTTACTTTAAATAATCAGAAGTCCATCTGTAAAAAAAATTACTTAAATGAAAGTCTCGAGCTTTGAGAATGTTATTTCAAAAATATTGGTGCAAAATCCACTGCTACATTTTTCCTTGAATACTTTACAATTGTGGCTGCAGTGTAGTTTCGGAGAGATGAATTCTTAGTTTCTCCATTTGGTTTTATCACTTGCATTGATACAACTGAAAATAGAGATGCTTCATCAAAAGTTCACTTTTACAAGGATTCTCATTTTCATAGTAGACGATTTAAATTAAAACAATTTCTTTGGCTAACATTTAGCACACACAAAAACTCCTAGATAATTATTTATGATTAGATCTATGTCTCCTTGCACACTACTTATTTTTGAATGCATCCTTCTAAGTTTAAAAATATTTGTGCAAAACAACTGAAAAGGCCATAACCACATCCATTTATCCATTCATTCTTCATCCTAGGAAAGCGTTGAGCATATGAAGAGATTCATTTTTCTGTAGGTCATGTGGCGGATTGGGGATGCAATCAAGAAATGTGCTGCATTGGGGATGCAATAAATTCTTTGCTTCATCAATCAGAGTAACATGACTACTCTTGTTAGTAGATATATTTTTACAGTAAAACCTAATGATCTTCTTATTCTCTCTGCTGCTTGATCTTCATGTGGATAAAAAATTTACTGGTACCTTTAAATGGTCTTCTAACATAATAATGTAGCCTACCATATGTTTTAATAAAAGGCCATAATTTGTTGGTGCACTGGCTGGAAATTTCCTATGATCAGTTCAGTTTGAATGGTTTAAATTTAAAAGGGATGGCAAGAATGAACAATACAGTTAATTTTCTAAAACTTGGTAGTAATATTTGCTTTCGCTTTGAAAAGTGATTATAGAAAGAATTTGAAAATAATGGTTTCAAAAGAAATAAGGAATATTATTGCTACAGGCTAAGACCAAATTTGTGGTGCAATTTTATAAAAACAATGAACAGAAAAAACATTTTTAGAAACCCACAAATTTATTTATAAATGATTTACAATAATGTTGATAAGGTACATTGTAGGCCTACATCATAAAATAAATTGTGTAGTAAGCATCCAATCACATATAAAAGAATAACATTGTGAATAAGGTAAACTCGATGTTGTTTTAACGATTCGAGGTGACTTAAATATACTTTTAATACACTGTTCTTACTTTAAAAAATGGGAGTTGGAATTAAAAAAAAACCAACATGAAAGATACAAGTCAAACCCTCTGGATCACAGAACAATGCCAATGTGTGAGTGATTGTGATGACGCATTGAATTAACAAACAAGTGTAAAAACTATTTTACTGCTACTGCTACCAAATTTGTATACTTAACTTTTATTTCTTCTGACAAACATTCATTAAATAAAGAATTAGTCACTAGCTGTAAATTATAAAGAGAAAGAAGTTATATAAGGTAATAGTAATACTCTTTTAAATTTAAATAATTCAGCCTGTAATTGTGAACATACAAGAACATGCTAAAGACATAGACAAAACTATTAAGAATTCCTCATAACATTTGTAAAATTCAATTGAATTTATAGAAATATTTGGTTATTCTACCCTAGAAATATCTCTTCCAAACAAAATTGTCTTTGTCCAGTCAAGAGGCACTTGCATTCTTAGGCGCCAGCTTCCAAGGCGAGTCAAATAAGCAGATCTCCATAAAAACCAAGATGCCACACCTTTCAAAAAGTAGAAGGAATCATAAGTATGTATTTTATATAACAGGAATGTCAATGAATGAGTAATTCCTCTACTAAAATATTTAATCCTGGGTACGGTATTCTTAGTTTTACTAATTAAATATATTTTTTTTGGAAGGTGGAGTTTGAAATTAATTTTTTTTAAAATATCAATTAACATACAATAGTTTCAAGTTCAATTATTTCCATAAACCTGTACAGATTTACAACACCCTGAGGGAAAACTAAAGCCTCTAAAACTGATTTTACAGTAACACCTTCAAATCACATTGTCCGAGTATAAGAACAATAGTCTTAAAGATGGACAGAGCCAACAATTTCAAACAAATACTTGTGTAAAATATCAATATGGAATATTAATAACTTTTTTTTTTTTAAACAGAAAAATGTGAGTTCTTCATGAAAATGTACCAGTATTCCATAATATTGTTTTCCTTATTTGAAGCACACAGCTATTTATGAAAGATCTGTCTGATTCATCAAAATTTAAGCTGTATTGATTTTGGCTGACGTATCGGTATTGCATATCATTTATCAGAAGTACATCTTAAAAAACGTTTATGAATTACCCCATGAATATTTACCTTTAAATTTTAACTGTGGGGTATCACTGAGGCCCTGATAGCGACCAATATATGCCAACATCCCTAAGCTTTTAAACTCAAAGGGACCTACTTTCTCTTCATCACAATTGAAATTAAGAAATTTGCTTAGGTAGCGTCCTTCACGTTCCGCAACCTGGAGATTAATTGCCAATTACATTGGTACAATTTAATAGTTCTCAAAATGTTAAAAACAAATGTTTAAAAGATTGCTTTTGCCTTAATGACTGTCTTGAATGGCTATAGTTAACATAAGTCTCCATTCGTTTTATTTTAATGAAAATAAAATATAAACTTTGCAAACACTTGGCTCTATTTACCTGAGCTGTGCAAGGAAGAGACATCTCTTCAATGTCCCCACAGTCACCAATGGCAAAAACATTTTTCTTTGGCTCATCTTTAACTCTGAGAAATCTGTCTGTCAATATCTAAAATTTCAAGTTTCAATAAATTAAAAATTCTGAGTTATACCAATAATAATAATCCTACCAATTTTATAAAATGGGAAACTTCTTTTGAATAAATTTCAGAAATTGAATAAAAATATTTTTGGCTTGTTAACCCTACAAAGGTCTGCACATAGCTCAAACTTTGTGTGTATAATATACTGTTCCAATATTATTAAAAAATACCTGACCAGCTCGATTTTTTGTGTATTTGAGAGTTTTTGTGAAATCTCGTGGGGCTAGACCAGTGCTCCAAACAACAAGGCCACATGGGATAACTGTGCCATCTCTAAGTTTTACGCTGTTTGCGGTCACCTCTAAAAAAAATTATAATTAATACAAATAAAATGAATGTACATTTTAAATCTTCTACAATGTTCTTTAATTATGACAATCATGGCCATCTCCAAACATCTAAAAACATCTGAAATATTTAAGATAAAACTACTGAAATGTTACAATAAGGAAATGGGGTCAGCGGGGCGAGTCTAGACTCTTTTGCCCCCCCCCAAATTACCCCTCCCCAGTCCGACGTATCGGGCCGCGGAGCGGCACGTTGGAGATGCCCACTGGTCAGGACGGCCCCCACACGGGCCCCTCACCCAAGTCCCCCGCCTGGGCGCTCGACCAGGACCCCGCCTGGGGGCCGCCCCAACCAGTAGGCACCCGGTCGATCCGACACTATGCGTTTAAATAGTGCACTCGATCGACTTTCTCAGGAGTTGGGATGGAAAAATTTACGTCCTAATATCTTCCCCCACCCATCCCGGGAAAGCGTCGGACGCCCTATAAGAGGGATTCCACAGTGGGCTTCCACAACGCGACTAGCTCACGCTGTAGCTGGGACGAAACGGTTGCCTAGGGGCAGCGTTCTCACGGCTGCATTATTTGAATCCTCGGCCAGAGGTTACCACCCTCGCCTCTGGCCTCATACCCGTCAACGGCAACTTGTAATCATGATCCCTACCCTGGCTCTGCCTAACTTTCCGACTGCGAAATATCACAACCGGCAGCCCTGTGGGAGCTGTTTTATGTACGGCAGGTACAGAGCACACCCTTTGTCTGCCCACGCAGGGCGTGCCCAGTAGTTATGTTTCCAGGCAAACGCCGAGGGGGTCGGTGGCCGACGCTCCCTAATCGGCAAGCCACAGCAGACTTGTCAACCGGAAACCTGGAACAGATAAAACTACTAAAACATTAATAAGTACTAAATATAACTCACCAATTACGGATGATTGCATAATATTGAATCCTTTTCTTTGTTTTATTTTCTTCTCAGCATATGCTTGCAATCTTGCATCAAATGAGGAGAGGATTTTATTGGATTCTACAAGGGTTACCATGATCTGCTCTGTTTGCTGTTTGTATAGCCGCACCACATCCTTAACAGGAAAAGTTATTAGGAAATAAAAGAAATTTAAGAAGCACTTCTATTAAAAAAAATGTCAGTTGTTATTTCCTATTGCTGTCTAACGTATATAGATTATTATTGTATATAAATAGATAATATATACTTATATATTAAAAACCTGTTCAACAAAATCATATAGCTCTGCACCAAACTCCACACCAGTTGGACCACCTCCAACGATGACAATATGGAGTAATCTCTTGCTCTCTTCAGGGTCAACATTGGGTTGTACTGATAACTCAAAATTACTTAGTATGCGGTTTCTGATTTTTCTTGCATCTGCTATTTCCTGAAAAGAATAAATTATTAAACAGGTTTTGTTAAAATAATGAAAGTACAACTATATGGAAACTGAAGAGCTCTATTTCGTTTCTAAATTTAATATAATATTATTGGTGGATTACAAATTTGTGTGAGTGAATTTAAATAAATAAATGCTTTACTTTTATAAAAAAAGTGAGGAGTGAAATATTGAATCATTATAGAGAAAAATTAGCCAGAAAAATTAGCCTTTCATTAAATAACCAATGGAAAGATATATTCATTCTCTCTATAAATAGGATCATCCTAACATACCGTTATAAGAAAACTTAGAAATTATTACTTTTAGGAAAAATGCATTCTCTTGAACACCTGGAACACCAAAGGTATTGGTGAGAGCTCCAACACCAATCACTAATATATCATAATGCAATGCATACTGTAAGCTTGGTTTTAATACACTTGTGCAGTATATTTTATTCTTTTCTGGTTCTAAGCTGGTAGCGTAAGAAAGATGATAGTGGGTAGACTCTCGAAACCCTGTATTGCGTACAGGTTCAATGATGGACCTGCAATCCAAGTCAAAGGAGCACAATCAACATGAATTTGTCTGCTACACATTAGTTAACTTTTTCTGTTATTACAGCAACTGCTTTAAATGTGTCATACTTTTTTAGTGATACAATCTTTTAAATTTAGAGATGTTTAAAAATTGAGTATTGTTTCTCATGATTTTTAAGTCTTTCAAAAAGAGAGGCAGAGATATTTGCATAATTGTGGTAGTGGTAGAAATGATCACCTGTAAGTTTTGAATGATGCAAACAAACTAAAAGGGTATAACTAAGTACCCTAAAGATAATAATAATGATTTACTAATCAACATTGACATAAGTAAATTGGTATTTATATATTCAAAAAGTTATTCAACTATAGGATATTTATAATGAATGTTGAAGTATGATGACACTAAATATTTTTTTTTTAACTCAGAGAACATCACAATTGAGGCATCAAATAATTAAACATGGAAATGGACAATGTGGATGAACTTGAATGTCTTGCCTTAAAAACACATTTTCACAAGTACATCATTTACTTACCTAAACTCTAATGTCCCAACAGTAGTGCTAGCCAAGAGAGGCGTGAACAGAAAATGATTCCTTGGACTGACAACAATAACATCATAAAGCTTCTTGTTCACTGTTTTTAGAACACTGTAACTTCCCCATCCCGTACCCAAAATAACTAGAGTTTTTCGCTGATTAATTTTATCATCTTTATGGCTGGCTAAAAGAGATCTTTAAAAAAAATCAAATGTAAAAAGTAAACAGACTAAATAAACTCAATGTAAACTACTTTAGAATAACATTTTTTATAATAATTAAGCCAACAATTATTTTTTAAAAATACATTCAAGTAAGGTACCTGTACCAGTAATGTATTTATACATACATTTGAAACCTATTTATAACTTCACAGCTGCCAACTTCATGAAAAAGTCTGTATCCCTGATCAATTAAACCAATAGTAGTAATAAAAAATGCACTACAATCTGATTTCATGCAGTCATACTTAAAGTTAGTCCCATATTTTTGGCCTTTGTTTGGGATAGAGCATATCGAAATTGATCATGACTTTTTTTGCTTGGATGAGTTCTCTAAAGCAACTTTCTCATCAGGGATATTTATAATTAGGAATTTTTAATTTGAAAATGGACTCTACATGATCACTTCCAATGCTTTTTCCTGCTTATTATAGAATCAATTAATTGAAAAATCCTTCTAGTTTAAAAAATATAACGTAAAACCTATTTCTTTAAAATACAGGTGCCTTTAGCAAGAAATGACTGAATTTCCATTGTATATGAAAGAAAACCATTTAACCAATTAAAATAAGTTACTAGTTATCAGCAGTTATATTAGGGATTAGGGGCACTAGTTAACCCTTTCGTTACCGATGATGTCGATGTGACGTCACGATGTTGACATGACGTCATGATCACCCACTTTCAATTACCAAGGACATAACATTGTCGTCATAACAAAGAGGCAAAGAACTTTTCTGAAATACCAAAGACGTCACGTCGACGTCATATTTCAATGCTATATTTCTTTATTCATTAATCTATAGAGAAGTTAATAAGCGAATCGTATAGAGAATAAAAAATTCCTGAAATTTCTTCTTATAAGTTTTTTTATTGATGAGTCAGCAAAAATTGATGCCCCCAGAACCAACGTTAATGAAAGGGTTAAGTTTAAATGTATGAATATAAATAATTATTTTTGAAGCAATCAAGCGTTCATTTCATGTTTGCAGTTATCTCAGTTTTTTGTGTACAGAAAGTTACTGCTTATGAATTTTTTATTCATACACATTTTTGATGATGAAAATCACAATTCTCATAAGCAAAAAAAGAAGGTAAAATTTTTTTTAAAAAATCAACCATAAATTATAAAATATGGGCCAAACATAAAATCTGAAATTTTGTAAAGTAACTGTGATGAAAAAAATTAAGTTAAAGTTGGCCAGTGATGGTTTAATGGTCATCACAGGCCTTAAGCCTAAAAGTAAAAGTAAGTTATGATACAATTTTAGTAATTAAATTTGTATGACTTTCAAATGAAGGTTAAAGTTAATCTGTTAACAGTCACATATTTTTCCTAAGTACTTCCTTTTTCATTTAATATTAATTTGTATAATCACATACACTATCAAACTCAAACAGTATCAATCTAACATGATCCATGATGTTATTTTTTGTGGTCTTAAATAATTATCAGTAGCCTCTAAAATTACTTTACTTTGCTTTTAAAAAAATTCTACACTGACTCTAGGACCTACCTTAGTGTGACTATGAATATGACTAGGCCTACTCAAACCGATTAAATTTAATTTCAATTTCAGTTTTGTTGTAACAATCATATTTTATTAATTAATTTTGGCATAATTCAGTAATATTATCGTAACATTACTTACATAATTAGTTTAAGCTTCAATTACCTTCTAATGGTAGTAGTAGTAATAGTCCTATAAATACAGTAGTACCAGTTGAATCTTGAATTTAAAAAGTGAGCATCAGCTTTGGCAGATATTTTAATTACTAATCTGCTTATTCCCAGTCCAAACATTATTATAATAACAGTACTATTTGGCCTTTTAAATAAAGAACCTATTCAGTATTTATTGAATAAATAGTAAAAAAGAAATGAATTAATCATGTATCTGTACTCAGTCATCTCTAATTTTGTTCAAACCAAGGACCAGCAGCGGACAGTGGTGATGAGTGGTGGAGTGACCCGTACTTCTTTGACAGCTTAACTCTAAGCCTTTTCTTAACGTTTTATTTAAACATTGAACGTGCACTTTCCTTTTAATAAGCAATAGCAAATGTAGGTTTAATTAGTAATAACTGGTTAAAGACATAAATCAAATACGTTGTTCATTTTAAGACAAAAATTTCTAGGGAACTATTATTATGAACAGGGTGAAGAAGTGTTTGTATTCCTTTACTTTAGATTTGTGCTGTCATAGTTCTTAGCAGTTTTAAACTTTTAAGAACTAAGTAAAGAAGAAAGAAAAAAAGTGGGAGGGGGGGGGTAAAAAAGCAAAATTTATTTAAATCTAATATACCCCGAATTACTACCCTTAGCACCCCAATTTGCATTTGAATTTAATTGAACCTGGAAAATGTACACCATGACTTAGTAGAGCTATATTCCCAGTATTATATTTTAATATTATTCTTAAAGCGTAGGCCTATTTATGGGATGTTCTTCTGTCAACTGAAAACGTCGACCACTCTAGTCACCAGGGAGTTGCTGGAGCTCATGATAGGTGCGCAGATGGCTATTTGAAAGCATTGCATTGAGTAGGAGTTTGTACTGTAGGAGCAAGGTAATGATGGGACAATAAGAAAAGTACACATGGTGGAGGAAAACCTATAGGCATAGGACAATACAATGAAGTTGACATTTTGGTCAAAGACGCCTTCCACAGCAAAAATAAAGAATGCAGTGCTCCCCATATTTCTCTTACAGATAGGGCATCTCCGGAAGCAATTACAAATGTTGATGGCTTTTCTAAGTTACCACTCTGCAACACCTTTTCTCTTTTGTGCACCCGGTACCAAAAAGTGCCAATGCCCAATGCAATGCTATTGTAAAAATCAGGCAATTGGGAGGGGGGGGGGGTTCCACTCCGGGGTCAATTCAAGGGGCCAGGTAATCATAACTACACTCTTTGAAAAAAAAATAAAATTAAAATAGATATGTGAATCATTTATTTGATTTATTGATGAATTGGAGGAAAAAAAAGGGGATGGAGGGGGGCTTGCGTACCAATTTTCAGACTTTGCCCTGGGTGCAACTTTTCCTTCACATGTTCCTGGTGAAATATGTTGAGTACTAACTAAAGCTTAGGTTAATTTTGCTGTGACATAAGGTATTTTTGGAGTCCCCCAAAGTATCCCACCCTGACTTCTACTTGTAATATGAGATTTTATTAAAACTACTGAGGCCTAATATTATGTCTTAAAATTGCTATGTTTTTAACTCAGGTAATCCATTTTTAAAAACAAAATCTATAAAACAGAACCTTAGCTTAAATAATTGAAAATAATAGTTTAAGAATTATATCACATAAAATATTGTTTCTTCATTTGCTGGATATTGAATCTAAGGGTGAATGTTTTGTGATTTATTTTCTTTGACCTACTAATGCTTTAAATGTTATAGTTACATCAAAAATAAACATCAAGCCTTTTATTTTACTAGACTGGTTTATTAAATATGGCAAATGTTCTTGATAAATGAATACATTTTTTATATAAATTATGTAAAAAAACAGAAAAAAAGGTCAGGCATTGTTCTTTCTCTTTCTTTTGTGATCTGGTGCATTCAAGTTTTCCCCTTTGTAGAAATGTTTCAATAAATGAATGGCCTTATCAGCCAGAATACCACCGATGACATCAATGCAGGGTCCAATGCTATTTGATATTGCTTCATCTCTTGCAACATCTAAGATAGACCCACAGCCTCCAAATCTTTCATTGGCACATCCATATACAACAACAGGAATTTCAACTTGCCTTAGAGCTGCAGCACACATAACACAAGGTTCAACAGTTACATAAAGAGTTGAAAATTTAAAAATCTCTTTCTCAGAAAGTTCTTCTTTACGACAAAATTCTCGTACCCTCTCTATGGCAATTATTTCTGCATGCCGTGTAGCATTTTTGGTTTCATTGACTTCATTACCACCAGTGGCAATAATTTTATTACTATAAACAATAATACACCCAACTGGAACCTCTTGAGCTTTTAATGCTTCTTCAGCAAGCACCAGGGCTTCATTCATCCATTGAAAATACAAATCATCAACTTCAGACATCTGAAAAGGTATTTTTATTTATGTCAATTAAAAAAATTAATAATTAAATACAAAAAAATAAACAAAAAAAAATCAAAATTATTATTAAAATAAATTATGCTCATGAATAATTTAGTACTCATTCAAATCACAAGGAGGCACGTACATACTGAATAATTTTTTCCTAAGCCTAAGCTACCTTACGCTGCTGTTACTAGTACTAGTTACTAGTCTTGGGAACCTATTCAAAGTTAAATAGACTTTTTATAAAATGGATGTAAAAAAATCCTCCTTTCACTTATATTTGGGACACAATCAGTATTATTTCGAAAGGAAGAATGAATGAGGGAAGAGCTCATAATGCATGTGTGATCCCCCCATGGTGTCTGTGCTCCACCCACCCCACCCCACTTTCAGAGCTCAACTAACATTAACATTATCAACTTTTGAAATTAATATTTCAGTTTCAATGAACATTCTTTGAACATCAAAAAGGCGGCATGCAAGATGAGAGAGAGAGAGAGAGAGAGAGAGAGAGAGAGAGAGAGGGAGAGAGAGAGAGAGGGAGTGAGAGAGAGAGAGAGAGAGAGAGGAGAGAGAGGGAGAGGGGAAAAAAGAGGAGCAGCGATTGCGATTGGAGAAATAAGAGAGATTTAAAATGTTCACAGAATACATGATATTAAATTTAGAAACAAAAATTTCGGTATGCACTAAAAATTTTAACACCGTAGGAGAAGGGGAATATACAGTTGTAGTTGTTATACAACAAATTAGTTCGTTATAGTTAATGTGTTTGACGAATATACAATTTTTTTTACATCCATATGATTTACCGTTACATCAATTCATTGCCAGCTTTACTGATTAATTCTTTAATGCTTTGAGGGTGAAATTTATTATTTTTTAAAATCTTACTTTTCGCCTTCGCTTAGAGTTTATCTCCCCTATTACGCGGAATGATTTTTGGCGACCTACTTGCGGTCTCAATCTCATGACGTCATTGAAACTTACACCGTCCATTTCAATGACGTGAACACAACTGTCTGTTTATTTTGGTTTTCTACGATAAACTGTTGAGAATTTCACATGGTGTCCATTCAGTTGTAAACATAAGAGAGGAACAGGAGTTTCGATATGAGCTCCTTAGCATTTGTTGTAAGTTATTAAACGATATATTTTTATGTAATTACTAGATAATCGAAAATAGCAAAGTGGCTTCCCGTTCATGCCACCGCCTCTGTACCGGGCTTTACTCACAAAATGAAACAGTACCGCTGAGTACCCCAATATTAGCTTGAAATTTATGTTATAATAGTAATAGTAATTACTAATAGTAATAGATACTTTACTTGGGACAAAATTTTCAAAAATGAATTTGCAGCTTTAAGACCTATTTATTTAGATAGGGCTTGAAAGAGCGAATTGATTGATACCAAATTAATAGTTATGGGTCCATTCTAAAGAAAGTTGTGATTTTTTTAATGAATTATTTTGGGATAACTGTCAATTGATAATTGAGTGTTGCATTGAGTAGCCTATAAAAAATAATAAGAAAATATAAAATTGACTACTATAAAAATTGGTCAGATACTTTTTGAGAGAGCTGCTACTTCTTGGTCATATGCATTTTCTTATTTTCAAGCTTTAATAAACGATGAAAATGTTGCCATCATACTTAAGTCAAGTGGTCACTGACACTGTTTTGAAACTTTACACACATTTTTGGGGTAGGGTGGATGAAAATTTATTTGCCCATGAAATTCTTGTAGATAATTGGAGGCTTTAAACATATCAAATTGGTTGTCATGTATATCGCGACTGAGAATGTTTGATAAACTAAACTAAACAGTAGACGTACTTTAATTATTCAACTTGATATATTTTTTCAAAAACAATTCTTGATAAAAAATCAGAAAGCACAGTATTTTTCAGCATCCAATTCTCTTTAAAATCTTATATCACACACCTATTTAACAAGAAATTACAGCAAACAACATTTTTTCACAATGCATGTGCAATGTTTTTTTTACATTTTCAAGCGGATAAAAAGTTTTTATAAAGGCACGTAACTCTGCAATGATTTTTCATTAGCAGAAAAAAATGAATTATCCAAGTACCAGTAACTGGAACCAGCTCCCCTTCCATATCCGTCATTGTGAAACCTCGTCCACTTTTAAAAAGTCCCTTAAAACCCATCTGTTTAGGTCCGCCTATGACCTGTGATGCACCCTCCTTGCCCTGCCTCATTTTCTGTCTCGGGTTAATCCTGTAATATAGGCCAAAACGTGCCAAAGTGTCCTCGTTTTATAGCCATTTTAATTGTTTCTATAGTATAGTAGTTACTATCCTTATGTCTCATTTTTATTTTACTTAGTTTACATGTTTTTAATAATTGTAAAGCACTTAGAGCTTTAAGGTAAGCGCTATATAAAAATGCCTAAATAAATAAATAAATAACTAATTATAGGGCCAACTTGGACTAAGCTAAAGTTATTCATATTGAGTGTTGCTCCTTTTTACTTGGCTTTGACTTTAGTTTTATTATAAAAAAGAAAAAGACTCGTCACTACATAATACCTGGCTTTAGTTATTTACTATGTTTTCACCACATACAAATTCAACTTAATTACTCATTGATGTTGGACCAAGAATACTAACAATAAAAAAAGACAGTTACCAATAACCAAGCCAAGGCAACACTAACTACTAACAGCAACAAGCAAGTCAAGACAACCTCACTCTGCTGCTAACTCTCATGTTAAGTTACATTATATACCATGAAAAACAACAGGGTAACTGTTTACAATAACTATAACACCATCCTTATTTCCAAGTCTACCCTTAATTAAACTGATATGGCCAGGCTATATTATGATTAGGGGTGTGCCGGAATCCGGTCCGGAATCCGGTTCGCCGGATTTTGCACTATCCGGTGAAATCCGGTTCCGCCGGATTTACATGTATCCGGAACAACCGGAATCCGGAATATACCGGATTTCGGAATTTGCCAGATTTTGTGACTCACCGGATCATAATCTGAAATAAAAGTAATTCTCTTTCCCGAATTCCACACGATCACGATACATTAATCGATTGTTTCGAGCGTTGAGCTTGTTTAATGTTTAATATTCCGTACATACCAGAGGCTAGAGTCAGCACCGCTAATAGTGGCCAATAGTGTAGGGACTTTGATAAGAAAATTTAAACTTTTTGTAAAAATAAACCAATGGCATAGTTGAAAAGATGTAATTTTTTAAAGAATTATAACACCAAAATCATATTTTTAGCTGTTGTAGTTTTAAAGTTATGAATTTTTAAAGTACGACTTGGTTTGTCATTTTTTAACATGGACTGCATCTCCACATTCTGTGATCTCATTCCGCCAATCCCGTCATGCGCAATGACTATATAGTTTATATAAGGCAACGCATTCCCTGCCTTATCACTAAAATACTGTTTAGACTTAGTTTAAACTTTCAACTTTGGCACATGAATAATTAATTAAAGCTTTCCCTGACCAATGGTTTAATAGTTTTTGCACACGGCAAACTCTTATGAATGAAACTCTGAGGTAGTACTACGATACAGTTATGCAAGTGGCTGTGAATGGTTGCCAATGACAACGTGTTGCACACGGTAAATTCTGATCATTTATAATATGGATTCTACCGGGTTGTTAAAGCTCAAATTAAAACTCTCCAGTTTAAATGTCTTTAAAATGCATTCTGAAACACAAGTTATCAATTATTTTGATGTAAATAGTGATAACAAATTAATATTTCCTAAGTATCGTCAACTTCCGCCATTAAAAAGGGGGGCGTGGCCAACCCCATGGCGAAATTAGGTTGAGCGAGCTGCATAACCTGCTGCGAACGCGTAGAAACATGGCGTCTCTCGTAAGACACTTATCCAAATGGAACGGAACTCAAATATATATCGAAAGTACTAATTTAATAATAAATAGACACACACATCGGAAAATTAAAAACTCGGATTTTTTGGCGCCGATTGCGAATTCCCATACACAAAAAGTAGTAGTCTACCTTGACTTACCGAAGTATCTACCAATAGTACCAAAATCCGGAATCCGGGAGAATCCGGAATCCGGGAGAAACCGGAATCCGGATTATTCCAGAATCCGGATTATTCCGGAATCCGAATCCGGATCCGGCGGATTTCGCATAAGAAAATCCGGATCCGGTTGGAAAAAACGGATCCGGCACACCCCTAATTATGATAACCCTATAACTGTCATAACAGCCAATCATCTGCCGTTATCCCCTCTCTGTCGTGTCACACCCAATATAATCAGGTCTTAACAAAATTAAAATTATTAATGCAGATGATTTAATTTACGTTGGTTAAGGGGTAACCATTCTATAGAAATGATTTTGCTTCCTATTTCATTGTCTGTCTGTGTGTAAACAAACTTTTGTCAGGGCTTGTGTTGTGAGTTATCGTGAGAGAAATTAGCTCCAATTCTTTTTACGTCATCATGTCGGATGCTGGAGATGGTCTCTCTAGATTGTAAAATTAACACAGACTTACTTTATAGCTATTATTTCAAATGGATTTAAATGACATCTATTTCCATGTGATAGTAAAGACAGTATTAGCACTAGCGGTGATGGCAGCATAGGAGTCAGCCTTTGACAATTTCAGCCCTAGCTTAGTCCTATAGTTAGAGACAAGTTTGTTTGGGAAAGGATGAAAAGTGAACAGAAAAGACAAAGATTTGATCCCAAAGACATTTTCTAAAGAGATCCCAAGACATATATGTTTTGTATAATTTGGAGCATTAATTAATTTTAATAAATGGATTTAACAACTTCATCAATAAAAAGGAATTTGAAGGGAGTGGATGAAAAAATTCACCAAAATAACATTGTTCAAATTAAGTACGTATAATTTGATATTTCTGAAAGGATATTTCTTTTATTATCTAAAACTTGATGTAATGATAGATACAACAAAATGATGAGATAGGGGTGGGTTTAATGGGTTTAAAGTTGAGTCGTACAATTAAACTCAGTTTTAAAGTCAAGGTCATTATTAACTTGTATAATATAAAAAGTAATTCTTTTTTTAAACCATTATATTCCTTATCCAATGTACTTTCAGAAAGTATACACATGTAAGAGTATCTGAATTCACTTAATGTATTGGATATTGTTATTTTAGACAAGCGTATTGAAATGCTAAAATTGGCTTGACGCCACATAGCAAATATGTTATATGGTCAGCAGACTTAGACTTTCCAACCGTAGGTTTAGGCCTAGCCATATACAATTAAATAACCTATAGCTGACTATGCTAGCTATATATAGCTATCACTTCACCTTCCTAGCAATATGGATATGCCTACTCTCTTTTGAGTCCAGTGCAGCTGTGCAACAGTTTTCATCTAGTATGCATAATTGTGTAGTCATTTGACACATTAGTGTTCAGCCCTAAATGTACGTTCACACTGCAGATTTGTTGAAGCTAAAAATTTCAGTGGTGAATTCATGTTGAAAATGCACTGACACATATATTTCAGGTAGTTGTTCACAATGAGCACGCACAACGATGGTATCTGATGCAGAACTTTTGTTTGTATTTATCAATTTTAAATTTATTGGTTGTGCTATGGTCAACAACCTGTGGCTACATGTGGCTCTTTGAATTAATAAATTTGTAGTTTTTCTGTTAAATATGATTGCACAAATAGCCACCCATGCAAGGTGCAATTAAAACACTCATTTTTAAAAAAAATTCTTAATTATTTCATGTTTTTAAAACATTATTTTTTTGTATGTGTTCATCTTAAAATCTTTTCTTGTCTTGCTCACTTCATTAAAGTCAAACTTGAAATTTATTTCACAAATATAAATCTTTGAACTTCAAAATATGGCTACTATCGAATACAACTAATAATTAAAATTTGTAAACAAGTCAGCTGAAATTAAATTCATAATGTTTTTTTTTTTTAATCACCCCATTTTCTACTGGTTGCTATGCTACTAACCTGTCAGCTGATGACAATGCATTCACATTGACAAAAATATGAAGGAATTTTTTTACATGTGTTGCCAAATGACAGTATACTCTCAACAAAACCATGAAAATGAAACTATTTTGCCCCGTTTTTGTTCCAGAGAGTAGCATGTGGTCACAGAAAGTTGAGATTCAAGTAACAGATCCGTAGTGTGAACGTACCTTATGTGTTGCAAAAGAAGATTTACACTTTGCTTTATCACAAAATTTTGATTGGCCTAAGAAAAGATAAAAAGTTTTTGGAACATTTTTTAAAAAAATGCTCGTACTTTGTTCAGCTTAGTTATAAAAAATCTCCCATAATATGATTGCCCAAGCGAAATGTTGTATGTGCTTCTCTTCTTTGGTTGATTAGGAAATTGAGGTTATGAAATAAACATAATGATATTAAGATTTGACAAAAAACGTTTTGTATGCTTTTACCAACATGTTTTTATCAGCTTTTAGTTTTATCATGGAAATGAATTTTTTGTGAACTATTTTAACATTCATATATAATTAAGCAAATGTGTACTCCCCCATGTCTCTTTTTCCTTTCTCTCACTCTTTTATATCTTATGTGTGATAAACATTGAAAAATAAATACAGTAGAGCGTCAATTTTCCAAAACTGCCCCAACCTTTTTTTAATTATTAATATTTTACGGAATGCGCAGGCATGGAAGCATGGGAGTACAAAATCTGGCCCATGTCACAAAAATCTAGATACAATATATGCAGTGACCAAATCGGGGTAATTTAATGATCTAAAATAAACTACCACAAATGACATCCGAATGGGATTTAGTATAAAGGGACCCGGGTCTGAATAGAGGCTATGCGCACTCAGGTCCCTTCAGACTAAATCCCATTCGGATGTCAATTGTGGTAGTTTATTTTAGTTAAACTGAAGAAGTAAGTTTACAAACATATAGTCCATTCAATTATCTTTCATTTCATACCTCATTTTGTCTTGCAAACCCAACAATAATATTGTAAATAGTTTTTTTTTAATCCCAACCTCTCACTTCTGATACCCGGGTGCAAATACCCACTTTGTTTATTGTATTCTATGCCCTAACTTCTTTAATGTAACCTTTCCATGTGAGTGATGGGTTATCCAAAAGAATAGGATTTCCAAAACCACCGCTGGTCTCACTTAGTTAATATTGACGCTCTACTGAGCTAACTTAAATTTAATAAATCTACACATACAATTTTGAGTAGATTGTAAGTTGGCCTTGTGTAAAGGAATGTGGTGTAAATGTGAGTTGACCATACCAAAATATACACAATTCAAGTTTTTTCCTTCTTTCTAATTTATATATTAATATAATGAATGCAATGTTTGAAATACATTTATGTAGATTTGAACTCCTCATTTGCATTTTAGACTCATCCAAGTGTGAGAATTAAAGGTACAGAAAATAGTTACACGCCCACCCAATGTTTGGATGAGAGGTGTCCAGTAAAGGCACCTCATCTCCATTGTCCATTCTGTGTGAAAACAGATGCTTATCAGGATCCTGTGATACTCAAAGCTCATTACAGAGTCAAACATGTAGATAAGGGAATAGAATTTGCAGGTAAACATGTGTTATTTTTTTGTGTCATAACAATATTCTGTTTAAATTTCTTCCTGCTCTTAAATAAAAATGAGAAGGCTGATAACTTTAAAATATTTTTCTTTAAAAAAATTAGTCTGAAATGTCTGTTTCAGGTTTGAAAATACTAAGATGCTGCGACCAATGTGATATTATAGGTATAATCAAAGGAGAGAAAAGATTCAAGGGTGCTCACTGGCACTGCTATAGATGTAGAAATGGCTTTAACAGGCGGGATGAAGCCATCAAACATTACAAAACCCACTTCCGAAATCCACAAACAACTTTTCAAATACAAATCACTCAGGTGAGGTAACATTCTCACAACCAAGTCACTACAATGACACATTAGTTTATTTGATGTTTCATTCTGATTTGTAGCTTATTGGTCAGTATCTACTTTATTGCTATTTTTCTATGCTTTTTTTAATTAATTTTTTTTTAATGATTACTGAAAATTAACAAACCTATTAAGCAACTGTGTGGTCAATATGCAGGACTTGAACTCTCCACCAGAGGTGAGACCACATGATGACCATAGCAACTCAAGCCAAGATGCATTTGTTTCAATTGAAAATCCAGTTCAGGAGATTATTCACCCCACACTCTCTCAGACTGGTATAGGGTTGGCTGAACAGAGTGAGTAGATGCAATTCCTAAATACTTTCTCTCAAAGAAAAATTACAGTTTTTTAAAGATATGGGGTGATGATTATAGTGTTGGTTGTCATTACCTGTCAGGCGGTCTCATTGCTTATGAAAAAAAAACAGTATGAGAAATTAAGAGCTCTTTCTTTTTTTGTTATCATCAGATGTTATAACAACAGGTTCAGGTGCTGCCCGCCATGGTAATGTTCAAAAGATAAAACATGAGTTGCTTGGTAAGGGGGATAATTCTGGTGAAAGAGAAGACCAAGAAACTATCATGATCATCCAAGGAGATCAGCTGGAGTCTGCCTTTGCTAGCCACATTATCAACTCAGGGGTAAGTGCTTTGTATGGTAATGCATGCTTTCTCTATCCTTTTCTGGGATTCTGTAAGGTAACCGCAGTTGTTTTCAAATTCTTTTATTTTACACACATTTTAAAAGTCAGTCTCATGAAGCACCGAGTATTGATATTTGAAAATTTTGAACAATGGCAAAGGTGAAATTTTTTTGTTGTGCCCCCACCCCCCCCCCCAACAAAATTTCTTACTTAGGGTAAAATCAAATTCTTTCCCAACATCTCTTATTTTATTAAAACTTCTACAAAACTTCAGCAGTGGCACGCATCACTGTTATACTAAGTATATTGAATCTTTAGCCTAAAATTAGCTTCTCACCGTTAAAAGAAAATATAAGTTAATGACTGTATCTTTTCAGGAGTTAACAGCTTTAAGCAAGGCTAGTGTTGATCCTAATCTCTCATGGGAAATCCGCTTCAGGATGGAAGAAGAAGAAAAAAACATGTACAAATCCAAAGCAGAGGAGTATAAAGCACAGGTTAACATTTCTTTCCCTTGATGTAATAAAAAGATAACAACTCAACAAGTGGTATTAATTTTTTCTCCATAATTTTAGGAATTATCTGTGTGATATTTTAATAGTTGTCAAGGGTATGAGAATCAATGGAGATATGTGTAGAGCACTGTTGTCATGTTTGGTAGGGAAAAGATGTTTAGTTTAGAGATTTCATGTGTAGCTGTATCAATGGTGTGAGAGAGTTGCGAAGTATTTGCGTAAAGGGAAATGATGCAAGAGTTTTAGTTGTTTATAGAATGCATAGATGGCCATTGTGTGATATTCACGGTTTGGCTTGTTTTCATTTATGGAGGATTCGGCTGGATATATCGTTAAAGTAGAACATTGATTGGTTTACGAGTTGCATTGTTGGTGTACTCTTGCATCATTTCCCTTTACCCAAATCCGTCAGGTTTTGACGAGGTATAATAAAGTTATAGCATTTAACTCATGTAAAGATATTCAGTGTTTACTTTCGGTTGCACTGGGTTGTGTGAAGAAGTAAGAGATTAGGATGTCTCACGGGTGAGCGTCTGGCTTTGAAGAGTGGATGAGCACAGGACACTAAGATCTACAGGTCGTCAATAGTGATCAGATGATGAAGTGCTCTTATTTCTAGGACCACACAATTTTTAATGTTGTTGTTTGTCATTTACACATGAAGATGACCAAGGCAATTTTCATCTTGAGATGTAGCCTTGACTTGAGCTGTAGTTTGTTTAAAGTGATGGAGAGTTGCTCAATTCGTCCGTCTCACTCTCTTGTCTTTGTCTGTTTGATCCAATGGCAAGACTTAGTCAAGTTGACTTGGTTGTTTTGTTTGCTCTGTATGTGTTCTAAATTTGCAGGAGCTGTTAGAATTTTCATAACACCTACTGGACTCCATTTGCAGGTTTGATTTCAGAGTTTGCCTTCTCTTAGATGAGTTGCCATCCAAGGTTAACGAATCCCATCCACTCTGGATGCTTGTGATGTTTTTTTGCTTGTCTAGAGACAGGGTTTTCTGGGGATTGAGCTCCAGTCCGCTAGCTTGGGATTGCCTCAGTGTAGACCACGTGGCCACACAGCACCAGAAAATTTTTAATATAACATATGGTTTTATTGGTATAATAAGAAAATGAATGATTTTATTAACGTTTATTTAAGTTATCAATAGATTCATTGAGTTTGAATTCAGTTATCACTGTTCACTTTCCATTTTCTCAGGTGGAGCTTCTACAACAGCAGGTTGCTGATTTAGAAACTCAACTTTCCCAGCAAAGTCAGCTGAAACTTCAAGAGCTCATTGAGTCCCTCAGCTCTGGAGATTCTAACAAACAGGGATTGGGTCAACAACTTTCTAAATTCTTAGAGCAGTGCCAGTTGCAGTCATCACAAGGTTCAGTAACGGTAGTACATCAAGACAACTCCCAGGATCTTCATCATCACCATGATCACCACCAGCATGTCATCATCAAAACTGAAGAAGGCCAAGAGCTAGTGGAAAGTGCTGACAATGTGCTTTCAGATCAGTTGGAGGCAGGTGTCGCAACACACCAGCTGGATGAAAGTGCAAGTGTCACACACTTGAATGATATTCCAGAAGGTTTCCACGTTTTATGTACTACGCCAGAAGGTCATGTTGTAGTAACACGTGCACCTGACTCTGTAATTCCTGCATCGACATCAGAAAGACGAACAGTAGTGGGCTCTGAAAACAGAAGCTGCCTCACGTCAGCCACTGTTGTAAGCACATCTATGTCTGCTTCAGGTCAAACTGTTTTCACTCATTTATTGGGAAACAAAGAGAAATCAAACAATTTAGCACTGGCAGGTGTTTCAGGTTGCACAGAAGGTTTGGTCACTGTGAGTGATCTGTCGCAAGAAGATCAGGGTGACCTTAGCATTTTGTCTAACGGGCAGGGCTGTCAGATGGAAGTTGTGGCTGCCGCTGATGGACTCACATCTCTTGGGACAGATGTCACTGTCATTGCCAGTGCAAATGATGATCAAGATGGTCCGAGTACATTTGTAATGGACATTGAAAGTGGAGACCGAATTTTTGTCCAAGGCACTGAAGAGAATATTAATTTACCCGATGAACATTGTGCAGATGAAGAACAATATGGGTCTAAAGAACCTGAAAAAAAAAGAACAAAAATCACATGATAAAATATGATGTTAGATATCAAATTATTAAAAAAATTAAAATGTATGGTTTCATTGGGCTTGAAGTAGATAAGTTAGATAAGGCTTAGATTAACTTTATAATTCATTTATGTCTATATTATATACATAATTTGAGATGCAAAAAAAACTTAAGTAATAAAATTTATATAAGTTAATTGACTGCCAACAAGAATAAACAAGACCTGAGCCCATCAACTATTAAATTGAAAATTATCAAGAAATGAATCAGCATATCCTTTCTAACGTAATGATGATAGTCATTATAAGAATTACATTTAAAAAAGAAAAACCTTTCATGAAATTTAATGCCATCTCTATTAGTTTAAGGTTAAAGCTTTAAAAATTTTACTGCCTTTTTGATTGATCACTTTTGTATCCTTTAAAGACATGTTATGATTTTTATGGGCCTTTGATTAATTTTTTACTTTATCTTCATTGAGAGTGCATTTAAATACCCCATGAGGGTGATAGCTTTATCAAAATGCATTTTTTAAAAATATTAAATTTTTTATGAGAAAAAAAAAAGAGGATGAGTTAAAGAACTTGATTGCAAATGAAGTATTTAATTTATCTAGGTAGAGGAATGAGAAAAATATGTTTAATGATATCCCAAAATAAAAAAATTACTTAAGATGAAATTTTCTTCCAGATGAAAAATATAAGTTTCTAAACATTTATTGATCTTGTAATAGACTTAGTTTAATGGCTAGACTGAAACTTGTTTAAATTGTTAACACCCCCCCCTCCCAAATTACCACCACCATTTGGTTGGAAGAGTGTAGCTGCACTAATTGATCACATTTCTTTGTGTATACCGGTACATTGTTTTATAAACAACTTATTTACCTTCCATGGTGAAAGACAACTTTCAAAGTTAGTCATGGGTGATTTTATTTTTTAATTTTAGTTAGGTACTTGGATTGTAAAGTACTGGATTTTGTATATGTACTATGTTCAGATTTTCTGTTGTGGATGTGGTTATCAAAATAATTGTACTTTATGTATCAAAAATTGTTAACTGAACTGTACTTTAGTAATTATTTATTTTTCAGCTGTTTCTTAACATTGCAACCATTGTGTTATCCTTCTTATTAATTAAAATTACATATTGCTACAAAGTTTTTGACTAGCGTCAGATTTTTGTCAACAAACATTTGTGAGCATTGTTTATTGTTTACACATACAATTGGATTAAGTATAATTCGTTCTGTTTAAATCAAATCATTGTCATCACCGAAAAGTAACTTAACTTTTTACACTAGAAACAACATGAATTCTAATAATATTTACTCTTTCATGTTGTCGTTTGATGAAATTGAATTGGGTGTAGAAGTGCTGTTTGATCTTTAAATGCAGGTAACTGGTTTACCTAAAGCATGTCGGTTTAATTTTTTTTAAAAGCACCAAAACACATATCTACTTCTGGACTGACCCACTAAGGAATCACTCATAATAAAAATTTAAATATATCATGGACATTTAATAATACAAATCTTATCATTTGTATATCAATAAGTGAGTTATTTATAGATTTTACTTAGGGATTTAATGCATATGTTAAAATTTATAGATAAAATAAAAACCATTACGACATTAGATTTGTTTTAAATCTACCAACATGACTGAATAATCAGAACTTCCATTTTCCTTTATTTTCTGAATGACTTGTCAATAAAAAGCTAGCAAGTTAATTTTTGCTCTTTTTTTAAATAAAGAGTTATGAACCTAATCCTTTAATGATTCTTGCTGCCTTTTTATATTTCTTTGGCTGACTAGGATGTGATTCTTATGGCATAGACTTTCACTTAAATTTAGGCCAAAAGTAAAGAAAAGAATTGAGAAATTAAGATGTACATGACAATGAAGGTCTGATGAGTGTGATGTTAAATTCAAAAGCAGTTATTTTTTAATACAGTTGTTAAAAATATTAACTTCTTACAGACACTTTTATAATTTGAAACACTGCTTACTGTAAAATAAAATTAGTGTGGATTCAATAAATATATCATTGAGGAAAAAATTTAGATAACTTGTTTTTTTTGTTGTTTTTTTTAATCTCAATCCAATAGTAATTTGTTGTAAGGAGGGGAAAAAATCACACACACAAAATATGACACAACACCCAGATTTCAAGGGAAGGCACTACAATCTTAAAATAATTATTTCCGGGTCATGTTATTGTTGACAAATGTGAGTTACTATAAGTTGTGCAACTTAAGTTTTGACTCCAAACACTTCCTTGCATTAATTTCCCCCTACACTTGTATTCATAAATACAGTATATGAGAAAGCCAGGTCCATCAAACCCGTTGTTAGATAGGGATTGACAAATCGTATATGATAATTTCATCAGTCTACTCAACTGTGAGTAACCATGCCATCCATTCATGATTCAATGAATGTCAATTGACAATCAATATATACTATATACTGTGCCTGTTTGATTTAGATAGTGAGATAGTCATAGGACAAGGCCATAATGCATGGTATAAGTATAAGTCAATAAGTAACTTGCCATAATTCAAGTATTGATAGTTCGTAAATAATAGACTATAGAAAAAATCTAAAATGCTTTGTTTAATATTTAATGTTATCATCTATACAAAAACAACAACATTTTTTATACTTTTTTTTTGAATAAAATTAATTTTTTTCCTCTGAAGCTGGTAATGCTACTTTCATCCTGAATTAGGCTAGGCCTGTATTATTATGAGTAAAGAAGCATTGCGCTCTACCCATAGCATACTATGCTTAGGGCGCATCTTGCCCTACCAACACCGGAGTATTTTTATTAGCCCCTTAGCCTTATTCAGTTACTGATTTAGATTATCCTAGGTCGCATCCTAATGGTTTAAAGACTCTTTCTCACAGTTTTAGTTACTTGCCATATATATTAAGATGTCATATGCAACATATAACATTTATACCAGAGTAGTAGGTCTAATTAAAAATATTCCTTTATTAGTCTTTCTATGTAAATAATATATTATTATATAATTTGAAATATTCTTATCAGTAACCAATAGATCTAATTCACTGCTGAGTAATTGAAGACTATGCCCATTTTTTATTTATAGTATTAGCCGTCTTGCTGTTCAGGCTAGGTATGTTAACTACTGGTATATAAAAGTAATGGTAACAATAAATTTACTATTTACTGCCATAATAAATATAGCAGATCCATGGTCCACCATAGACTTCAAGCTATTTTTCTGCTGCAATAAACATAGCACTCACTAAATGTACAAAAATTTACATTTTGCTAAAGCTGTGATTACTAATGCAGCAAAATTTGACTATAAAAAGAAATACTGAGTAAATTAAGTATGTTTAAAGATTTTGAATTGTCAATTTGGAATGTAATCACTAGCCTGAGCCCAGGTTTTTAATTGTCTATAATTAATCATTCATACATACTGGATTTATATCTGAAATGTTTATGGGAGTGAATTCATAATTATGCCTCAAAATTTTATTTAATACATGATGTTGGAGCACTCTTCATCTCTATTTGAAATTATTCTTTAAAGGCAGATGAACGTTATTTTAATTATCATTGATGTAAATAAATTTTTTATTTATTTCAAGATTTAAAAAAGAATGTCTGGAAAGATTGTGCAACCAACTGGGCAAAAACGATTAACAAATGTAGCTATTGTTAGACTGAAAAAAGGCGGAAAACGTTTTGAAATCGCTTGCTACCCTAATAAAGTATCTCAGTGGCGAAGTAAAATGTAAGTATATTTACACAAAATTATTAAAATTTAGAATCTAATAAAGCATCTCAGTGGAGAAGTAAAATGTAAGTTTATTTACACAACATTATTTTTAAAATTAAGAGCATGTTAGTTTTTACTCCCCGTGTGGCATAGTGGTTGTGTTATTTGCCTCTTGACCAAGAGCCGACAGGTTTGAATTCTTCATGGCAGCCTATTGGCCAAGTAAGGTAGCTATTTTTGAGAAAAGGTGAACTCTGTTAGAAAAAACTGAATGAAAAAAAAGCAACGAAAAACAGCAGCCGAAATGGCATGGGATTAAAAATTGTCTGTCTATGCAAAAAAGGCTGTAGTCTACCAGTTAAGTAGTTATAGCTGCTGGAATAAATCTGAGTGTAAAAAAATACTGTATGAAATAGCCACTTTGATAAAAGGCAAATAAATTTTCAATCCATAGTGTGCAGTTTTTGGATGAGATTATTTGGCATTTGTGGTGCAAAATATACTATAATAACATATATAACTTTCATTTCAAATTGGTATTTTTCTTAACATGTTAATAATGTTATATTACTATTACCGTATTTTCGCGTATATTAGACGTGTCTTATACAACGTTTTACGTACCCTCCACCCAGGGTGCGTCTTATATATGGGTGCATCGTATGTAAAATATTTTTTACACAAATCTTCAAAACCCGCATCTTATACATGGGTGTGTCTTATAATTAGGAGTGTCTTATATGAGTGAAAATACTTTAAATATTTTTAACTGCGGTCCTGCCTCAGACAATTCTTTGATCTAAAATAAAAATGGTAATGAAGCTTGTTTACATCCGGTGGGTGATGAAACATTGGTCAAATTTTCATTATGATAAAGGAAAGGAAATCACTGGATAAAAATTGCTCAGTGCGGCAGATGGCTAGGCCGGGTGCGTCTTATGCAATTTTTGTTTACACAAATTATCAAAACTCGTGTCTTATATTTGGGTGCCACTTATATGCGCAAAAATACGGTAATACTATTAATCTTTTTAAAGATTTACAGCATATGAAAATAAGTCACAACTCATGAGTATCTTGCTCAGTGGTACATTTTAAAGCATATTTTTTGCAGTGAAACAGACATTGATGAAGTTTTACAGACACCAAAAGTATTCACGAATGTTTCAAAAGGAGAGTTTGCCAAAATGGCAGACCTGAAAAAAGTATTTGACATAGATGATGAAACAGAAATCTGCAAGTTGGTGAGTCATCATAAGGAACAATTTTATTCATATTGGGACAAAGGTTTTCATTTGATAATCTATTATTTTCTACATTAAAATTCTTGGAACCCCCACAAAAGAATCAAACTTGATAATCCAATTTTTTTTTAAACTTTAAAGAGATGAAAAAACATTAATGACATAGTGAAATTAGAAAGGTTAAAGAGAGAGAGAGTTCAAAAGTGTCTTTTCTCATAACAAAATATTCTTGATATTTTCTTTTTTCACTCATGTAATAAAACTTTAAATATACAAAAATAGAATATACAATTTGAATGGGTGGAACTTATTTTTAATTTGGAAAAGCATTTAATATCAAATATTATTTTAGAGGGAAACTTGTTTGGGGTTTCTGGTAAATTAAATTAACCACTTGCAGTACAAATCATTGTCAAAGTAATAGATTTGTACATGAATACAATATGTGAATTTCAGATTCTTAGTAAAGGAGAGCTTCAGGTATCAGAAAAAGAGAGGGCAGCCCAGCTGGATGAAATGTTTCGCGACATTGCTACTTTAGTGGCTGACAAATGCGTGCATCCTGAGACAAAGCGTCCCTACCCTGTCACAATGATTGAAAAATCCATGAAAGCAATGCACTTCTCAGTCAAGCCATCAAAAAATACAAAACAGCAGGTTGCTTTAAGTTTTTACTTAAACTCTTTTTTAAGTGAACATCTATAAACGGTGTAGCTCAAAGTAGGGCCACCAGTAAATTAAATTTTTTTAAAAATTGTTCATAATATGTTACAGAAAAGTAGATATATTTGGTATATGTCTGTGTTGAGAAATGATGTGTAAGATTGCTGGAAATTTCTTTAGCAAAAGTGTGAGCTCTGGATAAAGTCAACTGTTCTATTTGAGTTAGAGACAATCATTTAAGTATATTGCTATGCAGTCCTTTAATCTGTTACGTTGCTTCCCTATATTTTAAACATTTAGCTGCATAAGTCAAACTAAGAGGACAAGAATTAACTAGTTAAATGAGTTTCTTGATTTTTTAAAGAAAAAATAAGACAAGAGCAAATATCTCATAAACTTTATAATGAAGGCTTGAAATGTTTGTTCTCTTGACAGGGTAACACTTAATAAAAAGTATAACTTTTTTTTTTTAAACCTTAAGGCTCTAGATGTAATCAAACAGTTAAAGGAGACAGGAACACTAGAGATCCAGAGAGCACTTATGAAACTAAGAGTTGCTGTACCTGGTGAGTTTTATTGATACCTTTATCAGTGCGGCTCCCCTTCCCCCCTCCCAATATATTTTGGGCATCTCCCCCAATTATGCTACTTTTGCATTCATCAATGGGACTCCTTTTTGTTCAATGGCATATTTTTATAAAACTTTTAAATAAAGGAAAAAAATGACTGAAATTGTCTGAATGAGACTAGTGGGTGTCATGTCATCAAAATGCAAATCATTAGAAGAAAAAAAATTCAAGATAAATTAATTTAACTGTATTATTTTGTTCATGAACAGGTAAATCTGGTAAAAAAGTGAGGGAACACCTTCGCAAAATTGCTCTTGAGGTAGAAGAAGACAGCTTTGAAGATGATTTAGAGATGGTGAGTTATACTTTTTAGAAATGAAAAAAAGAAATTATAATTAAAGATAAATTCATCACAAGCACATTATTTCTCATAGTCTTAGCTAATTTTAAATTTGCATTATCAGCAAGTTGAAAGTTTAAATCTTGAAGTTAAGAAGTTTTAAACATTCAATTAAAGTGTCATAAAAATTTCCAGTCACTGAGGCCAGGGTTTACTTGAAATGCTTGAAATCAGAGAATGTCACTGCCATCGCTGAGAAGAAGGCAAAGTTAAATGGAGGGAGACAGCCATTTTTTTAAAAAAGCTCTTAAAACGGCCCAAGCACTCAAAAACATTTTTGAGGCTGAAGAGGACCTCAACATTGATTTAGGCACTTTTACCACTGATATAGTAAAAGTAGCCATTCACATGCTGAAATATAGCAAGGAACAAGGAGATGACAAAATTTGTAGAGAGATGCTTAAGACAGATGACCAGACAAAGCCAAGAACCCTGTAGAAGAGATCTCTGGTGGTAATATCAAAGGTTGGGTGCTTTCCTTGCCCCAATCTGACATTCCAACCCCTCCCCCCTCCCCCGGCAAGCACTATACTATTAGATTATTAGATTTCATCTTAAGCAAGGGGAAACCTTTCAAAACAAAGTATTGATGTGGATACTCTATTCAAGAAAGTAAATGGCAGGGATTTCAAGTATAGATATATTTTAAGATGTAATAAAAAAAAAAATGAAAAATTTGATTTCATCATTACTCCAGAAGTCATGAAATGATGCTAATGACTTGGAGTACTTGGAGACAGACTTAAGTTTCTTTATTTGTCAATCACACTTTCAGGATACTTCAATCAAGAAAATAATCAACAAATTTTAATGCTATTTCTCTAGTAAATAGTTATTTGAAGGTTTCAGCTCCAATAGTTGGAATATTTATAGCATATTGTATGAAAACACAAAAATAAGACTTAAACTTTTCTTTTTTTGTGGTCAATTTTGATTGATAATTTGTTTATTTGATTGGTATTTACTTCTGCTATTTCCATTTCCGCAACAAGAACTTGGTGAAGAATTGTAATTACTTTTATTTCTGAACTGAAGATTGCTATCAAGGGCAAACGTTCACCAAGTTGTGTTTTACTTTAGAAAATTCTTGAAGAATGTTTCATCAAGAATTTTGAACGATGATTTTAAAGAAAAGAAATTTATTTTTAAATACACTACGAAAAGAAATTATCAAATTTTTGGATTAGAAGCAGAAATCAACACAGACTTAAACAAATTTGAGCACCCCGTGTCTCAGTAACGTGTATAATTTCATAAATACTATTTTTATCATAGGTAATACTCGTGGATCCAGGGTGTTACAGGGAAGTCTTTGATTTGGTCACTTCAGAAACAAAGGGCAAAGGTCAAGTGGAGATGATCAGTCTCAAAGAAGTTGAAGAAGGGGAAGAGAAATTATAGCGGAAATCAAATTCAATTATTTTGCCAGCCAATGTGCAAAATAAAATAGCCTGTCTAACGGGTTATCTCTATAATTAGAGGTTATTTATTTAATACCTAAAAAATTACTATATGGATCAAGCATGCATCTTACCTGAGATTATTTAATTTCACCTACTGTACCTTTAATTTGTGAATTATGATTGAGTTTGTGAACTAGCCGGCAAGGCCACCAGTATATTCTAGCTATTTCCTTGGTGCCATTATGAGCCCCACTTTTATAGCTTTAATTTATGTATACTTGAAAATATTGGCTCGGCTAACGGGAAGATGATAAGAATAATGTCACAGAATAATCAGAGTCCTTTAGTGGACCAGATCAATGTGGCAACATTTTAGTTAACCTTTAATTCAGGATTGTGCTGTGTATTCCCATGTGAAGCAATGTAACTGCTTATTGTGTAACAAAACCAATCAAAATTAATGCTGCAGTAAATGGTACAGGCTAGAGAAAAATGAGCATGTAGGAATGTGTAATCGAATAATGATATGTTGGTTAGTCAAAACACCCAGGCAAAGTTATGAGGGTAACAAAAACCCTAAGTTCTCTGGTACCTGTTAATGCTCTGTTGCAAATCTTGTAATTATGTCCCCCAGATGTATATTTTAAACATGTTAGGCCATGTTTGTTAGTACATTGAAAATCTTTACTTTTTATGACATTTTGAACTGGCAGAATTGAAAAAAGTTTCTCCCAAGCTTAAACCACAATGAGAAAATAATGGTATTGCTTCTATCTCAACTAGTGGGGATGACATGACCCAATTTTGGCTTAACCCTTTTGAGATGATGATTGAATACTTCTATAGTGCTTGTGTCCATGCTATTTTAGCATTCTCACAGCGCTCTGATGTCCTAAAATCTATTTAATGAAAAATGTCTTTTTAAATGTTTCTTAAATGACTTTTTATCACTTTCAATTTCCCTCAAAGATTGAGGCAAACTGTTCCACAATAGCTTTAAAAGAGCGCACTCCATATGGCTTCTTTCTGTGTCCATCCACACTGGGAACTCTCAGTAAAGACTGTGATGAAGAGCACAGGTTCTGTATGGATAGGAGATCTATTGGCCCATAGTAGAATGGTCCACCCATTGGCCCATAGTAGAATGGTCCACCCATTGGCCCATAGTAGAATGGCTCATCTTTGTATAAACTGATCAGATTGCTTCTACAATTTCTTGCCATCTCACCAATTTAATGGTGGCTTCCAATGATAGTTTACAGTAATTTTTTTTTGTACCTAGTGATGCCTACAAATGCTTTAACTCTTTCCGTGCCAATCTGGTTGTGTTCGTGCCAACCCACAATATACTGTTGATATCATTTATGTAGTTTATTTCGTTTCTTGTGGCTCTTAATCCGACATTTTTTGTTCTTAAACGAAGGATAACTCTTACTACTTCCTTTTTTTAAGAAGTAGGGCATGTTTGCATGTGTTTTTTCTAATAATAGTTCAATTTCTGTTGAACCTTTTGTAAACAAAGCCATGGCCACACCCCCTCCAAACATGTCAGCTGTTGCTAGACCACGTACGAAGTCAATTTTGCAAACAAAAGAACTTTTATTGCTAATTATTGATGCTGAAACAACAGACAATAACCATGAATCATTTGAATGTGATTCCAATGATGATTTTCAACATTCTGATGGGTCGGTAAATGCCAAATGGAAATAGTAATAGAATGGTGATAGTAATAGTAATTGTGGTGACTGTCGGCACTTTCATAAAAATTTCAAAACATTTTTAAAAATATAAATATATATATATATAAATATATATATATATAAAATATATATATATATATATATATAAAATATATATATATATATATAAAATATATATATATATATTAAATATAAATATATATATATATTAAATATAAATATATATATATAAAATAAATATATATATATATAAATATATCAGCTACACAGACCGTATGGTAGTCTGATTGTTTAGTCTAAAAATAAATATATATATTAAATATAAATATATATATATATATTAAATATAAATATATATATATAAAATAAATATATATATATATAAATATATCAGCTACACAGACCGTATGGTAGTCTGATAAGTTCAGATTTGGTGTGCAATTTTAAAAATATAAAAAATTTGATCTCACAATTTTACCTAAAAAATTTAACTTATTGTTGTTATATTGTTTTATATTTTGCATAATATTATTCTCTGTCTAATTTCCTTTAATTTGATATGAAATACAGCTATCTTGCTAAAAGAAATGTATTAAAAATTAATTAATAGATAGGAGCACCCTAAAAAATTTCCATTGGCCGAATACTGATCTGGCACGAACGTGGAAAACCCCCTGGCATGGAAAGAGTTAAAAATATATGACCTTGAAATATGCCAGAAGGCATAAAAGAAGACCAAGCGGAATATATTATGTAGTTTTTCACATTGAATCTCATTCAAATGTTTGTTAGTTCTTCAACAATCATAAAATTCATCAAAATTTTGCAAGATGCAAACAAAATATTGCATGCATAAATTATGCAAATTAGGATATCTATTAAAAAAAAGCGCTCCATCTTTTTGGCACTGAAAGTCCAAAAAGCTTCCATCTCAAGAGGTTTAATGTCACAACTAAGTAAAGAAAACATAATTTTTGAGTTTATGATGAATACCAAATATGTTGATATAATATAGTTTAAATTCACTTTTTTTAGTGCTTGGTTAAACTTGACCTATTTAAACTGTCACTAATTATTTACTACAAAAATATGAATTTTCTAATTAATTGGGAAGTATTTAATGTTTCAAAGTTTATATTTGCTGATAATAAAGCAGTAAACATTAAAGCCATGTTTGTTTGTAATTGTAAAAAAAAAAAAGGAATTATTTTTTCTTTAAATTTAAAAAAATACAAAATATTTCTTAACTTAATTTGTTCTTTTTCTGCATGAACTCCTTATATTCTTGTTCATCTTCTTTAATTAAAATTTTCCAACATTTGCATTAAAGTTGCAGTTTGAGAATTTTGTTAATTGGAATAAAGAAACTGAACTTTTAACCCCATTTTTGTTTTTAACCCCATTGAGATTAATCACAAGCAAAAAAAAAAAAAGGAAAATCCGTATTTGCAAAATTAATACAATAAAATATTTATTTGAAAAATAAAATAAACAAAAAATTTTGTTAATTGGAATAAAAAAACTGAACTTTTAAACCCATTTTTGTTTTTAACCCCATTGAGATTAATCACAAGAAAAAAAAAAAAAAGGAAAATCCGTATTTGCAAATTTCATACATTGAAATCTTTATTTGAAATCTAAAATAAATAAAGTCATGTACGAAGACATTTTAAAAACTGAATCAATTTGGTGTCAACATTGTAAAAAAGAAATTTGCATCAGAAGTTACTTAATGAAAATGAATATACCAAAAGTAATTTACAGGACTTGTTCAATCATTTACACGACATTTTCAATCATTTACAAGGCAACAAGATGAGCATATTTTACACAAATATAAGAAGAGTTTCTTTCTCATATTTTTTTCTTCAAGTTCAAGAAAAACCATTCCAGTAAAAAAATTCAAGTTCAAGAAAAACAATTCCAGTAAAAAAATTATCACAATGTGTCATCATAATTCTCTAAGAACACCTTGACCTCCTACTGTTGTTTTCCATCTGACATCAAAACCCTGATCGTTGAGGTCTTGGTTAAAATATTGCAGGTGGGAATCTGATGTATCTGTAAAAAGAGAAGTAATGATAAATGTGACAGTATACCTGATTTCTTAGGTTTTTGAAAGGGAAGATTTCAAAGAAACATCTTAACTTCCACGTGTTATCAATGAATAAATTTTAAGCATGAGATATGCATCAAAACAAAAGTTTAAATATTTTAAAAGCAAATGTATGTGTGAAGGGGAGGAAGCTCAGCAAGAATCATAATAAAGTTAATATAGGGGTTCATGCAGCCTTTACTTCTAGTGAACTTTAGCAAATTGTGCCTTGCAACTCTACATGGGAGAATGATTAAATAACAATAATAAACCAAAGTATCTCTTAAAGCATGATGCATTAATAAGTAATATTCTCTCTATCCTTGCTTAAATTATATTCATTATCCAGCAAGTTAATTTTTGTAAAAGCTGAATGAGTTGTGTAAGTTGCATGAACCCAATTAAGAGCTGTCAATCAAACCATAAATAAAGAAAACAAAAACACGATCACTTGCCTGGAGGAATAAGAACAAAAGCACAGCCACCTCCCCCTGCCCCAGTTAGCTTGGAATAGAAACCATGTTTTTTTGCAGCCGCTACAATCCTGTCCAAAGTGGGATGTCCAACTCCCATGGCATTAAGGAGATTTTGATTTAAATCAATGAGGTCCTGTTGGGAAAAATATATATTTATACAGTTTGGACAGATTTCAAATGAGATCATATGGAAAAGATCATGATGCAATCCAGTGGAGCAGAAAAGATGGATTGGCCACTCACTCTGGAAAAAAAATTAATTTTATCAATGTCTCTTTCATTGAATACCAGGGGTGTTAGAAGACCACAGATTACATGAAGAGACAGTACGGAGAGAGTAAGAGTAGCAAGAATTGGAATGAGCTGAAAAGGATACTTCAAAGCAGAGATTAATGGAACAACTTTTTGAATGACCTATGTGCCACTATTAGCAAATAAGGAAAAGAAGCCAAGTGGAAAAACAATTTAGTCAGATGGGTGGGAGCTAAAATTTTACAAATTTGTTGCCAAACACCTATGATTTATTGAGACCAAAAGCAGGGTAGTATTATTTATTTGATTAATTAATTAAGCTTCTTAACTATAATTATTATTTTTTTAAAGTATGAGTCTTTTCAATTTTGATGCATTTACGTCTTATGTCCATGTAGTTAAAAATTTATTTTCCTTTATTTTTAAAAATAAACTGAGTTTCAAAAAAGAAAGATTTTACCCTCTAAAACGGACACAAGTGCTTAGGATCTACCAGATTATCTTACCATGTTAAAGTAGACTGATGCAGTAACAATGACCATTTGTTGTTACATCTGTATTGGATACTTTCATTCTATTTAGTGACTTTTTCTTTTTTACTCCCCCTAAGTTTATGGTGCTGTCATCCAGGGCTGGATATAAAAACCCAAACAATATATATGCAACTGAGTTTTTGATATTTTAAAAGCTTTATGAATAAATTTTGAAAACATTTAACCATTTCTTTTTCTTCTCTTGATTAGCTTCACCTAAGTAGTCTCAACTTGTAGATTAACTCACCCCTAAAGTTTTGACATCGTCTGGGCTCATTGTGTCAGCAGAAAATTTGAAAAGGTCCTCAGTCCTTTTTGTTATTGCTTCAACAGCATTAATTATTGGCTCCATGACATCTGGATACTAAATGATTAGTAGTTCAAAAATATAAAAGCAGAATATACTCTATGCTATGAATAAAAAGATATCTTCTAAAAATTCAAAAGTAATAACTTGCTTTTAAGTACTTCTCAACTCTAATTTTTAAATGACCGCAAATCTCCTTTTCAACTTTCCAAAATATAATTATAAGCATTTAAAATTTCAACTGTTGATATTTTACATGCAAAAAAAAAAGAAAAAAAAAAGCAACAACAACTAGATCTAACACTTTGACCTAAGTGTTAAGAAAAAAAACTTCCTTACAAGGTTGTATTTCTGTCTAACTCCAGCCACCAAAGTCATGGTACTTCTGGGAACTTTAGTGTTGACCAGCAAAACTGATAATGTTGGCATTCTGAAACAATATCTTTTGCTATAAATCTAACATTCAATTAATTATGGGGTTTCAAATTAAATAATGGTAATACTATTTATTATCATAAAACTTAAGAAGGAAACATATAATTTATAATTTTAAGAAACTGGTATAAAAAAAATATCTAACGATTTAAATTCCATCATTGTCCAGAAAAAATAAATGTAAAAAATTTAGAAATTGTGCTGCCCAACAGCGCTATAGATATATATAAAGAGGATGGACAATTTTTATACTACTTTGTGATACAAATCCAATTAGAGCTCCTAAGTGCATAAAAATTTCAGTAAAGAACCATGATATTTTTTTCTAAAAAAGCAAGGAAAAATGTTATAAAGTATTAAGACAGGGAAAATTGGCAACTTACTTATCAAGTTGAGTAATTTCACCATTCTGCATTCTGAGAGCACCTCCTTGGAGAATCAGGAAAAAAAGCCATCAGCTCAACTGAGCAGTTTCTCATTTATGATTTTATCACTAGCGACAGGTATGCAAATATTACTAAACAAAGAATAAAATATTTAAATGATCTGATAATAATAAATACAAGAAAAAAATTGTTCTCCATTTATATATGTAACTTAAATTAATTTGAAATCAGACTGAAATTACCATAGGTGCTTATGGAATTGTCTATGCCAGAGGGTCTCCCATGTATGACCTTCTCTCCCAGAAAAGCCCAATTGTTTATTTTTCTTTTGTCCGAAGTGCTCCATGTTGAAGCACCTTCTGCCTCCTTTATACTATCAATATAACCCGCAAACTGTAGAATGGCAGCTGCTAAAGATACAGAGAAGGCTGCTGAAGAGCCCAGACCTGCTCCAACTGGTAAATCTGATTTGATGTACACAGATATTGCTGGTAATTCCCTATAAATTTATGAATTAAGAATATTAACATATTACTCCTTTAAGTTGCAGACTGCTATGAATGAAAAATAAAGAGACAATAATGGAGTGCCTAACTTTGAAGAAATTTTTTTTTTTTTTACTCTAAAAATTATTTTTTTCTTCATTTAATCTTGGGCTTATTGACAATATGGAAACTAGTGGGAATTTCTAAGTTTCCTTTATACAATCTTGAAGTTTCAATTTTACAAGTAAATTAAATCTCCTTTGGTCATCTTAAATTTTTAAGAAATTGAAACGAATAAGAACATTTTTACCTCTTTTCTTTAAATATGCCATAGTATATGAAAAGAAAGGCCACTATTGCAAGCATTCTTGTCTCATTATTCTCAATGTCTATTCCAGCAAACTTTTTAATAAGAGAGATTACTTCCTCTGAAGCAGGAATGGGATCATGGACAGAGCCTGTAAGAACATAAATGGTTGCCTATAGATTTCATTGGCATTGCCCAAAGAATCATTAAGAATGGCATTAAGTTAAGTGTAACAGGCAAAGTTGTTAAAACAATAAGAAATAATAATTCAGTTATGTAAAAAGTATGGATGTGGTTGATAACATCCTATTAAATAGTCACATAGTAACTTTCTGAAATAAAGATTTGTGGCACACAATCATGTGACGCTTGAACTCTTTAGGTTAATTCTCTTTTTGTGAGTGTATTTGTTGAAGTATCATCATCCATCATAATATTTTGTAATAATTTCAAATCTTTGTTTATAAGAGGCATACTTTTTTGGTACCGGTACTTTTTGTTGATTTGTAAAATTTAAAATGTTATTTGTAATACTGAATAAAAGAGACACAAAACATTATGTATATACACACTACTTTTAAACAAAATAAATAATGAGATCAAGTGATGGCTGTACCCTGTGTGACAGGAATGTTGACTATCTAATTATGACATGTACGTTGAATATCTGATTATGACTGATATGTTTACTATCTATATATGATAATTATGGTGATTAGCTGATTATGACAAGGATGTTGACTATCTGACTAAATTCATGTACTGGTAATATTTCATGATCTCAACATTTTCCAAAATAAAGTTTTACCAAACAAATATTTTGAAAACACTGTACCAATCCTAATAAAGAGGAGATATAAACAGATTTTTTTAAAAACAAACAATAAAATAAAATATGTAAAACTGACCACAGTCAATGCTTTGTAGACCTTCCTGTAGTGCAGCAACAGAAAACTCCTCATTTATATTCACATCAGGCAACTCAAGTTGGATCATTGAATCTAACCTTGTCTTTAGTGTGAGATGAGACCTCAAATTCAATGTTGCTGCAATGGCCGCCTGGAGGAGTTTTATTGCATTATTTATTGTTAACAAGATTGTAAACATTTTAAAAATGTGTCGTACACAAATTTTAAAAATATTTTTAAAAATGTTTTAAAAGTTTTAAAAATTTGTAATTCTGGATTTTACAAAATATCAGAATGAGTTTTTTGTAATACTTGCTATAATTTAAACATAGCCATACGCTGTGTCCAAGTTGCTATGTAGTACACTATTTTCTGGTGCTTGAACTTGGCTTGACCCAAATTAGATCCCTAGCAGACGGTAGCGTTTGTTGTGGCCGTGGCTTAACCTTTGAAGTATCGTGTTTACTACCGCTCTACCAATTAAACATGGATAGTATGTCTACTAGTAGCTTATAGAACGTTCTCGATTGTATTAGAAAAGTAAGGGCGTTTCTAAAAGCGTCGGTAGACCCACATATATAAAGGACTGACAGGCACGGAGAGGGTCATCATTAGTGAGAAGAGTGGAAGAGAATAAAACCAGAAAGTGACGGAAGAATTAAACACTCTGAATAAAAAAAAGGAATCCATTGAAATAATTATGATAAAAACAAGGCTTATAATGTTCATTTGTTCTCTATCTATGTGTGTGAAACATGGACTACAAGCAAACTCAACACGAAAATAATTAGGTTTTTATGAACAAACAGGATCCTAAAAATTAAGACCATATAAGACCATCCATGGGATTGATCAAGAAGTGATCTGTAAACCTGGGCCATCATAACAGCATTGAGGGCCCTGGGCACTGACTCCACCTCTTCCTCTCAAATCTATTCAAGTAACGTTAGGAAGAGCATTTGGGGTCCAGGTTAGCCCATGAGTTTTTAACAGTGTTTCTTTCAGACAATTTCATCGGAAGGGGAAGAAGTAACTTCTTTGATTTGTTTTTAAAACATTTTGTGCCCCCACCTCTTCCTTCCTAAAAACTTAATTTTTTTAATTGATAAATATTTATGAAACTAGTACTGAAAGGAATTGGAATTAATTTGAAATTGAAAGTCATAAAACTTGAGAAAACCTGCTCCTATCTAGACTTTTAAAGAATATTATTCATTAAATAGCTAAAGTTCTTTCAATATCCATTAACAATATGGGCATAGGCAAGTTTATGCCGCTAGAACTGTGAGGCCCCTTAGACTAAGAAGTGCAAAAGGCTTTGGACAACTGCACAGTGTGCCCATGCCTTAAGACGGCACTGCTGTGGACCACACTGTGATACGAGAATTAAAGTAAAACAGGCCAATAAAAGTATTGCATATGTCTCTGTTAATGAACCGATGCAATAGAAAGAGAGGAAGACAACCAATACATGCCATGCCCATGAGCTGATGGAGGCGTGAGAATCCACAGAAATAGACAGTGGGGTGTGCTTAGTCGCAGTCACACCGAGTGGTTTACATAAGAGAAACATTACAGCAAAAGATACAGTCAGTAAAGACTATCCCACCTAATTAGTCTCCCACACTACTACTGTCTACCTTCGCCCACACTACACTTTGTGAATGGCATGCACCCGCAAGGAACAAATAAGAGGGATTGCTTAGTACTTTACATTAAGTTTCATAAACATAATTATATTATTTATTATACTTTTAATTACAATGTAATGAATGTAATGTAATAACAGACACGTACATCTACGGTGGATGATGAATAATTCGTTAATTTAATAAAAATTTGTTTTAAGAGACCTTTCCATAAACTACAGCATGTTCGCCGTGTAAAATAACTTTTCCTGGGGCAGATATGCGAATTTCTACCGGCTGGGAAGTTGTCATGTTTTATTGGAAGATCAACTATCCTTGATTACTGCACTAAACCTTTGCACTTGATCATTACCGGCCTGCGTGAACAGGGGAGGAAAAAAACGACGAATCCAAAGTAGGGAATAAGATCACACCATATTATTTTTATGAAAAATAAGATAGGAGAGTTATGCGCCCTTGTTTTAGTGTTGACAGTAGTGTAGTGTAAGCCATACCAGCCGGCTAGATTTTGAGGGGGAAAAAACTAAAAAACAAAACAAAAATAGAAATTTTTATAACGTTTATAAGTAAAAAAAATTATAGCCTTTATCTTACACGATGAATGGTGTAAAGGTTGCATCTCAGTTCATGTGCTTATTAGCAAAACAAAGGGCCCACATAATAAGGTGAGATCGCCGAATTTCGGAATCGGGCGTGAGACTGACTGGTGTGAAGTGTGATGTGAATTGAGAATGGAATGCATTACTTTTCTCTTCTGACATGATGTTCAAGGACTAGGACTAGGTCTATTTATTATTTATTGTAGAATACTATCATAGTTACTGAGAGTTCCCAGTGTGGGTGGACCCAGAAAGAAGTCATATGGAGTGTGCTCTTTTGAAGCTATACTATACTCATTCATACTAATTGATAGTAATTTAATTGCCATTGCACCTAAATTGTGAAACAGTTTGCCCCACAATCTTTGAACTTTATGTTTCATAAATGGCAGAGAAAGGTGTGTCATTGACATTAATGGACATAGAACTTTACCATCTTTTCCCAGCAAAAGTAACAAATTATTTTATTGTCCAATAACTCAACAGCATTGGCATTTTAACTATTTTTTTATATTCTTTCAGTAATAGTTTTAGCTGTATTAAAATTCAATCTTAAGTCTTAAAACAATACTTCATCTCTAGGTCTAACATCACCCAAAGGCCTCACAAAGATTAAATTAATTTTTACTCTTACCTCTTAAAAGTTATTGCAATTTGTATCTTATTGATAAAATTTGAAGGGTGTGGTGTGCATTAGATTTGATTTGTAATAGAGTATGGATTTAAGACTGATACTGCGTTGAAGGGGGGGGGGTATGCTTGGAAATACTGGATAGAAAATGGTATTAATCATTGTGCTGAATGAATGAGGTATTTTTGCTAATACTTGTTAAACCAGAATTCATTAATTTTTTTGTACAGGATAATGGCTTGCCCAGTCCGTTACTACAAAAAAATTTACACCAGAACTGGAGATAAAGGTAAATTTAAGTTGTAAAAAAATACTTTTGCTATTATTATGCAAAACAGTACACACGATATCATTATATTAGGGTAAAAATTACAAATTTTTAGTCACATCTCAAGCGAGGATAAAGAAAGGGGATGGATATGATCCTCATCCCATAAAACGCATTTTCTACAGAAAAAAACAAAGAAATTGGCCAACACAATGAGCATCAGGAGTGCAGAAGGCCTTGATGATGAAGCAAGATAGACTGGAAGTGGAAAGCAAAAATTGAAATCAGGAATAGCCATTATCTGGTTGGAAATACAAAAATCAAGAACAGGGAGGGACTCACCCTCATCACCAACAACAATAAAGCAAACACATTCCTTCAATGGAAACCAATAAATAAAAGACTACTGTTTGCAAGGATGAGCTCCAAGCTCTTAAAATTATTTATTGTGGTTAAATATGCTCTTACTGAAGCTGGGGAGAAAAATACTTTCAAAAACTGTTATCACATTCTGCTATTGATTGACAACTCCGACTAATTCAGTTTAATTGTATTTGATTTTGAAAATTGGCTACTGACTTTATCTTTTTAGCACTTGTTGCATTTTTTGACATGAGTCTTCATAATAATTGATCTTGTGACATTGTGAGCCACAAGGTACCTTGACAAAATTATTTAGCATTGAGCAAGAAACTAACACTAACATGTCCTATTCTTAAAGCAATAGTTAATAGTTAATATTTCTGCTAACAGGAACAAGTATGACATTTACTGGAGTGAGAAAGCCAAAAGATGACACAGTCTTCAATGCTCTCGGTTCAACTGATGAACTATCCTCTGCCATAGGGTTAGTTAGAATTGATTATGTAACATTAGAATATAATCTACTGAATTTGAATTTTACTTAAGGACAAATAAAAATATTCAGAATAATAAATTAAAAAGATTTCACATTTCATATTTTCCTTTAAAAATTTGAAAGGAAAATGTATAAAGCAACCAAACAGGCATCTAAACTTCCATATAACGATTAATGCTGGCACTTTTAAGTTATTGTCACATGGAGGAAAATGTTGGCTGAAAGACTTATATTCTAGTCTTGCACTTTCTGGCAGTACTTTAGTGGGAGTCACAAACAATTTCCTTAAAGTGCTAAGCAGACATGTTTACCTTCAAACTCTAAAAATCGTTCAATACATTATCTTGAAGTAAAAAAATAAACATACAGTATATATAATAAACACACCTCAAAATCATACATTGTATGCCAAAATTTTAAGAGTAAACAGATCTGTGCTATGTTTCCCAGCTAAATTTAGCAGTACCGGGTAGTTTTGAGCATTAAGTTTAAAAGAAATGCTTAATGAATTTCAAATCTACTTGATAAGATGTTTGTACTCAAAGTGCATAGACAAGTTTTTGAGTAAAATAATATAGAATAAAAGGAAAACTAATGAAAGAGCAGCAGGCTTTAATTCCAATCTCTTATATAATTTCAGTTTAGCAGCTGAACACTGTCGAGACGCAGGACACACAGTGGAAGAAAAATTGCAATTGGTAATTTGGTAAATTAATTATAAAAAGCTACTTTTTTTCAGTTGTCCATTTAACTTTAATGAGTAGAGTACCAAAAAGCAAATGTAACCGTCAAAGTTTGATAGAAGGAAAATAAAGCATTCAGTAAATGGATAAGTACATGGATAAGTACATAAAAAGTTTCAGTATGCATCCATCCATCCCTGTGGTCCAGTGTGGCCCTACAGCCTATTTAGTGGTTTGGCCTGCCTCACAACTTCCTTCCACTTAGACCTAAAGGATGCTTTTCTTTTCCATGCTTGGATTCCCAGCTGCTGTAGATCCTTTTCCACATCATTCATCCATCTAAGCCTAGGTCTGCCTTTGAGACGTTTTCCTCTAGGATTTTGGTTGTGCACCCTCTTCACTCCTCTGTCATGAGGCGCTTTTTCAAAATGTCCTTTTTTATTTTTACTACTAGCATGGGATCCTGATATAGTCCATATTCATCCTTTGTTGGTCCATATATTTTCCAGAGAACTTTTCTCTCCAATGTGTTTAGTAGGCTAATTTGTTCCAGGTTTCCGGTTGACAAGTCTGTTGTGGCTTGCCGATTAGGAAGCGTCGGCCACCGACCCCCTCAGCGTTTGCCTGGAAACATAACTACTGGGCACGCCCCGCGTGGGCAGACAAAGGGTGTGCTCAGTACCTGCCGTACATAAAGCAGCTCCCACAGGGCTGCCGGCTGTAATATTTCGCAGTCGGAAAGTTAGGCAGAGCCAGGGTAGGGATCATGACTACAAGTTGCCGGTGACGGGTATGAGGCCAGAGGCGAGGGTGGTAACCTCTGGCCGAGGATTAAAAAAATGCAGCCGTGAGAAATCTGCCCCTAGGCAACCGTTTCGTCCCAGCTACAGCGTGAGCTAGTCGCGTTGTGGAAACCCACTGTGGAATCCCTCTTATAGGGTGTCCGACGCTTTCCTGGGATGGGTGGGGGAAGATATTAGGACGTAAATTTTTCCATCCCGACTCCTAGAGAAAGTCGATCGAGTGCACTGTTTAAACGCATAGTGTCGGATCGACCGGGTGCCTCCTCGTTGGGGCGGCCCCCAGGTGGGATCCTGGTCGAGCGCCCAGGTGAGGGACTTGGGTGAGGGGCCCGTGTGGGGGCCGCCCTGACGAGTCGGCATCTCCAACGTGCCGCTCCGCGGCCCGATACGTCGGACCGGGGAGGGGTAATTTGGGGGGGGGGNTAGGCTAATTACCTCCCTTGTAATCAGACCAGGTGTAAAATACATAAGTGGGACTTGGACCCTAACAAAAATTACAGTTTTATATAAATGGTTTTCTATATTTCAACATACAGTTTTTCAATATACTAATAATCTATTGATGGTGTTATTTGATGTCTTACTGAAATTTAATTACTTTTACATGGGATAATGTTGGTTTTAATAAAATATGATGATATTAAAGAAAGCAAAAAAAGAAACTAAAATTAATAAGTCAACCTTTAGTTGTGTGTCGCTCATTTCATTAAATTTAAAAAAAAAAAAAAAAATAAAAAAAAAATTTGTTAGGTATATGATGGCTGAATTTTATGTAAATTGGTAATAATGGGGAGAGACTGCAATCGGGTTTGAAAAATGGAAATGAGCGAAACAAAGTATGAGAAAACCTGGAAACCTTGTTGCATTCTTTTTTTTTTCAGGTTTTCCCATACTTTGTATAGCTCATTTCCATTCTGATTTTTATGCTACAGAAATGCTTGGGTTGTCTTGTGTTAAATTGTTTATAATTGTAAAATGTTGTCTTGGTTTATCTACTTAAAATGAATATTTACAATGTAATCAAAAAACATTTCCATCTATTTGGATCAATAAAAGAATCTTATATTTGAATGCATGCCAATCAGAAAATTTTCGATTTTGCAGATACAGTGTGTCTTACAAGATGTTGGCTCTAACATTGCAACCCCTTTCAGCTCTGCCAGAGAAGCTCATCTCAGTGAGTTTGCTATATCTGGAAATAAATTAACTGGATTGTAAATTTAACCAAATTTGTAATTTGTTATAGAAAATAATCAACTAGTTGTAGTCAATATGTTTTGAAGATTGCTTTTTGATGAGTTAGAATACCAGTAGTGAAAGATAAAATGTATTTAATTTTTGTAACCTTTCTTGATGGAATGAAAATGGTTGTCTGCAATATTTTGTGTAAGGCAATTAAATAAGTTTTGATTTACATACTTATCTACTTTTAATTCAGCTATTATTATACATTTTTTTCTTAAAAAAAAACAATTTAGTGAATGAATTATTTAAAATAATTTCCAGTGTTAATCATGTTAGTTATCTTTAAATTGTGTGTACAATGTATTTTGACCATGATATATTTTGTGTGTAGATATTTATAAATAGGAAGGTCATAAACTGACTGCATTAATTCAAGGCCTAATTACTATTTGTATGTACCTTAAACTAGGCTATAGTTCGAGGACTTGTTATTTATTTGATTTTTTTTTAAATGATAAAAATACCTTAATCATTAGTTACATGTGTTTAGGTATGCTGATAAGTTGAAATATAACACAACAATATACATTGAAAATAAAAGTTTTTGAAATAAGATCAGATTGCTTCTCCGAAAATTGATGACAGCTAAGAGTTATCACACAGATTTTTAACAAAGAATACTAGAAACTAAAAGAAAATATTGATCTTATAATATTGAATACTTTTAAAAATTTACAGAACAGGTCCAGTTTAATAACAAAGTTACCCATGAACTAGAATTGTGGATTGATGAAATGTCTGCCGAATTACCTCCCTTGAAAAATTTCATTTTACCAGTGAGTATTAGTATTTGTGGGAACTGATGCATTCATAAATTAATTTTGGCATCGGTTCATCTCAGGTGAAAATGTGAAGCCTGGGAGAGATGCTTTTTTAGAGGATCAATTGTTTCCCAGTGGAAAAAATTCTACCCCCAAAATGTTACAGAACATTGGTTTTGTCTAGAAATATTTCATTGGCTGAATAAGAAATACATTTGGTCCTGAATTTAATTTTTTGATTGAAACATAATATTACACTACTCGTTTAGCTCTTAATTTTTAAACTTTACAGTCTGGTGGTAAAGCAGCGTGTAGTCTACACTTGGCCAGATCAATTTGCAGACGTGCAGAACGATGGTGAGTTTTTGTAATTGGTTTTATTCTTTTGATATAATTTATTTTTGTATCAACTTTTTTAAGCTATTGATGATCTTTAAAAGATCTCTATAAACAATATTTAATGAATTATAAAACCTCTTAACTAACATGGTTGGTAATCACACATTTTTTAATTTTGGGTTACAGCATGACCCCCCTTGTTAGGGACAAAGAAATCGACGAGGAAACACTAAGATTCGTAAACAGGTTAGTTATTTGGTTCACCGGATATTTACACATTTTGCTCCACTGACTGTTCTAAACATTCATGCAAAACCACTGTTATTCTCTGATTTTTAATGCTATAATTGATTGAATATATCCAGGAATGCAAAGTGGAGGTCTTAGAATTTCACAGTTTTCCACTGTACCGTAGTTAGATTTTTAGAGGATTTTCTTCTTTAACACAACAAATACTTTTCATTTTATTTGTAATTCCTATTTTGTTAAAAATCATCTTACATAGCAGTCCTGATAATTTTTTTTTCTAAATCCTACAGATGTGCAAATATGTTGACACAATTTTTATAATTCTTTCAAAATGATCTAATGATATCTGAAATGATTTGATTAACATATGGATCAATATCTGTAGCACAAAACCTTTACATTCCTCTTGAATACCTTTCTATGAACAGGATGTCCTTGTTACCACTGGCAGTTTATGAAAACTGGTTCTCAAAATGGTTCTCAATCTGTTCAGACCTCTAGGTTGTAAAAAAATAACATAGAATTGTGAAATTTTGTCAGCATCTTTTTGCTGCTGCTTTCTAATAAATGTAAATTTTTTTTTCCAACCAGACTCAGTGATTTCCTGTTTATTGCCGCCCGCTATTGTGCAATGAAAGAAGGTAGAGAGGAGAAAGTGTACTGGAGGGTCGCTGACAAAGATTCTCATCTGGCTGAGGGGCATGGACACCATCATAGCATGTCATCTGTAGGGAATCTGGTTAAGAAGAATTGATTGGACAAAAGCGGTTGATAGCACCAGCTTAAGACTTTTTTGTTATATGGGGCTGACCTTCGATGTGAACGTTTGTCATGGAAATGCCCACAGCTACAGCTGCTTTTGGCAAGAAAATCTTTTTTAAATGGTTTGATACAAATTTTCCAACAAAGTTCTGTTGGAGAATAGTTGTTGATAAAGCCTCTAACATATGTTTACCAATCATTATACATTTTATATATAAATCTACTGAGAAACAGCTCAAAATGCCAGTTTCTTTTTTTTTTTTTTTACTTCTTAAATATTGACAAGTAATCTGTCAATATTTAACTAGATACAAGCAATATGTCAATATTAAACTAGAGAAACAGCTTGGTAAGCTAGATTTTTTAAATGGTTTGATACAAATTTTCCAACAAAGTTCTGTTGGAGAATAGTTGTTGATAAAGCCTTTAATATATGTTTACCAATCATTATACATTTTATATATAAATCTACTGAGAAACAGCTCAAAATGCCAGTTTCTTTTTTTTTTTTTTACGTCTTAAATATTGACAAGTAATCTGTCAATATTTAACTAGAGACAAGCAATATGTCAATATTAAACTAGAGAAACAGCTTGGTAAGCTAGTTTCTGTTTGCAAGTGTTCGCATGAAAAATATTAATATTGTATGACAGATTATTTAATTTATTACAGTAGTGTCCTACTTATCTTAATCATGGCTATCTGACATTCCACTGTATTCTAGATAACCATGTATTATCTATTATAGAAATAAGTCCTGTTAGCACATTTTATTGTTTAGAACAGAGGTTGCCAACCCAAAGCTCTTCAGGGGCCATTTCGATCATGAGTAAACTGCCATGTCGCAAGTCATTACACCTCTCAACTAAAATTAAGACCAAATGCTATACAAATATGTTTATTATTATTGCATATAATTCTCAGATGCTTAACACATGTAACCAGTGCTGTCACATGGGCCCTGTTACCCTTGCGCCTGCAAGGGACCTCAGATATTTAAGAGCCCCCAAGTTGTGATGCGGAAAAAATACCATCAATTTTGAATGCAGTAGTACAAAACCGAAAATGGCAGGTGGCCTCCAAACGTCATGCAACTGCTCCTCATGCAACAAACACTTAAATAAATGGTATAGGTTTAATTGAGCTGTTTTTAAAAAATTCAAATGTGCGTTGAAAACACACACAAAATGGGAAAAATAAATGAAGAAAGAAAAGTTCGTTTGTGATATATCTGTGGGCTGGCCATTTCTGGTTTAGAAAATCGCTCTAGATTTCATTGCTTTGCAACACCTTGTCAGCTTACGCTATGAAAATCATTTAATGTTTTAACTTTGTACTTACAACAAAGGTAAACAGTGACCCGTGAAAGTTAAACACACCTAACTTTTTTATTAGAGACTTAATGTTTATACATCAACAGATCAGAATGGGCCATATTTTCATTTTCTTTTCTCTTATTTGTGTATGATAATGATTCTCCAAATGGCAAGAAGCATGATAATTAATTTTGAAAGTCTTATGCAACATCTTCTTAAGTTCCTTTCAATGATACTGATAACGAACATGTACATGTTTTGATTGACACTTATATAGACTTTTGATGGTCTCTGGGAACCTGAGATAAATTGGACCCTATTGTAATCTGAGACAGAATCTCAGGTGTGTGTAAAGCAGTTCATTCTGTGAATATTAATTCATTTGTGTGAGTAGCATTTCATTTGTGTGAATAGCATTTCATTGGTGTGAATAGCATTTAATTGGTGTGAGTTATTTGAATTTTTAATGAGCAAGAAACAAAATGTATTAATGATAAGAAATGACCAAGACATTTTGAACGCTTGTTACCTATGTGCTATTAGACTTTATTTACTTTCTTACCTTATTCACTTGTGTTTGATTTCTTTCTGATTTTAGATCAATATTGATTTCTGATTTTTCATCAAGTTCTAGCAACCAGACTATGGCAACCACAAAAGTGCTCAGTTGTACTTAAGACATGTTATATCCTGGAGGGAGTTTTACAGAATAAGTAGAAAGGATCAAATGTTTTGCACAGTATGCATCCACTATGGACTTCTTTTGTTTAAATAAGTGTTTGATGTAATCCAGAAAAATAAATACTTCTTTAAGAAGAATATATAATAAATTTATTTTAATAATTGAATCAATTTAAGTGAGAATTTTCATGCCACAATGTTTTTAGAGCATCATAGATGATAAGTAAAGGATTTTATTTGCTAATACTAATAGCATTTCTAACAGATTTTGGGTGATATCATAACAATTTCCTCACATCGAAAGTTAGTGAAGATATTGAAATAAAGGAAGCAAAATCTTGATAACATTTAAAGACTGTCTGCATAAATAGTCTGCCAATCCCACAGGGGTTTGGCATACATTTCCAGATAATTATATGTCTACTGAAGACCAAAAACTCCACGTGACTAGTATTTTGTCACTCTGTGTCAAGGGTTCTCACCTTGCCAATATTATTTTCTTTTGTTGGTTTGCATGGACAGGATTATAATATCATTGCTTTGTCATCAGTCATTGGGTATTTTTTGAACGGCTATCTTTATTGCAATTATAGAATATTAAAGCAAATAGATCTATTTTTACAATTACTACAGCAAGTGAAGTGTATGCAATTATATTGAGGGGGAAAAAAAACCAAAAGCATTGGAATAAGGATAACAAAAAGATAGCCTTCTACAAGAATGTTTACTTTTAAATGAGTCTAGTCAAATAGAAGCGAAAAAGAAGTCAATTTAGAATAAGAGATGTATAAATTTTATCGTACCACAACAATCTAAATACACATAACTTCAGTTTATCTTGTATCATTTCCACTTTTTGTTTTCTTTAATATTTACTTAACTATTTAATTATTTATTTGTTATTAAATTAAAAAAACCATTTACTTTTAAAAAAAATTTCTCTTTGCATTTTCTTATGTTCTTTATAACTATAACTTATATGTTTTGTAAAAAAAAAATATATATATATATGATGATGAATGTCTCATGAGGATTTTATATTTTTATTTTAAAAAAAGATTAGCAAAAAAGATGATGTAAGTTTCTTGAAACAAATGTTGAAATTATCAGTCAAAGAGTCTTCACAGAAATTCTGTATCAAAAATTATATTGTAAACCATGCTTTTTGAAATATTGACCAGTTCATTTGATTCAGTGAGATTGTGAAATGTTCTTTAATGGTTGACTGGTTTATAATTCACGGTCAGTCCCAAAATACTTTTAAAGTGATCAGCATACAAATCCCCACTTTCTCTGTGTGTTCCTCATGTCTTAAATTGGCAGTGTTGACAATAATGTACAAGGGGAGACAATCATTCCAAATCAAATAGTTTTTTTCGAATTTACATGGTGGTCACACTGTTATTATTTGAAGTACATTATCTTTAAGAATAATGCCCTGCTTAGAAGTAATTTGTCTGGCAACTAGAGCAGTGCTAGAAAAGATTGCTTGGCTGATGTGATTTGTACATTTGAGTCAGAGTGACAATATCTAATAGTTAAATATTTCTATCATCCATCTACTTTTACTGTTTAAGAGTCTTGATAGTTTTCTCATATTTATTTCTACATCTGAATTATCTGAATCTTGTGAAGTTGTATACTTGTAAATCTCAAAGTGCACTATTACTAATAAGAAAACCCAATTTTTATGTGCCTAAGCTGCCTTTACATTTTAAGACGGGGATTAACACTAACAGATTTTCTCTAGGTTTTTCCATGCATTTTTTTTTTTGTGTGTTTAAAAATTATAGATTGTGCTTATCTTACAAGTTGTATCATAATTTTATATGTATAGTACATTTTTTTAGTGTTTGTGACTTATGCTTTAAAAAAAAGGTCATAGTAATAAACAGACAATTTACTTTATTTGCTCCAGTTTTATATAATACATCATTTAGGAATCACTTTTGCAAAGACACAATCTCAAAGTGAAATATCCTCATCAACACCAGGCACAGAAACATTGCAATACCCCTCTACATGCAGAGGAGCCAAAATGATCAATAAATTGATCGTGGGCCCTTAATACATAGAAGAAGAAGTTGGGGCCAACAATATTGTCCATCTAATACAGGAATGGGCAAATTGTTTGTGCAAAGGGGGGCATGGAACTTCATTAAATATTTTGCCAAGTGCATAATAATTTTTAGAGTCAAGAATTTCAGTTCAGAAATAATCAGTGGAATAATTTTTAAATTTGCTGTGATTATTGCAGTTTGACAATTTTACATTGTGGTTATAAAATTTTAAAGCCTCTTAGTACAGATTCATTCAAAATTTTTACGTTACCTAAAACATTAATCCAGCCCCAGGAAGGTCTTGCGGGTAGGATCAAACATTCAGCTGCCAGGCCGCATGAGGGCTGCATGCTGGAGGTTACCTGCTCCTGATCTATTATAATCCAAAAATACTGAGTTTGAATGACGCTCTTCATTAATGTTGAATACCTCTGGTCTGGGAATCCTTGTAGAGTATGATGCAAGATACCCTTCTTATATCCTAAATTTAAGAGACAACACACAGAGTTCATGCCTTTAAATGTATTACATATCTAGCCTATATACACAGCATTTTCCGGGATAGCATTCGGGACGAAAGAAATTCCTACAGCCTTGTAATTAACATAAATTTAAGCACCGCTTACAAAAAAACACCACTCTGGTAACAATGATCATAAATCTGTCTCCTATTAAATAAAACACATTTATAATAACTTTTGTAAACTGTTTGTTCCCTGGTAGGATCCCTATCCCGGAGGGAACCCAGTTGGATCCCATTTTTCGATGGGATCCCGCTTTCAGATGTATCCCGGTATTTGGAAGGATCCTGGCCCCGTTTGGATCCCGATCTTGATGAACTTTCTGGAACATTCTATATTAAATTTAATAATTATACAACTAAACTATAACTATAGTACATTTAAGTTGAAAAAGGGGGCCCATTCCATAATTGTATCGAATTAGTTTTGCCTGAGACAGGGGGCCCTATAAAAATCAGTCAGATAAATTCTGGAAGAAAAAACTTGTCCCATTAAAATTGGTTTAAAAATGCCGAAGATAGGCTATAGCTTTTTAAAATTATCAAACTTTCTGGAAAATTCTAGATTGGATATTATTAGTTTTAAAGCCATCGATATTAAAGTAAGGACAATGAAAGGTATTGCTAGATCCATCAATTCACATAGAACCTATAATGTCTTCTACCTATTAATATTTTTATAGCTTATATAAGGAAAAATGGATATGATGAGTTCAGTACCCTCAGTATTGGAATATGGATAATAAAGTGTATGTGTGCTGAAGTTTGGTCAAGATCCATCTATTCATGTAAGAGTATTTGTTGTTAATTTAATTATATAGCTCATATAAGAAAAAAAACGAATTCGAGGCCCCCGGCCCATAACGGAATGTTATAAAAAAAGTTCACATATCTGATCACATGAGACACCTGCTCAGCGCGTGAAAGGTCAGGTGTGCTGTAGAAAATAGCCCCAAAGTACCTAAGGTACTTTACATCCATGACAATTATCTCCTTCACATGATTTGAAAGAAAATGTATAAACTTATTCTGATTTTTTTTTGTTGGTGCAAGATACGGATGCTTAAAGTCTCCATGTGATGTGAGCCGTTTGAATAACATTAGGTGCTCTTTCAGCACTGGCTCATATTTCTAGAGCATTTCAACCATTGCAAGAAAGTTTCCTTTATTTACAGACGATTCATCTTCCTTGTGACCACAGAATGGCGAGAAACAAATGTGGTAGAAAGCAACAAGTAAGCTAATGTGTCCCTCCACTCTTTTTTTACCCATTTCAATAAAGACACAACTTTCTGCATAATTTTTTTTTAAAAAATCTCTAAGTAGTGCTAACAATGTTTCCATTTCTCAAGGCACATGCTTCACGTGATCAGTAGGGTAGCTAAGGTAAGTTCCGCCCGGTAAGTTCCCCCCCCCCCACCATTGTTCCCTTTAAGCTGTGCGGCTGCGCAGCTGTTTTGAGTACCGAGCAGCAAATTTCCATTTAAGTGAGTGGGTTGTAAAATTTTGCGCACAAAAAAATTGAAGCTGTAAAACTTTGCACCCAACTGTATGATTTTGCACACGAACCAACAAACCTTAGAGGGAACATTGTCCCCCCACCCATGGGCGCCGTAGAAAACTTTCTAGGGAGGGGGGCAAAAAAAAATCGATTAACTTTTTAGTAATGTTTAAATATAGTTTTAATTTACTGTAGCGTATTTGTATGGTGAACGAACGGACAGGACATCAGCTTAGTTACTTTCTCTTTATTTTCTTTTTACTTTAATAAATTTTTTGTATAAAATTTTTTTATCCAATCAATCCAGGGGGGGGGGCAAGTGCCCCCCTTGCCCCTACCTGCGGGCGCCCATGCCTCCACCCATCTCCACGAAAAAATACAAAGCAAACTCTTCAGTTTCAAACTCTTCGGAAATACCCGGGGGAGGGGGGAACAGTTCTCTTCACACCCCTAATTTACTACGTCACTCACATGATTATTTACTTTTGGGAGTTTCCACCATTTCTGAAAGCCAGCCACACGACACTGTGACAGCCAAAATATTCGGGAAGTTACATCCGAAGCATAAAGAACATAGAGTTTTTTCCAGCATAAGCAGAATAATCTCCCACCGTGCTATTATACCACTCTGGACTCTGAGGGCACCCTGCACTTGTATTTACCTTAGATATGCCATGGAATCAACTCGAGTGAGCTCTGTCAAATTGGCAATTTCCAATTGGAGCCCCCCACCCCCAATTTTTATTTCTGTGAGGGTACCCCCTACTGAAGCTACTGGGTATAATATATATTCACTACATTACTAAATAGGGGTCTTCGGGAAAATGTACCAAGGCCAAGGACCTATGAGTCTTTTAGGCTTAAGACTTAGCCTATCTTGGGCTTGCAGTTAGAGTAGAGAAGGAAAAAAAACAAAAAAACAAAAAAAAACAACAACAGATAGGGGCCATCCAAAAACGACCTCACAAAACCCACAAAAATGTCTTGGACCATTTGGATGTTCGGGTAGTGAAACTGTGAAAGGAAAGTAAGAGATACAGGTAATATTGGAGGCCTCTGTAAAAAAAAAGTGATGAGTAAAACTTTCTAAATCAGTGGTCGGCAAACTCAATAGAGCCAAAAAATCAGCAGAAGGACGATTACATTTTTTTGAGAGCCAAATTTCTTTTCTAGAACCTGTCAAGCCCCTTTTTTTTCGGAGTCAAACCCGATTTGTGGCCGGCTGGCCGAGCCGCACTCAGGTCGCTAAAGAGCCGCGAGCCGCATTGCGGCTTGCGAGCCGCGGTTTGCCGACCACTGGTCTAAATGATCAATTAATTGATAACATTTGTAGTTAACTGTAAAAATGATACAGAACAGGATAGGCTAAGTCGATTGCCCTTCTGATCTTAAATTTCAAGGGAATGATTACTATTACTAATACAGTATTAATATTATTTTGTGCCTAAGCATTATTGCCCTTGTTTAACAAGACACTTCAGGGCATTGGATGAAACAAAGCTCCGCTATTGTCACCGGGGAAACAAGACGAGCTTGTAAAAATGGCTGACAAATAAAAATGGCCAAGTTTATCGTTCTTTTTTTTCACTTAGGGAATTAGGCTTGTTTCTCAGATTATCATAAGTAATAAGGCATAATTACAATTATTCGTAGGCTTATGTCAAATGTACATTATATTACTAATTACTACTATCACTAATTAGGCTACTATAAATAAAAATGCAATAACTTTGTTAGTCTTAGTCTAAGTCTAAGAGTCAAAGTCTCACAGATTCTAGACTCGCTTCTAGTTCTAGTTAGACTGACTTAAAAAATGTTATCGGCTACCATGTTATCAATGAAAAAAAAATTAAATGATGAGTTTATTTTTTAATCAGTAGAATAAATTATAGTTACAATAATGATGTATAAGTTTCACATAATAATAATAATATTATTATAATAATTGATTATATTATATCATCATATTTAATAAAAGTTTTGACTTTTTAAACTTAAACTTTGTACTTCGTTATTTAAGATTTAAGTTAAGTTAATAAATTAAGTTTAAGTCACACTTGTCAACTGTCAATTTAAGTGATACTGTGCAGCACAGTCAGTGACAGTGTGTTACTTGTGTGAATTGAAATTCAACCGAATTAGATCAAGTATTACAATGATGCATTTTACTTCGACTTCATTATGGTCATCATGGTTAAATTTAAATAAATAATTAGATTATACAAAACATTGAACTTGAAAGAAATAACACTAATAACAGTAACAAGCTTATGTGACTAAATAAAATTAGTGTGCACATTGTTTAGTAATTGATTTGAGTTTGCGACATGAATATAATTAATCCTGCATTGGTAAATGGGAGTGTTTAAAATTCACCCACCATGATTGAAAGATGAGTAGGAACCAAGTTTAAAATATATTTTATTGACAGGGATGAAAAAGACATAATATATATTTTTTAAAAATTGGCTACATCAGTTAAAGTGGTCAAATGCCATGGACTTTTAATAATTTAGGCAAAATTTGATTAGGTACCAGGCCAAAAGAAAGAAAAAGATGTTAAATACTTACTTTTCTGAAATTGTTTATAGCTTAATATCCCATATTAAGTTATTAATTAATTTGAATGTTTTTATATGCATCATGAAATGAAACATGTGACCTCCATCCCTTTGAAAATAGCACTTATGTGCTCAAACCTAAAATCTGTAACAACTGTTTTAAACTATTTTGAATGATGTCTTTTAATTCTAAAAGTAGCCCTATTATATTAAGAGAAAGTCCCATACATTTTTCAGGCATAAAATTTCTCCTGGCCCATATCTATGATAATATATTTTTATAAAGAAAAAAATTAAATAGCATCTTAACTGTCTTATCGTTTCATTTACCCATTACAAATGAATTTTTATAAAAAGTTAAATACAAAATACATAATATATAGCTTAAATATAAATTTGATATCAAACAATACAAAAGTATTTCTCTATGCTCAGTTTACTGTTAAACTCAAGTTTACTTTTCAAATTCATAATAATAATACTCTTATAAATTGTACAAATCTCTTACATAAGCTTCATAAAAAAAATCAATATGCTTCATGACTTCATGAATAAGGAAGTTATGCTATCAGTTCAATCATTTGTATGTGTATAGAAAACCACTTGTATAAGCTAGATTAGCTATGTTTAAGTAAAAGGGCTTTGAACTTGATTGGAGAAATGTCAGAGATTTATTTCAGAAAGCATTTTGTAAATAATGTATTATGATTGTTATTATGATCTGCAAGTCATACTTTAGTATTGGCCTATAAAATGTTAAAATTATTGTTTTTTTTGTTTTGTTTTTTTTTTAAAAATCAGTCACTAATTTCAATGTATGGATAATATAAGGAAATAATTTACTAACAGTATTTTTAAAAGAGTTAACCTTTTTTTTAAAGTAACGTATAAGGAAAATTTATAGGCTAACTTTAGTTCAGCAATTTTAAATTTGGCCTTTTTGACATTATTGGTATAAATTCTGAGTTTTTTAGGTCTATTATTCTGGATAAATTTCTTGTTCTGCTGAAGCACATGTTATATGTTGTTATTGCTTTCTGTTTATCAGATTATCTGATGGTGTTCAAATCTAGTTAGAGATTCCAAAATGTGGATGCAATTTTAAAAAAATCTTGATCCTGTAGTTTTTTAATTCTTTGGAATCAAACATAATGTCTGCTTCAGTCAAGCTGCACAGACCACCATCAGAGACTGCACTAAAATTACCGAGGTAATTTTATATTTAAGTTTTGAAGACAGAAAGAGGGTAAAACAGTTTTAATAAATGTGAAGATGCATTAATTTTGAATAATACAAAGTGATTTAAAAAATGAAATAAAAACATTTTAATTATAGACCTACTAAAAAAATAATTATAAAAAGTTTATTTTTATTACAAATATCATTGCTGTAACTCTAACCGCACAAGTCAGTTTTTGTTGACAATACATTTGTTTAAATATATAAATAATATCTAGGGCACCCTCATGTCCTGTAAAAATATTTTAAAAGTTGCATTAGTGGCATGTACATTTTCTGACACATGATCTAGCCAAATGTTTAAAAAGTTTGCTTTAAAGTTATTAGTTTTTTTGTGTCTCCTATAAATATGAAACATCTGACCAACATGTTTAGAAAATGACAATGACAATGTATTGTTTTAAGAGAAATATAACAGATAAATAATTGATTTAAACTGATCTTTAAAAAGCATATTTTCTCAAAACTGAAGAGTTTTAAAAGAATGGAGATCCTTTACTAGATTTTTACAATTTTAATTAAGCAATCAGCAAAGTTTCATAGTTTGTATAAATTTAATTATTCTCCTTAAAAATATTAAATTTGTAATCTTATACAACAGCCTACATTTTTTTTTTTTTACATTTATACTTGTCTATTTTTAAGCCTATCTATTTATAATGCTGCAATTGTTTAAGTATTTTTATTTTTTAAAATTGAATCATAGATTCCGCTTTGATGGTGAACTATGGCCAACGCCTAGTCCAATCTCTGCTGTATATGATGTCTGTAATAGTAGCACTCGTTTAATTATTCTCAACAACAAGCTGTCAACTGTGAGTCATATTAACTATTTTGATATATAACTACTTGTTAAATTATTTTGGAAATATAAATATTAGTTTTAAGGTTTTGTGGAAAATGTAAAAGGTTAATTATTAATAGATGGAAATTAAATTTACTTTTTAAGCTAAAACATGCTTTACATATTTATGTATAACTAATTTTGTGATTTAATATTTGTAGAAAAGAGAGGGATCAAGGCTTAGGGGCCAAACTGTTGTCAAGGGAGTGTTTGAGTAAGTTGACTTGCTAAATAAAACTGGGTCCCTTGCAATTGAGGGATATTCACTAACAAAGATTGATAAAACATTGGGAGATTTGACTGAATATTACCACACTCCTAATTATCATACCATTTAATTGTGAAAAAAAAAAAAAAAAGATTGTAATGAAAGGACTGTGGTTATTGTCAACAACATTAATTTAGGCAATAAAATAGATTCTTTGTTATGTATCTAAAAAAATTAAGTTTTTTAGGATCTATTTCCGTTAAAAGTTGGTTGGTGTATATCACCAAAACTGTGTTTTCTCCTTTTTTTTTTGATAACTTGTTGTGATTGAATCCTGAAATAAAGGTTTTATAGAGATGACATATCAAAATATTCTGTTACCCATTCTTATTTGTAGTTCACAATTACATATTTTACTAGCGTTATAGCATTCCTGAATGACAGGCTTTCTTAATCATAAAAGGAGTCCCAAAGCTAGTAGCGAAATGATATTAAAAGCAGGTTTTAGAAATGAAATAAACATACAGTAATAGATACAAGGGTCATAACTGAACATGGCTTGAGAATGACAAGGCACACTTTTAAAATTAAAGTGTATTAAAAATTCTGACAAATATGTAAACAAAAAGAAACAGTCTTGTGGCATATGAATATTGCCTTTCTCCAGACATGTTTCATTATCAATCACCATTTGGGTACCAAGTTTTCAATAAAAATAAAGTGTTTATGGCTAAAGGGATTTCGGGGGCTAACCACAGGGGATTTCATTTAGACCCTACATATGCTGGGACTGGGCTGGTTGTCATAGTTCATTTACTTAACATTTTAAAAAGCCCTTTAAACGGCACAGTTTTTTCAATAGAAGTATGACCAAGTAAAAAATACAAAATTACTATTTAAATTTATTAATTAATTAATTAATTTTTCTTTTACTTTTTTAAGTCGGCCACAACCAGATAGACACTTTTTAGGTAAGATGATTTTTTTAATGGCAAGAAAGACATGGATAATTTAAAATAAGGATAGCTTGTAGTTTTTATTTGTTTCACAGAAATACAGTTTCTAAAAATAAAATTTTGATTGCATTGTCTATTGCCATCAAAATCAAAATACATTCTTTCAAATTTCTATTTCATATGTTTCCATTATATGCTTACTACAGTAAACAGAAATTTAAAAAAAAATGTTCTTTTGAGTCAATAAGTAAATGCTGTATTTAATCCCAAAAAAAAAACACTCAAAGGTTTTATCTAACTATTAATTTTTTTACCTCCTTTAAAAATGTTTGTTATCGCCAGCAGAAGATTTAGTCTCTTTTTTCCAGACTCGCCCCAATCTGCCAGAGAACGCCATAAACACTGCATCATTTCAGAGTCAGATTTATTTGTTCCAATTTTCCCTCCCAGTATTCCATATCCTCCTGTTTGGGTTAAAAAATCCAAGATTAGAGGTAAACTTTAAACTTTAACAATCTTAGTACATATATATGTGTGTGTATATTGGTATGTATATTTCTTTCGGTTGCATCTCCTTGAGTTAACTGACTAACCACTGGGGGGGGGGGGGGGGGTTGCGCAAGTCACCAGCAGTCCAAATATCCTCACTCTGGCCAGTCTTTTCTTTTAGTTGAAAATTTATTGGATTTAAATGATGGCTGCTGTAGCAACCTTGCTGAATGGACACATTTGAAAAAATTAGATTTTTTGTTCAGTTATAAACGGATTTAATGTCTGGTTATTAATAGTTCTGAGTAGGCTGCTGGGACATTGGGAAAAAAACTCACCCCCACCAGGTGCAGTGATTAGGGCTGCCTGGTGCCTCTTTTAAATTATAAAAAAATATTACAGATCAACAAAAAAAAACTTACAGATTTCTGTCCCAAGCCACTTGGACACTCCAGTCCACCACTGGTTGTGACAATTTAAAAACTTAAATTTAGATTTGTCACTGATAAAGGGTTATAATAAATTAACCAAACTGAATAAATGAATAAGAATGTTTTTTTATCAGCTTGGGCAGCAGTACTGCCGTAAGAAGGAAAACAAAACCTTGAAATATATGTAAAAACAAAAAAAATTGATAGTTTATTAAACAAATATTGGGGTTTTCAGATGTTTCAAGCACACATTCCAAACACCATACAGCTCGTTCTTTTGATAAAGACATTAAAAGACTTTTTGATGAGATCAGTCGTCCACAGAAAATTTTTACGAGAAGAGAGACAAGGCTTTCTCCCACAATGAAATCTCTAGTTGATGACTCTCATCTTCCACGCGGAGAAAGGCAATATTTAGCAAACATTGCAAAAGTTTACTCACTTGATGAAATGAGACAACAGAAAATGCATCAATTGAATCAGTTGATTTATCAAGAGCTCTGTAAAGGTAACTTTTTCACTTGTGATCTATTTTTCAAATTGAATTTTTTAAAACAATTTTCCCTACAGCCTGTTAAATTGTGTTTGTGTGAGTTGCACACTAAGTTCATAAACGTGAGATATATTGCACCAAATTGTATTTTATTGATCCACAGAAGTAACCTCAGTGTAATGAATCATCTCATTTTCTTGTTATTCATAAGAGAGATTCATTTTTAAAATTTCAATTTTATTACTGCTGCAGATTGTTAATTAGTTTAATACATAAATAATATTGTTTTAATACTACAGGCTATTTATAATTTTGGAAATAAAAGGGATGTGGTAAGTGAAAACTTAATAAACTTCACAACTAAACAACAAAAAGGTAAAAAATTATGAACATGAAAAAGAAAGAATCTTGGCTCTGAGTCAAAGAAAAGAAGCTGAGTAAAAGTGTGCTTCGTATTTCCTTTTTTGAAATTGATGTAAACCCCCCCCTTTCTCCTGATTCTTTGCTAATTCCATCATTTCCAGGTAACACTTTAAACATTAAATAATATATATTTGTGTAGTTTTTTAAAAACAATATTAAGATTTTATACATTTTTTTATTCCAAAATAGGTTTGAGAATTTTGTAAATGAACAAAATATTTTTTTATTCGTTAGGAAGTTACAGCTCAAAAGAAATTACAAAGTATCACAGTTATTTTAGTTCACAACCAAGGAATCAGAATATAAGGATAGAAGTTAAATCCACTTCCTCATCACCTCATAATTCTAAAACAAGGAGCACATTTGGAGGAAAGGAAAGAAGACCGCAAACTGTACAACCAAATGAAAGGTATTAAATATTTGTAGTTTTATCATAAAATGAGAAGTGCAAAGAAAACAATTTATAACACTGAACATTGTAGAAATCTATTTTGTTATTTTAAAAAGCATAAATTGTTATTGTTCATGGAGACTCCCTTTTCACTATATCTGCTATTACAATATGGTTTACTTCATATTCACCAGCTTAGCCATTAAATTATTCTGACAAAATAGTATATTAAAGAAAGTGAAATTTTAACTATGCAAAAGATTGACTTGATACATTTGTATGTTCCTGCAGGTCACAAAAACAAGCCAGGACCAGTTCATGCTTCTCTACTTCTAGAACTAAAAGCTCTCATGGAGAGAATCAGCCAATTACAAGGTGTAGGAAGTCTACAGATCAAGCCAATGTAGTGCAGTCAGATGAAAGTGAAAGTAAAATATTAGCTAGAGAGTACAAGTTGAATGCAACTGAAGATGAACATTATGATTTTAGACATCAAAGTCCTCAATCTAAGAGTAGCCCAAGACAAAATAAATCCAAAGATACTCTAAGGGAAGAGAAATTTAATAAGAATGATGATGAATACAACAGTGTTAGCCCTCCTGGAAAAGAACAAAACAAAATATTAATTTCTTTATCTGAAGATGGCAGCCTTAGTGAATCTGAAGTCACTGGGGACAGGGAGGTAGAAAAACAAAAGAAAGGCAAAACATATAATGACACTGAATTACTTGTGGCTGAAAAGGAGCAAGTTCTGATTGGTGAAACAATTCTTGGACATACAGAAATTAAAGAGGACAATTTTGACACTCAAGTCGTTGAGGTTGATAACTATGACAATCATGATGATGAAATTACTAATGATCATGATAATGTTGATGCTGGTGATAAGAGCAGTGTTGATAGTTCAATAGAAGAAAGTGACACATCAGAATCTGATGGTGGAAAAAATGCCTTTAATGAAGAATTATTATTGAATGACAGCGACACAAACACCAAACAAGCCGATCAGTTGGAAAATCTCACAGAGACTGGAAGAGAGAAGGAAACACACCTGAAGACAGAATCATCAGGGGAAATTGAACCACAAGATTGTGTTGCTAAAGGAGAAATGGCAGAAATTTTGTCACACTCACCAGAATTAATTGAAGGGTATTTGGACCAGACACTTGACAAGGCAGATGCCTTTAATGAAGAATTATTATTGAATGACAGCGACACAAACACCAAACAGTCCGATCAGTTGAAAAATCTCGCAGTGACTGGAAGAGAGAAGGAAACACACCTGAAGACAGAATCATCAGGGGAAATTGAACCACAAGATTGTGTTGCTAAAGGAGAAATGGCAGAAATTTTGTCACACTCACAAGAATTAATTAAAGGGGATTTGGACCAGACACTTGACAAGGCAGATGACAATCAATCAGGTAAAAGATAATAGGTGACCCCATTACTTTTATAAAATTTGAATAGAAAACTAGACTCTTTTGAGTGGAAATTTTCAGTAAATAATTTCATTGATTAAATTGGATCAACTGTTAAATTTATGTCATTTACAAAACTTACATAAAAGCAGTCAAGCATCTATTAATTGAGAATCTTAACACTGTTTTTGGAAATAGTTAAATTAAATTTAGAAATTTACCAATTTTCTTTCCCTTACAGTAGTTACAGTCAATGCAGACACAGAAGCTGATACTAAAGATGAAAGAGAACCCTCAGATCATGGTCATAGTGATAAATTGAGCAATGATAGTTTGAATGAGGTAGACATCAGCTCCTCCTGCTATGAGAGTGAAAAGGATGATGGAAAAAAGGAAGACTTGAACAACAAAAAAGATTCAAGTTCAGATGAGACAAGCAACAGTCAGACTTTTAATTAAGATAAAAATGTAACGTTATCACATTAATTGTGGGGTACAGTCTAATCAGTTTATAAGAGTTTCATAATTTAAAAAAAAATTTATGATGTGTTGAATTTGATTGTGTTAGTGCTACTCAACGGATATTGAACTTAAGTTTCGCTCTAGTCCCTGGAACTTGTAACTTCACTTTATTTTTTTTGTCATTAAGCCACAGCTGCTGGTCAAATCTTGAGTTGATTGATGTCATAAGTTAAAACATCCATCCCATTCGTCTTGTGGTGTTAGAGCCCATGCAGGGCTTTGGCCTGCCTCACATCTTCCTTCCACTCTTCAATACAATTTTAGATACTGTAGTTAGAACACCTTAATATAATATTTAATTCAAGAGTAAAATTCTGTCATCTTGTAATTCAAAGATGTGTTTTAGTTTTAGGGAATAATTAATACATTTTTCAATGTTTCGGTATTTTCTTTAAAAACAAGTGCAAAAAAGATGCACCACATTTTATGAACCTGTAAAAAAAAAAAAATTTGAAAAGGAAATAACTTGACAAATGAGCTCAAATTTATTCATAGAAAGTACCCTCAACAGATAAAAAATACTTATAACCTGATAAAAAAGCAGGTATTCTGAATAAAACTTGTCCAAATCTATGTTTCTTTTAACTCTATTAAAAAGGATTATACTAATTATAATTTTAAAAATAATTGTCGGTACAAAATGAGCAACACATTAATTGGAATGTTCTGGAGTGATGTGAAAGCAGGTTCACTTATAGAATTCATAATTTTTGAATGTCAATGATATGTTTTTTTATATAATCTTTTTATGCTATGCCTCTAAATGGAGTTTTGATAAATTTGAGAGCTGGCACCTTATACAATCAGTATTATGTGTTGCATATTAAAGAAAAGGCAATTATTTAATCTAAGTCAGCATTATGCATAAGTATTAAATAGATTTTTAAATTGACTTTTATTAAAAAAGCCTAAATTAAATTAGCTTTGTCTTTAAGTGTGCTTTTTGTGTAAAGATAACTGTGTGCTTCTATTATGTTAAGAATTATTTTGTAGTTTGTAGTTAACCATTTCATTACTGCTGGTTTTGGCATCGATTTTTGCTGACTCAGCAATTAAAAAACTTCAAAGAACAAACTTTCGGTATTGTTCATTCTCTATTGATTCACTTATTAACTTCTCTATAGATTAACAAATAAAGAAATATATAGCACTGAAATATGATGTCGACGTGACGTCCTTGGTATTTCAGAAAAGTTCTTTGCCTCTTTGTTATGACAACAATGTGACGTCCTTGGTAATTGAAACTGGGTGATTGTGACGTCATTGGTAACAAAAAGGTTAAGTTTTTTGAGTTTCAATATAAATCAAGGACTTGTTCCAAAAGCAAACTTTTAATGTGTCAAACCAGCAGATAATTATCAACTACAGCTGAAAATGGTTTTTCAATTTTTGATCATCATAGATGTATCGCCCTATGTGACTGATGCCCCATGATATAGTACTATGGGAAATGCTGTCATAAACCATAATTTCTTTGAAAATCATTAATTGCAAATGAACATATTTTAAACATTATTTCTCCTTATTACTTAATGTTCAATTTATAGTATTCCTAAGTTGTAATGTAATATGTCTCTGGAATGAGCTTGATTTTATTATTAAAAATGTCAGTTTCTGATAACTCTTAAATAAATCTCGAGGTTAAAATTGTCCATGTAAAGCAACTGAAGGAAACAAAAATTTCACATTAGTTTTTATGTAGGCAAAGACTTACATACAGTAACATTTTTTAGCCTTGACCTGTTTATGTATTTGATTTTTTGTAATCAAAAGTTATTACTTGTATAATCTGAATAGCGTCAAAATGTCAGTGCAAAAACATCTGTTCAGAGAAAATATAAATTGAAAATTTTGAATCTTATGTATCAACTATCATAATGTGTGGAAAACTATATATGAACATGTCATTGTTCAGATTTTCTTTTACAATAAATAATTTATTTCAAATTTAAACATCTTTTTAAGCTTTACTCCTGGCTTAACTAAATCATTTAATGTTTTGAGGGTTGATATTTGATACATCCTTTGATGACTTTCATTTGTTTTTAATTATATACCAGTGAATAAATCTAATGCAGCAATATAGGCCACATACTAGTAAAAAATCTTTCTTGTTATATTTCAAAGTTTTATTCTCATTTAATCTTATGCAACACTCTCTGGGGATGTATTATCTTTTTGCTTATTAAAAAAGTAAAATAATAGTCTGACTATGCAGAATCAAATAAACTTTACAAGATGTAGATCATGGTACTGACACTTGTCATTGTTATCGCCATGGTTACTAGTAAATGACAAGAAAACAGGTGGCCAACCACACTCATTGAGATGGTTATTTTACGTCACAAATAAAGGGTACTATCACTATCAGATTATTGAAATGACAACCTTGAATTTAGATCAGAGATCAAAGGAGAGTGTAACTATTTCAAAATCTGTTAATGACATTCCATTCACCTTAAACTAAGATCTTTGATCCAAAGTTTTCAACAGTAACTATTAAAGGGACCATGGTAAGATTTATTATACATTTCACATAGAGGTTTTACACACACACCCAGGAAAACAAAGGATTTAAAAATCAAATTTTTTATTTAATTAAAATTATTTATACTAAAATGTAACAGTTGAATTTCATTTTTAAGAAACAATTCATTTTGTTTCTGTAGACATTAAAAACACACTAGTTCAGCTTGTTTACTTTATTCAGTAAACATTAATGATAAATGAGCTATACATATATGGTTAAGATCTGTAAGGGTGTTTTCTCACCTAAGTGTCCTAAAACAAACAACCTCGTTATGACCCGTAAGAGTGTTTTTTTCCCCCCCACATCAGTGTCACAGAACATACAACATGGATCACTCCAACAGAGTTTGGCAAGAATTAAGTGGTTTTTGGTTAAAAACACCAATTGACAGCAGTACCTAAATCTCATGCTGACAAATCACTTTAGCACCGCTGTTAAAGCTTAAAGTGGTGTCTGAAGTTATTGATGGACAGAGAATCATTTAAGTATTACCAGTCTGACTTTAACATTGGCATTTTAAAAAAAAATTTGCTTAACCACAGCCTTGACTCACTAACCCAGGACATAAAAACTATTTCAGACTCTGTTTTTTTAATGATATAAAATAACAACAACAATTTGAAAAAAGTGAGTTGTCTTTGAAAAAAAGTGAGTTGTCAACGGCAACGAGTCATTGTGCTAAGTTTCAGCTCAATAGGTTGATGGGAAATGGGTCAATTAGCCATCTGAAGACTTTGCCAGCCAGCCACAAACAAAAGTGGAGTTAATATATTATAAAGGATTAAAAAATATATCAAAGTTACTTATTCTTTTGATCTCTGACTTGAAAGATTAGTTTTGTCCTAACACATATTTTGTAAAATGTCAAATATTTACAGAATTCTCTGGCATCATGCTTAAATCCTAGGTCATGACAAAATGGGAAAAGTCTTAACAGTATTGTGCTTAAAACTGTGGTCCATGTTAGTAAATGATTCATATATTAATATATTACGTGAGCAGTTACAACATCAATGATTTGTGCTGTCAAATGTAAAAAAAAGGCACCAAACAACCAATAGAACTATTAGCTGCCTACAACAATAAGAGATATGATGGCCTCAAGGAGAAAATGTTGAGTTTAAAGCAGAATTATTGCGCGAAGAATTTCCACTCTTTGGACTTGGTGTTTTAACATTCTTAAATTTAGACTTCATGGCTGTAAATAGAGCTTTATGAAGCGGTTCAGATGGCTCCATGGCAGACTTGGATCTCACTGGGGTTCCACCTGGAGATCTGTCCAGAAAATAAAAGCATGTGTTTTGAATCCAAGAAATCCATTTAAATAGGTAAAATAAGGTACACAAATTCTCTTATTGAAACAAATATTCATTTTATACTAGAACAAGAATTAAATTATCAGAGCTGAAACATATTTTTTAGTTCCAACAAAACTGTGTTTCTTGAAAATTTTAAAAACAATTTTCAAATACACAAGAGCTATTTATCTTTAGCTGTTTGAATTATACTATGCTATAAAAAATTTTTTTAGAGTATAATCTGAAAAACTATTTTATCTACATACATGTAATGGCACAGACAAGGAAATGCATGAATTTTTAAAACACTGAACAGCATGAATGGACCCTAGTTAAAATAACTGAACTTTAAAGAGAATATTCATTTACAGTATGATCAGTTGTTCTAGTCTTAAATGCACATTTCATGATCTGTGCAATTACAGAATCTGCATGTAACTTAAACATGCGTTCTAATGTTCTAAGTAACAATTTAGAGGGAAAAATGAGTAATTAAAAAGCACAATATAAATAAATTCCAAATCATTGTTTTTGGAATTAAGAATTACTGTTGTATTTTCCAGAAATCAGATGTAAGTACAGGTACATGGTGATTGACGGCTCAGGTAGCTTATTCATTTCCCCATAACAATAAATTACTTTGCAAAGTTATTTACCTATTTATTTGTGTAGCCCTGAGGCGTGCTATGGGGTTGGAGGAAGTGAGCTCTGCTTGAAAACAAGGCACAGAGAGTGGAGTAGATTGTGACTCAATAGAACTGTTGGAACTGAAAGCAAACAAGTACATTGCATCATTAAATGTATTAATTGAAGCGGAAACCCCAAATTCTCTCTTTGCCGTAGCATTTTCTCTTGGGTTATGTCGATTCTTTTATGTCGCCGAAACCTGATATCTCGAGCACAAAATGCAGCAAAATTTGCAAATTAACCTTGATTGTCTCAATCCCCATGACCAATCACCGGCTTTTGAAAATTATATACAACAGAAACATTCCTACTTCAAACTGTAGTAATTGAAATGAAATGACAATATTGTTGGCCGCGCAATTAACTTGACGGAGCAAGAAGCGAGCGGCGTGCAAACAAAAGAGAAGGGTCGCAGTACCTATTCTATTTATAGTGAACCCGCTTGTCGTTTAATACTTAATAGGCTTTCATGCATTCTTACAGGTTGATTTTTTAAAAAAACCCAGAATCCGTATTTGATTAAACTGAACTGGCGAATCCGGAGCGAGAGAAAATAAAAACTCACGAATCCAGAGCTGAAAAATATTTAGCCTAGCAAATCCGGAAAAGTGGCACCCCACATATGCCTAGTGTTAGCAAAAATGTATGTTTTATAGCATGCCTATAGCTTCATATAACGAATCGCTGTAAGGCTGTTGTGTAAAAAAAAAAAAACTCTTCAAAAACATGTGCTTGTGCTTGTAGATCTCATTTATAAATACATATCTTGTACATAAAGAAATTTCAAGCAAATGATAATACAATGCTGCCATATTGTTTTTTTTATTTATCACAATCATCAGCTATCTCAACGTTTTTTGACAAAACCCGAGGCCGTCGACATAACCGGGTTCTACTGTACCTCATTTTGACCATGCATATTTGGTAATTTAAAAAACCCCCAAAAAACAACATTAAAAAATATTAAGCAGATAAAAAAATTATTTGAATATGCTTTTATGTCATGATTTAAGCAATAATTAACAATTAAAGCTTTATGAATTCTTAGAAGTTAGTAAATTATGAATATTTCTTCACTAGCCACTAATTAAGCTATTATCACAAGAGTATGTACGCCATACTTACTGTGAGCGTTTATGTGCCTTCAGCATTCTTGTTGTTAGCATTGGTGTTAAAAACTGCAAAGAAAAAATAAAATGAGAATGCAATCTCAATGTGATTAGCTGGGTGGCACGGCCAGTAAGACACAGTCCCAACTACTGGAAACAAAATAATTAGAACAAAATAACTTTAATCTCTTAGCAAGCATACAAATTTAGTTTAAGTTATACCTCGGCCCACCTCCTTCCATAAAACATGATTCCAAGTGAGCATCCTTCCATCAAATAATAGTCCCCAAACCACAATACCAATCAAGTGATAAGTATAACATATCATAAATACACTTACTGGGCCATCCACTGAGTGGACAGAGCCAGAGAATGAAGACGTAAGACTTGTGGCACTACCACAGATTGTGCCATTTTTTCTAGCGGTGGCAGAGTTGACTCGTGGACTGCAACGCTTCAGATGTGATGGTGTGGTGTTGGTGATACTTTGAAGAGGATGAGGGAGCCCCAGGGTTAAGCTCTCACCGGGTTGGACAGACTTGGGAAATACTGACTCAGTCACATGGGAGGGAAGAGGTGGAGGGGGAGGGGGTTGAGAAGATTTCAGACACACTGGAGTGGCAGTTTCACCGGTTTTCGCAATATTGGTCTCTGGCTTTTCTGAATCCAACTCTAATGTGCTGTTCCCTGCAACAGATGAGGTGCTGGCATTGGGAATGTTTGGTGAATTTGATACATTTGTAGCTGTTGAATTTTGGGTTGCTTCCTTCTTTGTTAGTTCAGTTCGTCTCTTAGCTGCCAATCTGGCAGACTGTCTCGTGTTACCCTTAAGTTCTGAAAATGCCATATAAAAATTCACATTCATCGACAAGCTATATTGTATTTCACTAATGAACTGAAAATATTTTAAAACCCTGTAGAAACATGCAAGTAAAGAAAGCTGCAAAAGTAAATACTCTTAAAAGAAAAGATTATGATTCACAATTTTTATTTATGCAACAGCTTGCGTCTATAATATAAGACTTTACAAGGAGGTTGATTATTTTTGGGATATTATAATTGAATTATTTGACATTTCTGGAGATCTTAAATCGTGACATGTTTTGTCTGAAAGAGACTGTTTTCATTCAATCAAAAATAAGAATGAACTTTAGGTACAAAACCCTTTTTTGAAAATACCAAGAATGGCCATTCGCAGGTTTGATCAACATGTTTCAGTAACTTAGATACCTTTTGGAAATAGTTTAAATTTCTTTTTTTAGCTGGAAAAGGTGAAATATTGAAAAATGGGTAATTCAAAATAATTAATACTGAGGATACCTTGCGACAACTGGAAGGTCTTGCACATCCCTGTCTTGAGAGCCTGTATTTGCTGGATGCACTCTCCAGTGGGGACCAGAGATTTTGAGTAACTCTCTCCATGTAAGAGACTCAACATTTTGCTCTGTGAAAGAAAAGTAGAAATCAAAATAAAGACATATTTTAATTCAATGTCAATATTACAATAGGTAAAAATAAAACCTCATATAGCTACAGTTCTAAGATGAAAATTTAAATACATAGTTCTACTTCTAGGAAACTATTTTCAGAAACTTAAAAAAAAAAAAAAAAATTGAGTGTGGAATCTATATAATAGATATATGATTTTGGATGACAAAGTCAGCTTGGCAGGGTCTTAAAAGTGTGATGAAGAATGTGGAGAGCAATGTGCTAATGATCTGTTGGTTGTGAAAATGTTATTAAAATTCACTGACATCCCTCGAAAGCAAGAATTACTTTTCCTATCTCAAAATCAGCCGCTGATTGTGTGTAAAATGCATTAGAATTACTTTGCCTTATAAACCAAGAGTGTGCAAGTTTTCAGCGCAATTTTTTTTTTACTGCTAAATAGATTAAACTAAATATATCAAAGTTATGGATCAACAGTCTTGCTCTCAAGGGACAAAGTTACCTGCTAGAAACTGCTTTGGTTCTGAAGGGAGCTGCATGGGTAATGCAAATAGTTAATTACACTCAAAGAAGAAATATGTGCTAAAATTTCTTAAATCCTACCTTCATGTATGAAAAAACTCCAGCACTTTCCACTTCTTCTTGCTTCCTCCTGCGTAGCACTTTAGCATACTCTTCAGGGTTTTTCTCCAGATAGAGACATAGATCCTGAAGAGTTGAAAATTACAATAATTGACATATATCAAAAGGCTTCTGTTATGGACAATCAAAATCTAACTACTTGCAAAGACAATTTTAAAAAAAAACAACAATAGATAAAAAATATAAGTAACAAATAAACACACCCCTAAAGCCTTATCCGTTTCAGATCTTATTTCATCTTGAAATTGTTCCTCTGACATTAGGGCACAATATCCAGACTCCATCTCCATAGGCTCATCAAAATCATCAAATATGTCTACACACGGTGGACTTGACATGCTGTGATAAACAACACTCTTTTCACCCTTCAAACTTAGAGGACTGGAAAGTATAAAATAAATGTCTAAATGTCTACATAAATTGTAAAATTAAATAAGTTATAAGGGATAATTTTTTTGTGGGGCTATTGTGTATAAAATTAGCTCTGCTGATTTTCACCTCAATTAAAGTGGTTCCTAGCTTTTTGAATTTACGTTACACTTACGAGATACTAAAACTAATTGAAAAGTAGGCCCCACAAGTAATAAATAATACTAACGGTTTCTGGAAAGAGCAGTGTCCCAGTAAATTATTATTATTTGACTATAGAATAGGCCTAGCCACTATAGGCTTTAGGGCTAATAGATAAATTATTTTATTAGTAATTTAAAGTAATTTATACATCCAAAATACTATGATATTCTTTAAAGGTGCCACTCAGTGTAATGGCAACAAGAACAAAAAATTAACATTTTCAAAGTCCCACCCCCTCATTTTTTTCCTTTTGACTTTTGTTCTGCATAATAACTAAGCCAAATTATTTTAACTTTTACTAGTAGTTAAAAGGGCTGAAATGTTTTCATCTCTTCATTCATTGCGATTAAATGTAATTTAGTTAAATTTGAGTGTTGCTTTCATTTATTACTAATATTATGATATTACTAATATCATAGTCATAATATTATTGTTTATTGAATTAAGGATCATCAAGAGAGATGGCAAGCATCAGTTGTGATCTATCCAAGATGGATCATGGTATATGACTTTAAAAGAACTCTTGTTCAAATCACCAGAAGCAAAGTTCTGTCAAATCAACAAGTGTTGCAGTCCTGCAGTGTTTGTGTTTATTTTGTTCTAACTAATGGTGTTTATTTGAAGATTATTTCGGCAAATGCCACGGCCACAGCAATCATGAAGGAAGCTTTTCAGTTTTGGGACAAGATTCCCATATTCATATCATCACAAAAATAAATGACCTACTACATTCATCAATACTAATATTATTAAATACCATCACAAAATCGTTATTAAAATACATTTCATTATTATTATTATAATATATTATAATTATATAGTCATAGTTAAGTTTATAATTATTAATTTATAATATAATTTATAGCCACTTCGTTATTATTGAATGATTATGCCTTGATCTATTTTAAAATAAGCTAACTTAATTCCAAGTTACCTTTTTGTGTAGCTGTCAAATACAATTGTAAACAATTATTTAATTACTCTAGTACACGTAGCAGAATAAAATTTTGAATATGGAATAACTACGTTAGAAAACTTAAATGCACCCGCGTAAGCGGCGTAATCAACCAATGCTGTCGGCTACCACTCACAACCTGTTAATTCCCCAGGTTTAGTTAACAAATATCCACAGGTTTTCCCCAGATTACGAAACTAACAATCGTGAACTAAAGTTTCTACAGACACAGAGAAAGCTACGTTTTAAATTTTTAGATTAATCTATAAATAATCTTTTGTTTGTTTTGGTTTTGTATAGTCTGCTGAAGATGGCATTTAGCAGAAAATTTAGTTTTAATTGTTCAGTCTTTTTTAAAGGCTAAACATGTCTTGTTCCATTATTTATTTAAAGTGTACTAGTCTATGACTATATGATGCAAAGTTTTTCAGCAAAATAGGGGCAAATAGATCAAGTTCAGTCCGGGAATCACCATCAGGGGTGCCGTAATGGTCAAAACAAATGGGGGTGGGGTGGGTGGGAGAGGACAATTTAAAAACAACATTTAATTTAAAAAATCAGAATATTAAAATTAAAGAAAATACACAGACTCGTGATGCTCTGGGCCTGGGAGTTTTTAAATATTAATTAATAAATGAAATTTAGGCCTAATACTAATGGTATTAACTGTGAATTTATGAGAATACAGTCGAACCCGGTTATGTCGCCGGCATCGGCGTTTGCCAAAAAAGCGTCGAGATAAACGAAAACCAATATGGTGGCAATATATTAACATGTGCTCGAAATTTCTATTAGTAGGCCTACATGATGTGCGCTAATAAATGTATGTACTTCAGTAAAAAAATAAAATATTTTTACAGTTATTTAGAGCAAATTTCAAATAAAAAATTAAACCAGAATCAACTTTTAAGCTTTAGAACTTTTTGAGCTACGAATGATAAAAATACGAGTTCGTTTGGTATTTTCTACTGTGGACGAAGCCTTCACGTTTTGTGACCTCATCCCGCTGATCGCGTCAGACGCAATGACTATAGAGTTTATATAAGGCAACGCACCCCCTTATTACTGATATACTATTTAGGGACTGCTTATTTTGAACTTTCAACTTTTGCACACGACTATTTAATTAAATCTTTCACAAAAAAAAAAAAAAAATGTTGAGTTTCCAAGTTGGCCTATTGGTTAAATTATCGGCCATCAATGCTTACAAGAGAAGAAAATACAAGTTTAATAATAAATTCCAATTCTGTAATTTATATTTGCTTACTCAATTTTACTGCTTCAAGATTTTTCAAAAACTTAGGCTGTACAGGGGCATCTAATCCCCCCCCCC